TTTAAATTTTTTTTATAAATTAAATTCATGCTTTCTAAATATTTTTAGCTAATTTTGATATAGGAAAGCCAGCATGGTAAAAAAAACCTTAAAAGCATAACAAATAAATATAAAATAAAATAAAAACATTATACACCAAATATACACATATTATTTTGCATAAGTTGCTTTAGGATCCTCAAACATGAATCCTTCGCGCTCTATCCGTAGACATTCCTTGTTGGGAAAAGAAGATGCAATTCATAAAAACAAATAAATAAATGCAACGCTTGTCCCTTTGTTTTTTTTTAGTTAGAATGGTAAACTTAGGATTTTTTCAGAAAAATTGTGATTTTGGCTGCGACAATGACTATAGTTATAACTATTATAATTGAAAAAATGTTTGGTGATAGGTGCAGTTAAAATATTTTTATATTATATAAAATTCAAATTTTCAAAAATTTAATGTTGTGGCTTCTATTTTTTCAAAACAGGTTTTAAATTTTACCCTTTTTCTCAAAAACTTCTGAAACCCCCCTCCAAAAAAAAAAAAGAAAGCAAGCCATGTTTCCAAACTGGCACCTATTTTCTGTTACGCTTTGTAGAATTATTATTAATATACTAATTTATAAATGCATCTTCCACAAATGCAAACAACTTTTCAAAAACCGTAATGGTTTCTTAAAATAAATAGCTAAATACAGTTTCTTGCTTTCTTATTCAAATACAAAAACTTTATTCATGTACTTTTTTTTCCAATACGCTCGCTGATTTTTTGAATTGAAGTCGTGCACGAAAAATAAAAATAAAATGTTAATCATCTAATATGGTATTTCCCTGTAATTATCTTCATTTTTTTTCCTTTTTTTTTTAAATCAAATTCTCATGAAAAAATAAAGAGCAAAGTTTGACGTCCGTTCGATGAGCCCACTGATTCGTGATATTGTAAAAAAAACTAAAAGAAGTGATGTTGCTCCTATTCATTCACTGAAGCTACGCATTTAAAATCCCTATTCATGTATGTCTTTTTTGTATCTTGGTCCTTTATTTTTTGAGAGATAAATTAATTAGTCCCTTTGGTTTGAAAATTAATTTTTTTGATCCTTTTTCACCATTTTAATTTTTTTCTTTCACCGTTTTACCAGTTTACTATTTTTTTCTTTTAAGAAATAGAAAAAAAATAATTCTTTGGGGAATAAATTAATTAGTCCATTTGGTTTGAAAACTAATTTTTTTTGTTTTTTTGACCATTTTCATTTATCGTAGCAGTTCTCCCTTCTTTTTTTATTTTTTATTTTTAAACACCGTCCATTCTTCTAAATCCAATGATATATATTAACTTCTCCACTTATGTATTGTTCTCCATTCTCCAATAAATAGACTACGCAACCTTTATTACCTTGAAGGTAATATAATTTGTTGACTAATTTATCTTCTTTCTCAACTATTAAAGTATTTGTAAGACTATTGTTATAGTTAATAATTATAATATATTATCATTATATTTTACAAAAAAAAACAGTAGTGTTTATTTGTTTGACGTCCGGCCTTTTTTTTTTTTTTCGGTTTCTATATTTATAGGATTATTAATATATGATCAAATATATTATTTATGTCCTTATTTATAAGAAATATATTTTGTTTAAATGATAAAATTATCTATAGTTAATGATTATAACACATTATCATTATATTTTACAAAGAAATATAAAATAAATATTATAAAATAGTTATTTGTATTTTGATTGTGAATATTGTATTTATGCGAGTGTGTTTTTGTTTTTAATGTTTGGCCTCGTTTTTTTTTTTTTTGTGTATTTGTAGGACTATTATTATATGGTCAAATATATTATTTAGGTCCTTATTTATTAGAAATATATTTTTTAAATAATAAGATTATGTATAGTTAATAATTATAATACATTATCGTTATATTTTACAAAAAATATCAAATTATTATTATAAAATAGTTATTTGTATTTTGATTGTGAATATTGTATTTATCATACGATATAATATTTTGTTATTATTTTATATTATGATATAAATAATATATTGATATATTATTTTATGAATTTGAATATATATAAAAATTGATAAGTATTTTAGTAATATATAGTATTTGATAGTTATACCATATAATTAAATTAATATTACCACTGTATTAGTTAAATATTATTTTAAATATATTGGTATAATAATATAATATTTATTAATCAATGATTTATTTAAATATTAGATGACAATTGTTCCCCTTCTATATAAATAATTTTTTTTATATTTGTTATCATGAAATTAGGTGTGAAAATATAAAAAAAGATTATTATTTTTTTATTTATCATATAGTTTGCCGAGTAATAGAATATATATGATATTTTTTAAAATTTTAGTTTAAACATATACATATGATTATATTATTTTTATTATTTAAAATCTATTTCTTCAGTTTTTTTTTATTACTTCTCATTGAATTAATTTTTAAATTTTATATGATTTTATTTGTTAATAAATTTGATTTTTTATACATGGCTTTTGAAGTAAAATTTTAGAACATAATTGTTTTATTTTTTTAAAATATATTATTTTAATTTATATGATTGATTATTTTTATGATATTTAAATGAAAATGACATTGTTGTATATATAAATTCGATGAAAAAAAGAGTGCTAGAAGTGTGTTTCGGATATTATAATTATTCTAAAAAAAATAAAAGAACTATGGTTTTTCCTCTTCATTTATTGTAGCGTTTTATTTTTTATTTTAGTGTTGGCCTCGAGAAGTGGGCTTCAACGTACTGTCCTGTCTCATTTTATTATATTTTTTTAGGGCTGGCCTACAAAAGCATTTTTGTTTTATAGGGTTACCTTGAAAAGCGAGGCTTAAACAAGCTCGCGCAAGTAGTCTCAACCGAGTGTTTGTCTTTTTTTTTTTTCCCTTCTAATAATTTATTTTTATATTTTTTTATCATAAAATTAGGTGTGAAAATATAAAAAAGATAGTTGTTTTTTTAGTTTTGGTACAGTTTTGCGGTAATAGAATATATATATATATTAAATTTTAGTTTAAACATGTATATATTTGATTATTTTATTTTTATTGTTTAAAATTTATTTCTTCAATTTTTTATTTCTTATTAAAATTCTCATCGAATTAATTTTTGAATTTTATATGATTTTATTTGTTAATAATTTTGATTTTTTGTACATGGCTTTTGAAATAAAATTCTAGAACTCGATTGTTTTATTTTTTAAAATATATTATTATAATTTATATGATTGATTTTTTTTTTTAATTTTTAAATGAGAGTAGCGTAGTTGCATGTATAAATTCGATGAAATAGAGAAGCTAAAAGTGTGTTTTTGATAATTTTACTTAATTTTTTTTAAAAAATAATTTGACTCAATTTTTTTTAAATTAATATATATACCAACCAAGTGCGACCCTACTCTTTTTTTTTCTTTCTATAATTTATTTTATATTTTTTAAAGTCTGGCCACCAATCTCATGATAGAACGAAAAAAATTGGCTAATTATTTTAAATCTTGATGTGTTTTAGGATTAAATCACCAAGAGGCAAAATGAAACCTTTTAAAAAATATACATATTGTCATAGTATAACTGGATCTCTAGCAAGTGATGTATAGGTTAAGAGGTTATATATAATTGATCCCTTCATCGAGAAAGAAAACATATATATTATTGATTCCTTTAATGTCCCCGAACCAATATTAATTTATATATTTGACATTAATGTTAACATACATTTCTGATTATTTTATTCTTATTATTTAAAATTTTTTATTCAATTATTTGTTTCTTATTGAATTTCTCATTAAATTATTTTTTTAATTTTTTGATTTAATTTTATTTGTTAATAAATTTGGTTTTTTAATTTATGAATTTTGTAATAAAATTTTAGAATGTCAATGTTTTATTTTTTAAAAATATATTATTATAATTTATACAATAAAATATATATATATATATATATATATATATATATATATATATATATATATAGAGAGAGAGAGAGAGAGAGAGAGAGAGAGAGAGAGAGAGAGAGAGAGAGCTAAAAGTATATTTTAGACGGTTTGGTTCAGTTTTTTTTTAAAATAATTATGAGTTCAAAAAATTCATAAGTTTTATTTACTTTTTTTATATATATTTATTCAAAATTTATTAGAACCAATTTTTTTATAGTTTTTATATTAATTATTTGACTTCAATATATTTCTACAATTTATGTAATTTTTAAAATTTATTTTATATATTCTGAATCTATTATATATATCATTAGTTTAGTTAGAAATTAAATTTACATAAATTTGATTTATATTAATCATAAACAATAAAATTTTCTACTCATGTTACTATTTGAATTATTAACCCAGTATTTACTACGCATAACGTAGCTCGAGAATGCAACTAGTGCTGATCTACTCGACGTCTATGGTCGCTCACCCTGTCACCCACACTTTTCATTTTATCCTCTATACATTCAGAAATACTCCAATTAAATCCTTATGTTTAAAATTTTCAATATCACCCCTATAGTAGGTAATTTCCAAAAATTCCAATTTTATTTGTAACTTTTTGATATTTTCAGTTTTTCATGTTTTGAATTTATTAATCAGATGTTATATACTGAATAGATATTTTATAAAAACATAAGATAAAATACAGAAAAAAAAGAGAGAGCTTTTCACTAGATATTCAGCAGTCAAAAATAAAATGGAAAAATGGGCTAAAATGAAAATATAGAGATTGGGGTTGAACATTATTAAATGTAAAGGGATGAAAAGTGACGTTTCCTCTAATATCTTAGGCTGACTCTATTACACGCCCAGTCATACTTGGCGTAAACCACCCCACGTAGGCCCCACCAAAATGACCCCACCCACGCTCCCCTTCTCCTCCCCCTCCTGCGAATAAGAACCCACTCGCAATCTTCAATAGACACTCAAAACAAATTCAGGTTAAAAAAAAAAAAAAAAACACTCTCTCTCTCTCCAATCATTTCATGGCCTTCGCTAACAGTCTCCTCTCTTCTTCTTCTTCTTCACTCTCTCACATTCACCGCGGATCCAGGGATTTTAATTCCACTCCTCAAATCTGTCTTCCTCATGAATCGTCCTCTTTCACTTTGTCTCCGATTCGTAACAAGTTTTCCGAGCTTGGAAATGGAATAATCGGTTTGTCGAAGAAAAAGTAAGCTGGAAAACATCTCCGATTCTCTTGTCTTCTCTGTGTGGATATACTAGCTCTGTTTTCCTGAGAATCAGCCACTTCCTGCTTAGCTTGATTTTTTGATCGTCGGTTTTTGCTTTATTCCTTTGCTTGTACTGGTTACTATTTTTTTTTTCTCTATGCTGCGATTCTAGTTTGGTTACTGAGAAATCGGGAGGAAAAAATATAAAAAAATGTAGTTTCGAGTTTTTTCTTTTCTTTTCTTTTATTATTGTTTTATAGAAATTAAAAATTGACAGTAAGCGACATCGGATATTTTATTAACTCTGTCTAGTTTTTTTTTTTTTTGGCCTAATGAATTTAGAAATCGATAGCGTAGTATTCAGTTATTACAACGTAAATATCTTTATTTTCTTTTTTAAATTATGAAAATATGATAACCTTATTATTATTAGTAGTAGTATTTTTTACTGATCCAGATTTTATATTTCTCGTTGCTTATTGATGATTGACTGTTATGCAGGAACCTTTTATATGCTTCCGCCAATGATTTCAATGCATCGCCAAGTTCAACCTCACTGGTCAGTTACTGTTTTCCTCCTTCCATCTCGTGCGTGAAATTTATTTTTATCTATTTTGTTGTTGATTACTCTGATATATGATTGAATGAAGCTAAATGCGGTAAGTAGTGAGCATTGTGATCATGAAAGCAGGATTGTGTTCGACACGTACATATATGTTGTTTATATAATTGTTGAAGGAAGCAGTTCCTGTAAATGAAATTTATTGTGATCAATGTCTTGCATGGCCAATGTTCCTGTAGGCTTAGTGGAAGTGATAATAATGTTGATAATTCACCGCAGTCCTGATTTTCTGGATATTTCCTTCTAGTAGGAAAAAATAGTGATGCAGTTAAGGATATTGGTGACTACTTGCTCAATTTCCTGTATTGCTAGCTTACAGATTTTCCTCTGCCCACAAAAAGAAGCTCAATAAAGGCGTTTTTATATGGCTCTGTAGGTTGAGTTATTACTTGTCTTGGGGGTTAATTTTTTAATTCAGGTCTTTATTTGACGAGTCATGGGCAAATTTATAAGTACGGACTAATAATAGTTTCTGCAATTCATCATGACCAGTAGTTCTGTTTTTTTGGTACGTTTGACTCAAGTATACTGTTTCTGTGAGTTTTGAGTGGCCGAGATTCATTTCAACTTAGACCCTTTGTCACTTGGACTGTGCTATCCAACCGAGATGGTTATGAAACCGTTACTGTAGAGAGTTTAATATCAGATTTTTCATGCATACATGCATGTATGTGTTTGAATGAAACATTTGGCATTGAGAAGTTGACTTACATATGTTAATCATTGGTAGCAGAAATGCGTCCTATAGTTCTCAGGTGGCTTTAGAATTTGCTGTGAAACTTACACATTTACAGTAATTGCAGAAATCTGAACTGGATGATGATTATGTTCCCATGCCACTGGTTCTGATAGATCAAGAATCAGATTCTGAAGCAACAATTGTACAATTGAGCTTTGGAGATCGTCTTGGAGCTCTTATTGATACGGTGTAGTGGTTTTTTCAACTGACTCCATTGTCTCTCTTGTTGAATTTTTTTTAGTCCCATCACCTGCATATATCAAAAATGGAAGTGTGGGCTACGCAAAAGATGGTTAGCCCTCCCCCTAATCCCAAACCCACCATCTTTTGATTATCTCTTATATAATGATGGGCTGTAAAGGTGTCATGTAAATGGTCTTTATTTTTCTTATTCTCGTACACGAAATGGGAGTTGTTGCCTTAAAGCATGAAAATTTTCGAATGCGAGGTGGCCAATGAGAAGAACCTGCTTAATTTTCTTGAAATGCCAGCTGAGATTTGGTTCTGAGGCACTGTGATCTTTATATATACATCAAAACTGTAGTTAGTATATGGCAGAATTCTGCAAGAAGATGTGCTCCGATTTCTTTGATGATAGAATGTATGTTGAGGCCAAGTCACTGAATATATGTAGAGGAGTGATCTGCATATGGTATTATACCCCTAAATAACTGCATATGATAGCTGTTTTCAAGAAGCGAACCGGTGCATTTACCTTCTGATACATTTGCCTTCATCTGGTATAAGATGTGCTGCTTCTGTTCAGCATTAATTAGAATGGTCTTGATTGTGGGTCAAAATTATCCTTGTGAAGATTTTGGAGCTGAACCCTTTTTCTTTGAATATGATCATACCATAATTGTTACATGCTTAAAAATATTTGAGTTTTTGTAACTTGTTTTATTTTATCATATGGCAGATGAATGCCCTGAAAGATTTGGGATTGGATGTGGTGAAGGGAACTGTTCTCACTGATGGACCAGTCAAGCAGACAAAGTTTTTCATTACACGATTGTGAGTTTTCTTTCTTCACATTGTTTCCTTGTACTTCATCAGAGATTGCCCCATGTATTAGTTTTACTGGAAGTCCTAGCATTTAGAGTTTGATCTTGATTATGCTAGAGACACTGGTCGCAAGGTTGAAGATCCTGATATGCTAGAGAGAATTCGACTTACCATCATCAACAATCTTTTGAAGTACCATCCAGTATGTATGCTGGATTGATACCCTGGCCTATCGCTTCCTTGTTTTTGCCCTTTGTGGGTAGATATTAGAGAAATTTCTCTTCTATTTTCTTTATATTTCACATGGTGATGAATTTACTTCTTTTTTTTTACTCTCTTGCTAGGAATCTAGTGAGAAACTTGCTATGGGTGAGGCTTTTGGAATAAAAGCTCCAGAGAAAAAGGTGCTTCTATATCTGTCCATGTGTGTAATTCTATGTTATAACTCCAAGAGAGATGTGGAGATCATCAAAGCTTAACTTTTCATCATATATTGATTTGGTTCATTTTATCCTCATATGATTTTCTATATTTTGGATATTTGCTTTACAGAGGTTTGTCTGCCAGTGCTTGCTTAATCTCTTAATATGTACCTTGACACCTGATGATTGGTGCATATATAGCTAAAAATTGTTATATTTTGTCATGGAGAGCCAACTGAAGCACACAGCTTCTGGTTTGTGCATCTGCTGTTGCTTTGACATTTATAATTTGCCCGGATATAAAGTATCTGTTATGGTGTGCTTTGAATTATTTCCTAGTGAAGTTCACTTGCTGTTCAACAATTGAGCTGAAGAATCTTCATGCTTTCTGATTGCAGTCAGCATGCTATTATGTTAAGTTATATTCTCTTATTTTAGTTGATCAATTTGGTGTATGCTTCTGTCAAGTTTGGTAATTGCATTAATTGAAGTATATATTTTGTTGTGATCTTCACCACTTCATTATATTTGTTAGCATCCAAATCTAGTTTCTGAAATCGAAGAGCTATTTAGATTAGTAGATGCCTTGCATGTGCTATATCAGAATTTATAAATTTGAATTTATGTTCATGATTTCCTTTATGGCAGCTTGATGTTGACATTGCAACTCATCTACTTGTCAAAGAAGATGGACCTAAGAGGAGGTTTGCTTCTTCCTGGAATTTTGGTTTTATAGCATATACTTTATATGTGCTTCTTTTTTTAATTTTCATTTTTAATAACTGATCATTTGTAGACAGAATATATTGAGTTTTTATTTATTTATTTTAAATCAGCTTGCTTTGCATCGAGACAGCAGATCGACCTGGATTACTTGTAGAAATCATCAAAATCATTGCTGATATTAATATTGATGTCGAATCTGCTGAGATTGATACAGAGGTATCTCTCTCTCCAATGCATTTTGCACACACCATCAACAGCATCTTAGTTTTGCATTCTTTTCTAATTAACTTATCTTTGCCATCTCACAGGGATTAATTGCCAGAGACAAATTTCATGTCAGCTACAGAGGGGCAGCATTGAACAGTTCCTTGTCTCAGGTAATTAGTTGGGTTATAACTATGGTTGTTTGGTAATTATAAACCTTATTCTAATTACAATATGTATAAAGTCCCAATTCTCGTTGCTTGCTTTCCTTGAATCGGAAAGTGAAATCCTACGATTAATTAATAAATAAGTTGCATCTTCTGGGTCTGTACAAGGACATGCTGTATCTTTACAAAACTCGATTAATTTAATTTAAGATGCTAAGCATAACTTACTTTCTAATTAATTTTCTGTCTATATATATATATATATATATATATATTTCCAAATTTGCAGGTTCTTGTGAACTGTCTGCGTTACTACCTTCGGAGGCCAGAAACAGATATTGATAGCTATTAGTACTAGGGCTTACCATTCTAGATTGTAAACCCAATGTAATGCTGCTAGTACCAAATCGTCTTTGAGCTCAAGTCACAAGTGAATTGTATGTATCATCATGTCATGTGATCTTGTTCCATAACTCCTAGCTGGGATGTTCTGAAAAGATGCTTGGAACCCTGCTATTGTTGATCCCGAAAAAAAGGGGTTAAGCCAAATCACCTAAGGAAAACATGGAATGGTAAAAGTCAGAAACCAATAATTCTTGCTTCTCTGTTTTGCTTGTGCTTTCAGACGAGCAGATGTGGTTTTTATCTTGATCACAAGCTGCTACATGCTTGCTTGCTTGCTTACTTGCCTTGACTGGTTTGGTGAGTATTCTGTGTCGAACGAAAATGGTTAGATTCAAATGATGTTCTTTCGAGTGCCCTATGATGCTTGATTGATACGAATAGGTGCTCTGTTGACCATGGCAAATATTTTGCTTGTTGGAGAAATTTTGACGAATCTGCTCTAACGTGAAGGAATTGAAGTGGTTGGTAGAAACAATGTTGCATGATTAAGATTTGGAACACCGATTGCAGCTGGATGGGAACGTGGATTAGAATCCAATATATTGAAACTGTCTGAAGTTATCATTGTGAGTTGCATTCAGAATGAGTTTTTAAAGAATGCCCAGCCTGAATACCACGAGTCACGCATACTATTACTTTTTGTTGCTCCCAAGTAATTTGAAAATCAGTTTTTCAATTTTCAATTTTGAATTGAATTTTTCTTGAACTGTTATTTATTTATTTTTATGTTTATTTCAATTCTAATGGTGAAGGTACATGTGATGTGATTGACTTTTTAACTTTTTTTTAATTTTTAAAAATATGTTTAAATTTTTAGATGTTTTGTTTTTCTTCTAAAACTTTTTTTTTTTAATGTTCTTTAATTGCTAATACTTTAGCATTTACAAGAAAATAAAATAGTTTTGGAGGAAAAAGTAAAGCATCCATAAGTTTTAATATACTTTTAATTGTTAAAAAATTACACTTGCATGTTAGAATTAATAATAGCATAACAGAATGATTTAATTTTAAACAAAAAAAAAAAGTTCAAAATTAGTTTAATTTAAAATTTAAAATTAGAAAAACTAATTCTCAAATGATTTAAAATTCAAAATTTTTTTTAGACAAGTCCCACAATATACATCAGGTTCTATCCAAAACTTTGAAGGATTTTACCATTATTATTTGTTTTTTTCTATTTTAATCGATGCTCGTGTCGGCCACTTCTTTTAGGTTGATCAAGTTTTAGCATAGGCATGCTATAAATGCAGAAATTCAGGAACTAGCTAGCATATCCACAAGAATTTTCTTCTTACAACCTTCCTGAGATAATAACATAAAACTAAACTCACTCAATTATTATTTATTTATCTTACAAGTGAGCATGTTCTAGGACCGGGATCCTCGGACTCGGGGATGATACATAGATAGCAGGTCATGCGGTTGGGCTTTCGTTTACTTTTTTTTTTTTTCTTTTATGTAGTAGCTGGAGCATAGGGATTAGTTGAAGAATTGAGTGACGCTGTATCTTTGGATATACGTTTCTGTAATGATTCAAAGCCCCTTAGAACAACTATCCCATCTTTAACCAATTTGGCACTAAAAAAAGTCCAAAAGTAAGCACGCTTTATGATAGCCAACTAATACTCTTTCCCTTTCTAATCAAACAGACTTCTTTGTAAAGAAAAGCTGTGAATCCACTCCAATAAGTATCTGAACAGTTACTCATTCTCCACCACTGATAATCAACTTGGTTTTCAAGTCTTGAAGCTAATTGAATTGTAGCAAGTATAGTACGTTTTGCTTGCTGTTCCATTGTGTGGAAGCCATCTTTGAAGTCCTTGAAACACTATTTCTTCTCCTGATTCAATAAAAAATAGTACTGCGAAAAAGCAAACAGACAATGGCCTTAGCGGTGACAGTTTTATTTGCTATTCTCCTTCATGGCTATGTCACTTTGGCTTCTGATCCTGATCCAGTCCTTGACTTCTGCATAGCCAATGCAGATTCTGCAACCAACATGCCATGCAAGAATTCATCACATGCCACGGTAGAGGATTTCATATTTTCTGGGATTAAATCTCATGGAAAATTCAGCGAAATGGGGCTAGCATCGATTCCTGTCAACGTGAATAACTTCCCAGGCCTAAACACACTAGGTATGTCATTTGTTCGTGCAGATTTTGAAGCTGGTGGTGTCAATGTGCCTCATTTCCACCCAAGAGCAACAGAGGTTGCGTATGTGCTTGAGGGGAAAATTTATTCAGGATTCGTCGATACACAGAACAAAGTTTTTGCTAAGGTGCTTGAAAAGGGTGAGGTCATGGTGTTTCCAGAGGGGCTAGTACACTTCCAAATGAATGTTGGAGATAAACCAGCAACCATTCTGGGCAGTTTTAATAGCCAAAATCCTGGTTTGATGAAGATTCCAACTGCGGTTTTTGGATGTAGAATCAAAGACGAGCTTTTGGAGAAGGCTTTTGGATTGAAGGATAAGGAAATCTCCAAGGTGAGGAAAAAGTTGCATTTGTGTTAGAAATACTGAAGGCTGTTGCTCCATTTTAGGCTGCTGAAACCATTAGTTCCTGCCTCCATGTTTTTGCTCCTCTTAAGTTCTTAGAGGAGTCCATACAGTTGCAAGCAAATGATTTTTTTCCCCCCTTTTTGTTGTCACCCCAGTGCTTGATACGCATAGATTTTCATTGTTCATGGCATATACCATGCTTGTTGGCGAATCTGCTCAAGATGTGCTCTCTAACTTCACCCTGTCAAATTTTGATTAAGTTGGCTTAGAAACCAATCTATTGAAACCACAAAAGTCATGATAGCTGTGTCATCATTGCTAATCATCAAGATCAAGTTCCGTTAATGTTACTTTTTTCTACTGGTTTTTAATCTTCCACCCAGTCTTTTATAATTTATATGCATACGTTTCTATCCAAAACTTGTAGGGATTTACATACAATCTATCAACTGTCTTTTTTCTTCAGGGTATCCCAAAATGGGAAGACGAGACTAAAGTGCTCATGTATCCCATATGAATTTACCAAAAATAAAAAAAAAAACCACAAAATAAGAAGATGAGACTAAGGGCTATAAAACACAAGCACACAAGCCTAGTTGTAATTGTGCCCGCATGAAAAAGAAACAAAATGAAAAGATGAAACTTAAGGCTTTAAAGCAAGCCTAGTTGTGTTTGTGCCCACATTTAAGAGGATGGGGCTAGCTGGTTGTGCTTGTATTCATGGATTCCATGTTGAAAAACAAAGGGGATTCTGGGACGAAGGCTATAAAATAAGCCGAAGATTAACACAGGTGTAGTTGTGTTTTTGAGCACATGGGAGGATGGGACAGAGCAACAAGAACGTAAAAAAAAATCAAAATGGGAAGATGGGGCTGAGCCACATGATCGGAAGAAAATCAAAATGGGAGGATGGACCTGAGCCACAGAAAGGATATGGGCTGGCTTTCTTAATTTTTTTGCTGGTTTTATATATGGGCTGGAATCCTTAGCCTAATAAAAATCCATTTAAGGGTTCCAACCGAAATGAAATGTTAAAAATCGAATTGAATTAGAGAAACAAAATTTATAAATTCGGTTGATTTTTTAATTTAATAAATATTTGTTAAAAATCAAACCGAAATTAATATTTCAATTTTCTTTTAAACCGGATCTTTCTCACCCTAATCAAGACTTATAATTCTTTTATCTATACTTCTAAAAATAACTATTTTTACCCAAAAATCAGGATTTATTTTAAATAATTTAAAAGAAAATTAAAAGACAACAATTGAAATGAGCACTTGTTAAAAATGCATAAACTTTTAAAATCCACGCGACGGTGTATTTAATAAAAATATGAAACACGAATGCTTTAAATCTCCGCATCTATCGATATCATATCATTAGCTGTTATAATATTTTTGAACTAATCGACAATTCTTGATACTTATTGCACATGTGTTAAATATACTATAAAATTAATAAATAATAAAATAATATAATTATTTTGGACGCTTAAGGTATCTCACCTTTAAAGGTACAAACTAATGCCTTGCTGTCTGGTCGGACATGTAAGGCGAACACAGCTACGCAAAATGAATTTTTTGCATAAACAAATAATCAAATTCGATATCACTTACTTAAACGACTAGAGTTCTTTTAACTCAAACCTATCCTCTTGAGTATAATAAAGTAATATTTTAGCCACTCGTAAATAATTTGATTTTTTTTTGACATATTCAATCATAATAAATATGATTCCATCATCCGTAGCTATTGATAAATTCAATATTTATTATATCGTTAAATTTTTTACGCATATACTAAAAATCTTTAAGTTCGCCCGCTTGACTTATGAAAGATAATAATAACAAAAAAAAAGGCTTTTTCAAAAAGAAAAAGGGTGTACTACATAATATGCTAGTAGAAGTATAATAGGTGGTTTTTACACTAAATAGTTTATAATCCAATAGTAGTGGTTTCTTCTAACAAGAGGTCACAGATTTAAATTCTTGGATGTATGAGTTAAAAAAATTAGGCATATATTTCTTATATATTACTCAAAATCTCTTATTTGTCTCTAAATTTTTAATTTTATTAATTCAATTTATCATTGAAAGTGTTAGAATGTTTAATATGGCATTTCGATCAATTTTCCGACTATATAAATTTTTTTGATCGAAATTCCCCGATTGAAATGAATAAATAAATAAATAAAATTCTAAAGAATTTAAAAATGGAAATGCAAGTCGTGTGAAGCTAAGTGTTTTGTTTTCTTCTGTATTTTAGTAAAGAGCATTTTGGTTAAAAAATTTTCTATAGTTAGGAACGATTATGAGTATATTTTACCTTTATATTTATTTAGATAGTTTTGCAAAAAAAAAAAAAAAGAAGTTATTTTCATCATATTCATCATTATTAAAAAAAAAAACATTAATTTGCTTCTTTTATAATATTCATCCTTATTAAACAAAACGAAAGAGCTATTTTTACAATTTTACAGTAAATATGCATCTTAACATGTATTACAAACTTATATCTTTTTTTCTAATATTTATCTAGACACTTCTCTAGGAAAAAAATATAATTTTTATGCTTATTGTATTTTTCAAAAATCAATGTTTGCTATATGTATATTATATGGCTGTGTTTGATATTCTATGCTTCCTAATGAATCCGTAGTTTAGGTCTAATAAATCCATTTTAAAACTAATTAAGTAACCAAATAGGAATATTTGGTTATATAACTAGTTGTTGTGGTGAAGTTATCATCATATCACTGGAGAATTCTTCAGTACCCGTCGTAATCTGACTAGTATTTTTCATTTTCGTCAGGCACTTGACCATCCTGGCTCATGCTGTTAGGATTCAGATCTCAGTGATTGCAAAGTTCCATGACGTTTCTCCTAGAACACCATTTTGACTAGTTAATGATGGAACAGTGATTTGAAAGTTACCGTTATCTGTGTTATTAACATTTCTAGGAACCTAGAGCTTAATATTGCAACTTGCTTGTGCCTTGAAGCATCAGATAAAGAAACTAGAAGATGAAGTTCTTTCTTGGCACCCACAGAGAGTGAGAGACAAGACGGAGGAAGGAGAGAAGATGAAGAATTAATTTTTTTTATTTAATGAAAGGATTTGTTTTATCCTATATGAAAAAAAAAATATATATATATATACATGACACGCAATAAATGAAAAGAATCTTTATCTAATGTGGAATTTCAGGATCCTTGAATAATTTCTTGTTCGAACATATTAAATTTATTTTACATGTAGCAGTGGAGCTACCATGCCATATTAATTAGTGTATAATTTGTTTTCAATTAATCTAAACATTATTAAGTAATTATGCAAGCCGTTTATATATTTGGTAATATGATCTATTGTTTAGTGATACCCATGCTTATAATATATCAAATTAGAATTGTTTAAGAAAGGGTTATTAATTGTATTGAGTTCTATGCTTGCTGTGGGTTAGATCTCCACGTGTGATAAACCGCTTGGATTTGAAAGATAACATCCATATCGATAGTATGCTATTATAGGCATAATGCATGCAATAAAAGAAATGACTTGTTTTTGTTCTAACTAGTTGGCCCAAAAATAATATCTTCAAACGATTTTTTTGTCAAACGTATAAAGTTAAATTCTGAAATCACATTTGTTTGAAAAATTAAGTTTTGCTATTCTTGTTCTGAATAGAATTAATTCTACTTTTAATATAGGATGAAGGTGCATGGAGAAAAAAAAATTCTCGAGTATATGTCATTTTTTTTCAAAATTAAATAAATATTTTCGAGATCTATTAATATATTTATATACATAAAATTATTAAGGAAAAATTTATAAATTGATGGTAAAGCACATTTTCAGCGAAATAGAGCTAGCAACCATGTTATTTAACCATGCAATAACAATCTCATGGAAAATTTGGCAAAAACGGGGTAGCAACCTCCTCCCGCCAATGTAAATAACTGTTCAGGTTTGCCTAAAAACACAAGGTATTTCACAAAGTCGTGTTGATCTGGAAGTTGGTTGTGTCAATACGCCTCGTTGGCATCTAAGAGCAACAGAGGTTGTATATTTGCTTGAAGCGTATTATGAGTGAAGAAATGTTTTACATTAGTAACGTTTAGATATTGAGTAGATGTCATAGGAAGAGGCTTGAATGAAAGAGTAGCAGGTAATCTTAACAAGTGAGGATATTGTGTCAAGTAGAGGGACGTGGAAGTATTGAAAAAGGAGAAATTTTATAATACATCAAGAGTAACAAGTAACATGTATAATAGTTATTTAATAGGTCAACTTTGAGGAGAGAGACAGACATAAAAAAAAGAATGAAATTATATTTACACTCATCAAAAGTGATAAGAAGATTTCTACGTCCGTTTAAATTTTTTTATTTTCTCTTTTCTGTTTTTTTTTTTTTTTGTTTATCTCTCTTCTTAAAGTGGATCCATGAAATAACTATTGTATATTTTACTAATTAAACCTAATGTATTATAAAATTTATCTGAAAAAAAGGATAGTAATTGTGTGCTACTGTTGAAACGTAGGGAGAGCACAACGAGTCAAAGGAAAAGTAGCGATTAAAATTTTAGAAAGAAATGCTTTCAGCAAACAAAATAGTACTAAAAAAGAAGTCACGAGTGAGATATTTATAGATGTAAGCAATGATGACATGCTCTTAACGAATCTTACTCCTGGCTAGTTTTTGGAAATTGAATTCTACAATAAAATAAATTAGAAAAATAACAACAATTAGGTGGTGTAAAATTTTTTTGTGATTCGATAATAATATTTACTTTACAACTATATGAAGAGTTTTTATTAGAATTTATCAAATGACAACTTACAAATACAAAAAATTTTAATTTTATTTATAGTGTAAACAACTAATGTTATAACAAAAATATCTACGGAGCTTATATACTTGTCTCAATATTTTATAAGACCGCTACGTGCATAGCATATTATAGTGCAAACTTTTATTCAAAACAATCTCTACAACTTAACAACCACCGAAGTTAAATCTCCTTTAAACATCTTATATGACCTAATGAATAGTTAAGAGCCCTGCCACTTTATCCTTGTTTAGTTGTTGTGCCACAACTTCTATTAGTTGATTCATTTAAATGTCTAGCTAAATAGACCTATATAGCTCTTAGGGATGGCAATAGGGTGGGGCGAGGATGGGGATGGCGTTGAAAAATTTTACCACATCCCCGTCTCGTGCTCCGAACGGAGCAAAATTTATCATACCATTTTTGCCTCAAACAGGAATGAGGATCCTCGCAGGGCACTAAAAAATGATTGTTCATATAGAAAATTATTTTGTTATAGTTTAAAATTTGATAATAAAATAGGATAAGATGAGAAAAAATAAATTTTAAACACAATTTCAAATTAGAAATATCATTAAAAATATTTTGAAGCTTTCAGATCTAGCAACTGAAGTTTGGTGCATCCAAGCAATAGTATTAGTCGAATATGACTTTATAACCTAGTAGGCTTAATGAGCTAAATGATAAGCTGCACTAATTTCTAAAGTTTTCTTAATCGCTAGCACCTCTACTTCAATTGAGCCTTTAATTCTTGTCGGAATTGAAAAGGTAAATGTAAAATTTTCATAGTAATCTCTCAATGCAACACCAATACTAGAGACTATTCTAAGTTCGTCCAGCGAAGACCCGTCCACGTTCTACTTCACAGCGCCAATAGGAGTAGAAACCCAACTAGCTACAACTCGCACTTTGGACAAATTAGTCCACATCTTTGTACTATGGAACTTCTAATTAGATAATTTTTTGTATAGGCGAAATGTTCATCAAAAAATATTTCTATGAAAAATAAGAGAGAAGAAGCTGTCCAAATTTGGTTTGGAATCCTTAAATATTAAATCATTTCGAGCTAATTAGATAGATCAATGCACACCATAAAAAATAAAATACTATATCTTCTTTTGCATACCAAAAAAAAAAAAAAAAAAAAAAAAAAAAATATATATATATATATATATATATATATATATATATATATATATATGTTCAATTCAAAAATATGTCATCGACTGTAACCCACACACCACCCCACCAGCCAGTTATCCGAGACCATAATTTCCAAACGTCACGGCTGTGTAACAAAATGTGTTTTGTAGTTTTGTTACAGCAAAGACAAGAGGGGAATGAGTTTTTCGCTGCAGTAATGACACGTTTATTGGCTAAAGAGTTTTTAGAATTTAATTTAATCAAGACAGCAAGCCAAGCAAAAACTTCCACTTTGGAAGTTCCAAAATATTCCGAGCAAAAGACTTTGCTTCCTAATGAATCCATCGTAATGTGTCCAACAAAACCATTTAAAAACAAATTAACCAAATGGGAATATTTCGAAATGTAACGTTTTGTATTTATCTTATAATATATTTGTGCTCCATCCTTCCATGCTTCATTAATTTGACTACAATCTTGTTTTTAACTATTGCGAGTATCATCAAACTGACTCAATCAAAAACCAAATCTTTTTAAATAATTCTTCGTACTACAGTAAATCACGTTTTTCTTTAGTTTTAACTTCTTTAATTAAAAATATGGAGCTACGTTTTACGCACAGTTGAACTGTAAGAGCTATACTACTTAAGGAGCATTCCACAGACCACAGTCCTTGAAACACTACCTCAGCTTCTGATCCATGAAAAACAAACAAACAATGGCCTTAATGGTGAGAATCTTGTTTGTCATTTTGTTCCATGGCTTTGCCATTTTGGCTAGTGACCCTGATCCAGTCCAAGACTTCTGCATAGCCAACACAGATTCTGCAACCAACACCCCATGCAAGAACTCATCACTTGTCACTGTAGATGATTTCATAATTTCCGGGTTAAATGTTTCTGGAGATTTCAGCAAATTGGGGCTAGCAGTCAATTCTGTCGATGTGAACAACTTTCCAGGCCTAAAAACACATGGTATTTCACTCGGTCGTGCTGATCTTGAAGTTGGTGGTGTCGCGATGCCTCATGTGCATCCAAGAGCAACAGAGGCTGTATTGGTGCTTGAGGGGGCAGCTTATACAGGATTTGTGGACACACAAGACAAAGTTTTTGCTAAGGTGCTTGAACAAGGTGATTTCATGGTGATTCCAAGGGGTCTAGTGCACTTCCATCTGAATCTTGGAGAAAAACAAGCAACACTTCTGGGCATCTATAATAGCGAAAATCCTGGAACGTCCATGATTCCTACTGGGGTATTTGGATGTGGAATGAATGAAGAGCTTTTGGAGAAGGCTTTTGGATTGAGTGGTGAGGACATCTCCAAGGTGAGGGAATATTTAAATTTGTGTCAGAACTTGGAAAGGCTGAAGCCTGTTATTCGAATTTAGTTCACCAGATAAACAAGTCTCTGTCAGTCAACCTGGCAACGGTTGAGACTGTGTGGAAGTTAATGTAAGCATTAAATAAATTGTAGCAGATTATTTGCTTCATGAATTAGCAGAATCAAGTTTAGTAGCTCGGTTTCTGTTCCAAGTTTTTATTTCTAGTTCTGTAATATGTGGATCAGGCTAAAGCAGCCGTATAATAATGTAATATAGGAATGCTTCAGTTCATTGAAGTATGGTTCAATGTTTGTCATATGCATCAGAAATTTGAGCCCATCTTATTCTTCAACGTTGGATCGATGCTTGCTTCATCTCTTACGTGTCTGGTTATAAGTTATACGGATAGTAACGTCAGAGAAAATTTGGGATTTCAGGTGTTTCAAACTCATAATCATCCATCACGTCCAGCAATGATGAACATCCTGTTTTGTCGGTGAAGCAAATTAGCAAACCTAACCTCTAACTTTATGTTTCTGGTAATTGATCTAGATAATAATAGTTGCAAAAGGCTCAAACAGAAGCATATGACTGCAATGTGGAGTTTCCAATTCTCATTCTTTTTGGTTTCTTTTTCTCTATCTACTTTTCAGTTCAGAGCTAGATGGTGCATTGCATTCTGTGCTGATTGATTGTATCTCATCCCTTTTGACCTTCATGGCCTCCATAGCCAGTCGAAAAAAAAAAAAAAAAAAATTGGACACCAAAGTTACAGGTTTCACCAAATAAAACTATCATATTTATGAACACATTTAAGAAAACAGAATCAGAACTGAAGAACATAAAAGCTTAGGAGAAACATACCAGTCCTTTCTCCTATTGCATGGCCAAGAGTGCACCAATAAAAAATGCCTGTCAATATATGAAAGTTAACAAAACTGCATGCTGGTCGCTTTAAGTAAGAAAAACAAGTATATATGCTGCCCTATTTGTCAAAAACAATATCACAACTATATATAGCGCAAGAAAAATAGCCATTTAGAAGAATAAATGATTCAGATTAAAAACAAAACGATAAGTGATGGTTTTTATTTTTAAAAAGCTGCTTTTAATTAAACAATTTTCAACCGTTTCAAAATAAATTAATTATATTGTCCGTGTACTAAGTTGTCAATTTTTTTTAATCAAGGTATGCTTTTTTATTTTTTTTATTCGAACTCTCTGATTTTTAATTTTTTTCTAATAAAGTGCTTTTATTAATTTTATGTCGATTTTTCCGTTATCTTCACACATAGGCTATCTAATTGGACCTGCATTGACACGTGACGACAAAATATCAATGATTTGGAAAAAAAAGACAAAAACAAAATACGAAAAATCGTTCTCCAATCTGTTTTATTTATTTTTTTCGTTTCTGTTTTTTTACATTTTTTACGTCATTGCCACATGTCAATATGGGTCCCACCAAATGGTGACAATGGAAAAATCGACACGGAGTCAAAGGAAACTAAGCATGTTCAACGCAGGTCAAAAGAACTTGGAAAGGCTGAAGAAGGTTGCTATTCGAATTTAGTTCACCAGATGAACAAGTCTCTGTCAATCAACCTGGCAAGTGGCAACGATTGAGCACTGTGAATGTTAATGTATGCATTAAATAAATTGTGGCAGATTATTTGCTTCGTGAATTAGCAGAATCAAGATTATTAGCTTGGTTTCTCCAAGTTTTTATTTCTAGTGTTTAACTTGCAGCAGTGCACTTGACATCTCATTCCAGATATCAGGTACCCCAGGAAGGCACCAATGGCTACAGTCAGAACGAAAAGCCTCTTGGGTGCTGTCCCTCTTGGGTTACTGCCCTTCTATAGACAGAAGGAAGCCCATCTCTACGTAGAGCCGACATAGCTGTAATATCTTGGGTTGTTGTCCCTAAATTTGCTGCCATTGGAACTAGTAGATTTCTTAGGAAATTGTGTTTATTTGAATCTTATCGTTGATTGTGTTGGGAACGTGCAATAGCTTTGATTGTTAGGGAAGTGTAATGGTCATTCATGAAATAAAATCAAAGAGGCAGACTTCCCTTTGTTAAAACCTTTTTCCAGCAAGGTCTCTTGCAATAGAGTATGTTGTGTCTTTGGGTATACGTTTTGATAGTCACGATAAGCTGCGAATCCAGTCTAATAAGTACGGGGCAAAGACTTGCTCTTGATAGACTTTATGTTCTGTTTTGAAGCAATAAACTGAGGTGCATTTTGCGTTCTATTCCATCGTGAGAGCTATACTCCTTAAATTCCATAGATCAAAGTCCTTGAAACACTACCTCTGCTTCTAATCCAAGAAAAACGGTACTACAAACGATGGCCTTAATGGTGGGAATCTTGTTTGTCATTCTCTTTCATGGCTTTGTCATTTTGGCTAGTGACCCTGATCCAGTCCAAGACTTCTGCATAGCCAACACAGATTCGGCAGCCAAACCCCATGCAAGAACTCATAACTTGTCACCGTAGAAGATTTCATATTTTCCGGGTTAAATGTTACTGGAAATTTCAGCGAAATGGGGCAAGCAGTCAATTCTGTTAGTGTGAACAACTTTCCAGGCCTAAAAACACAAGGTATTTCACTTGGTCGTGCTGATCTTGAAGTTGGTGGAGTCGCTATGCCTCATGTGCATCCAAGAGCAACAGAGGCTGTATTTGTGCTTGAGGGGGCAGCTTATGCACGATTTGTCGATACACAGTACAAAGTTTTTGCTAAGGTGCTTGAACAAGGTGAGGTCATGGTGATTCCAAGGGGTCTAGCGCACTTCCATCTGAACCTTGGAGAAAAACAAGCAACACTTCTGGGCATTTATAATAGCGAAAATCCTAGAATGTCCATGATTTCAACTGCGGTATTTGGATGTGGATGAATGCAGAGCTTTTAGAGAAGGCAGGATTGAGTGGTGTGTAGCTTTAAATAACGGCTGTTGTGTTATATAACGGTTTTAGAGCATTCGGTTACTATTATTTTAGTATTGCAATAAGCTGTGATGGCGACTACAACTATTTTTTCAACTGTCTACGATTTAAAACTATGGTATTGAGGACATTTCCAAGGTGAGGGAATATTTAAATTTGTGTTCAGAAAGGCTGAGGCTGTTATTTGAAATTAGTTCACCAGATAAAGAAGTCTCTGTCAATCAACCTGGTAACGATGAAGACCTGTGAAAGTTAATGTAAGCATTAAATAAATTGTAGCAGCTTTTTTGCAACATAAATTAGCAGGATCAAGTTTAGCAGTTTGGTTTCTGTTCCAAGTTTTTGTTTCTAGTTGTGTAATCTATGGATCATGCTAAAGCAGCCGTGTAATAATGAATCGATGCATCTGAAATTTGAGGCCATCTTATCCTTCTACGTTGGATCGATGCTTGCTTCATCTCTTAAATACGTGTCTGGTTATAAGTTATATAGGTAGTAACATCGGAGGAAATATGGGATTTCTGGTGGCTCAGACTCGTAATTATCCATCATGTCCAGCAATGATGAACATCTTGTTTTGTCGGTGAAGAAAATTGGCAAAGCTAATCTTTTAACTTTATGTTTCTGGTAATTGATGTGGATAATAATAGTAGCAAAAAGCTAAAACAGAAGAATACGACTACAATGTAGACTCTGCAATTCTCCTTTTCTTTTTGGTTTCTTTTTCTTTATCTACTTTCAGTTCAAAGTTAGGTGGTGCATTGGATTCTATGGTTATTGATAGTCTCTCAGTCCCTTTGACCTTCATGGCTAAGACCCCATAGAAGGTTCTGCTGGTCTGCAAGTTCACATCTTCAAAATTTTCTCATCCTACTCTACCCTAGATTTGAATTTGAACTCCCTATTCCTACCTTCAATTTGGTTCCATAAATATCGTATGAAGGCTTAGAACAATTGGTGTAACTTTCTGAGGAAAAGCTAGCATTAAGATGACCAGAAGAAGATCAGCCTGGTGATTATTAACGAAAGTAATTGCAAGTAACATGCCAAACATACCATTGTCCATTTCACATCAATATAACACAGCACCAAAAGCACAAACCATGGCTAGTCATCACAGATTCTAAGATGACAAAACAAAGCCTAGTTAATTTTGCAGAACTTCATTCTACCCTTGTTACATATTTTTAACTTACAGAAGTGCATTTAACATCTCATTCCAGATATCAGGTACCCCAGGAAGGCACCAATGGCTACAGTCAGAGGAAAAGCCTCTTGGGTGCTGTCTCTCTTCTTGGGTCATTGCCCTTCTAAAGACAGAAGGATGCCCATCTCTACGTAGAGCCGACATAGCTGTAATATCTTGCAAATATACAGGAAAACTCATTTTTCTCAATACCTCATTCAGTACTACCAAGGGTTCAGGGACATGCTGGTGACTAGAAAATGTCAAAGGCTGCCTTTGGTTATAGCAGTTCCAGCCATTTTCCCTACAGAGAAAAATCGGGAATCAAAATGGAATTACATAGTACAAGAACATGACCATTTGAACTGAGAATTGTACTGATACCTACCTGTTATGCCTAGGCGACATGCTTCGAAAGATGACTCTGGTTTTTCGAGGATCAAGATTTAAGTCTATCCATCTTGCCCATGTAGTGAGTCCTTTCTCGTAAGCAACCATTGGATTCATACTTTGGAACACAGTCTGTTTCTCCATGTAGTAGTCCCACCTGAAATTTGATTGAACCAGGATCATGAGGCTGCTAAAAAAAAAATTATCTGATGGAATTCATTAATCAACAGGCCACGTTTTAGCAAATGGAAGAAAACAAAGTAAATTAGGAATGATCTATCTTACGAGCTCATTTGATCAGAGTGAGTCCACCAGTGAGCTGAATCAAACACTAGAACATCAACATTTCTCCAATATCTTGCATTCTCTTCTATCAAATCCAAATGCAAGATTCTCTTGTTTCCAGGCCCTTTCTTCAATTCCACAAGCAGTGGAGCCCAAGTAAATTCTATTGATGTCTCAAAATCCTGTTCACAACATTTCAATTCTAGATCAAGCTACTGCAAGAAAATACTTCGAATTCAAGCTTTCAGTCTTAAGTGAACAACAAAATACAGCAAGGACAGCCAGTGAAACATAGTACTGTTAACTTACCAAAGCATGGAAGGCCATGGAAGGACCATTATAAGTCACCTTCTTATGCCCAGTTGGAATTACTCCCTGTACTAAGCAGACGAGAGATTCCCATTGGTTCCTCATAATAGAATCACCTACCAACATAATTCTTTTCCTTCTCATTTTTCCAAGAAATTTAAGTGCATCAAACCTGCACGAGGAAAAATTCAGTACTCAAACAATTACTCAAGCATTTTACGCATATCCCAAGGACAAAATAAATACGTAGTGGGGTATCTTAGGAGCTGCAAGTGCATGTATATTTATAATGTACCTTGGAATTGAGCAACCATGAGGTTGCCATCTCCACTTCTCATAATCAGAATCAGGCCTGCCATTTTTTTGACAAGTAACTGCAGAACTAAGATAAGGGCAATTGGAATCATAGAGAGGATAGGATTGGTCAAAAACCCATTTGCCTGATACAAAGTTACAGCTCCTTGATGGATCGTGCCTAGTTTGGACTATGTCAACTTCATCGTCCTCCTCGTTGAGCCATGACATACCATCATCATCTTGAGCAACCTGCCATGACATACCATGAAAAAAACATAGAGCGGTACTGATCAAGAACACGAGAACCACCAGGAGGAAGTGATCAGGCTTTGGTCTAGCCATTGAAGTCAATGTGGAGTTAGCAAGAAGTGGAGAAGTTTCTGTCCCCAGTGAGGAAGTCTTTACGAGTTGAAGAAGCTATAAAAAGGAACAAAAAAAGTTGACATGGTAGGTTATGTTATGTTCCTTTAAGGCATGAGTTACGGAGGTGTGGACCACATCAAATGTTCTTTTACTCATTGCTACCTCTTCTTGTAATTCTGATGTCTGCTCTCTCGTTATGGTTCTGGGAGAGAGGGAGGTTTTCCTTTTCAACGTTCTAATTGACCTCTATCCATGGGACTGAATTTACATCAAGAAGTTAAAGCTTGAGGATAAAACAGTTCACTTTGGGGTGCTTGTGCTTGTCACAAGGTGAGCCTAACCTCGTCCCCATGTGCATATATGATGGTGTTTGGATTTTATCATATATATATATATATATATATATATATATATCACAATTCTTGTTTATAATTATACTTTTAACATTTTTACTAATTAAGCATAATAATATCTCTTATATTTTAATATCATATCCTAATAGTTAAATTTATTGTAAAAGAAAATTAATAACAATTCTAATTGTTTGATATAGCACAAATAGTAATAAAATACATTATAATTTTAAGATACATATTACAAAATATTCATTTATAAAAATAATAATATTTTTTTGGACAATAATATAATTATTACTATTCACCAAACAACAACACTAATGGTTGCTATCATTATATAGTTATTTGAATGAAATATCATTGTATTTTTTATAACATTGTATAACAAAAATCAATATATTTAAATCAATTAAGTAGCAATTGTTACACTACATAACAGTCTTTACATGAAACTATGACAACAAGAGAAGATACAAAAGAAGCACATAGTACTAATTGATCATCAAATAGTTTCAAAATTCAGTTATTTTATTTTATTTTATTTATCACAGTGTTTAATTATGACATATATTGTGTTGGGAAAAGAATGCATTCTTTTTTTCCCAACATAACTTAATCATTTTAATTTAATTTATTTTTTGTTTTTAGAATAAGAAAAAATAAAAAATATGGAAGGATTGATTATGAAAGATAATATTTTTTTTTGAAATAAATAACATTATATTAAGTATGATTAATAAATTAAATAATTAATTTTTTAAAAATGAAAGAACTAAGAACATCTCCAATATTCTCTTTATATTAAGATTTTTCTTTATAATAATAAAGAGGTTTGCCCCAAATTCCATCTCCAATGCTCTTTTTATCTTTAAAATTAAGATACTGATTGTCTTTGGCTCTCAAATACTTAGAGAGTCCAAATGACTCTTTATCTTATATTTTATTAATAAAAATTATTATTTTCTATGTTACTCAATCTCTTCATTAATGTTTTTTATGAGTTTTATGAATTTTATTAAAATAAAAAATAACATTGAAGATAATATTAATCTCCAATCTATACTAAAAATAGAGTGTATCATAGGAGATGCTTATATATACCTATTTGTCAAAGAAAAAAGTGAGAGTTGATAGAAGACAAGAGAGAAGAGAGGGTATAGAATTGGTGGTTGAAGGAAAAGTTGGGATGGGGTAGGGTACCCGTGACAAGCGGGCGTGTAGGCCATGCATGCCCAGAATTGGTGGCGTTTTTTAAATCTCAAAAGATTAATTTAAGCCATTTATCATATACTCACAGGACGAAAATGCAAGCAAGCATGATGAAGAGCTGGAGACCCACACCATCATAATTATATGTTCGCCTTTTTGGTCAAAAGCATGAGTAAATTATAAACTAGTCCTTTTAGTTTTGAGAAATAAATTAATTAGTCCTTTTATTTCAAAAACAGATTATTTAATCCCTTTTATTCATTTTATGCTCTTATTCTTGTTCTTTTGTTTTAAAAAATAGATATCATATAAAAATTGATGTGAAAAAAGAAAATTTTTAAATAAAATAATATTAAATTAAACGAGATCAACGCTGATTAAAAAGATTAAATAACTAATTTTTTTAAAAAGAGAGATTAACTAATTCATTGCTCAAAACTAAAGGGACTAATTTATAATTAATTGCCATTCAACATTGGTTTTGATAACGGTGAAAAGCAATTCCTTGCTCATCCAAGAAAAAAGAAAAAAATAAGAAATAAGAAAATCACCAGCTAAACCAAAAATTGGTAAGTAATCACTGCTAGCTAATTGCTCAAATATTTGGTTTTGGGATTAAGATTTTGGAGTTTAAGCCTCTACATGTGTTAATATGCTAATTATTTCTACTATTAATCCATTCTAAGAGAAATTATAGTACTAATAAGTGTGTTAAAAATTTCAAAACTAGTAAAAATGGCAATTAATTCTATAAAATTGTTCATGTTTATATAATTCCAGAGGGCAGAAAATAATAATAATAATACGTAGTATAAAAAGAAACTCTTTACATGTAGAGTAAAGTATTAATTAATCCCTCTAATTTTTCAAAAGGATGCAAATAATTACTGTAGCTTCAATAACTAATTAATTATTCTTTATTCTTTTAAATATATTTTTAACTTATTCCCTTTCATCCTTTTTAGTTTATTATTTTTTAATAAATAGAAATATTAAGTAAAAATATATAAAAAGATTGATGGAAAAATATTTCAAAAAAATAATATTAAATTAATCATAATTAACACTGATTAAAGAATTAATAAATTAGTGTTGAAAAAAAAAGAATTTTTTAATTTAGTTTGCAAAACTAGAAGAACTAATTTATAATCGACTCTTACGAGTAAGATGATGGACAGAAATTATTATTGTTATTATTATTTTTAAAGATGGGCGGGAATTTTGGGCTCTCTGTTTGGGCCGGACTAACTAATTAAGCAAAGAGACTAAAAAAAGTTCTCGGTGTTTGTCCTCAAATTTTTTAGACGAAGACCGACGTGATTCATTAAATTTAATTTCTTTGCTAAGATGCCTAACTAGCCCAAAATCCGGCCCAACTCTATAAAAGTTTACTTTGTATATTAAAAAAAAAAGGCAGGAATAAAGAAAGAAGGAAACACTAATAAATAAACAAATTATATTAAAAACCCTCTCAATTTGTAGTAATTTTGGTGTTTTATAAATAATTTTATTTTTCAAAATTTAAAAAATATTTTAGTTTAAATTTCCTTTAATTCTTGATAATATTTCAAAAAATTAAACACGTATTTAGAACATATTAAAAATTGACCGTAAGCAAATATAATAATGATGGTGTAAAAATTTCTTAAATAGAGTTATTAATTTCAAAAAAAAATTGCATAGAGACCATATAATCCTTATAATTAAAATATCAAGACTATAAGATCAAATATTTAAATTAATCCGTAATTTTTTTAACAAATTTGTTGACTAATATTTTAAATTTTAAACTGAAAGGTCCAATATTATAAGGCTTTTAGATTTCTTACCCGAGCAAAGTTAAGTGGCTCAAGTTTACAGCCCAAAAGCCTAGCCCGCCTTTCGATTTCTCAACGTACAATTTTTCTCTTTTAAATTTTGTCCCTATAAAATCTAGGGTTTTATTAAAAATCAAATTCCTTAAACCCTAACCCCCTTTCCTCTTCTCTCTGACTCGTCCGACGATGGCGACGTCTGACACCGTGATTAAGGACATGTACGACGTCGGATTAAAGCCTCTTATGCTCCGTACACTTCTAAAAGAGGATGTCCCTGACGAGAAAATCCCATTTGATTCTCCTTCAAAACTATCCCGTATTGTCACCTGCATTCAATCTCACAAGCTCTTATCAGAACCATCAATCACCGACAACAACAAACAAATCGAAAGGTGGAAATCGTCCGTCGATGATTGGATCACTCGCTTGTTGTCTCTTATCAGCATCACCGCCACAACACCAGATAAATGTTGGGCTGGAATTTGCTTGTTAGGAGTGACGTGTCAAGAGTGCAATGCTGACCGCTTTTTGGGATATTATGCTGCTTGGTTTGATAAAATTTTGTTGCATGTTCAGGTATTCTTTTTTTTAGAATTTTGAACTAAAGTTGCTAATTTTGAAATGGTTTTTTAAATTTTGTGTTTTTTTTAATGTTTTTGACAAATGAAATGACGTTTGTTTTGAATGCTAAATAAATGATCTTTAGTTCAGATATTACGGTTTAGAGCTTTAATTTAGTATTTTCAACGCCAATTTTACTGAAAGATTCTTTTCGCAAAAGCACTACCTGAGAAATTCGTCCATTGTATGATTGGATGCCGTTGGTTTTGGGTATGGTTTTGTAAATTAGAGTTGTTCTTGAACGAAGAGTTGATTGTGCGTGGAACTTTTAATTTGACGTGGGAAGTGGTTTGTTTGTGTTTTAAACAGTCACCGGGGGACTCTCAGTTTGTGAAGGTGGCTGCTTGTACTTCAATATCGGATTTGATTACGAGGTTAAATTTTTTAAGCCTTTTTTGAGAAGTCTGGATTTGATTTGGTTGTGTCAATTTTTATAATAGTCGAAATTTGTGAAGAGTTGTCTTTGTTGGTATAGGTTGGCGGGGTTTCCAAATGTGAAAAAGGAGGGGACTTCGCTTGCTGGGAAAGTCATTCAACCTGTTTTAAAGCTGTTGAATGAGGATTGTTCAGAGGCTGTATTGGTAAGCAGCATTTTTAATTCATTACATTATAAATGTTGCTTTATCAAGTAATATTTGAAAGAAATCCCTGAAGTGCAATTTAATTTAATTTTAATTTTTTCAAGTTAGTCAATGTTGTTTTCCAATTCTTCCTGCTACCAGGGCATTTTCCCTTCCTCCAACATAATTCGATGCCTTTCTTGCAAAACCTGCATCTTTCTTTTTCTTCAAAACCCCAATCCACTTATGCTCGTGATCTATGATACTTGAAAAGATTGATTTTGAACTCTTCAGAGGCGGTATCGCCTTCGCTTTCTAGCTTCAATTTGAGGATGAAATCAGGCTCAATCTATGGCCAGGGTTTGTTGATAGCTGCCTATAAGTTGCATTTTAGTGTAACTGCCATGATCATTATCCATCCTTGGCATTGACGCTGTCTGTTGATATATTTTGCAGTCTTCTTTTCTGACTTGAAGTTTCATATGTGAACCTCATTGTGAGATGTGTGCAGGAAGGAGCAATTCATCTGTTATGCACTGTTATAACTTCCTTTCCTGCTGCACTTCAGCGTCATCATGAAAGCGTAAGTTCAATATTTCTCCATCTTGGGATAGCCTGGGAGCATTTTCAACTAGAAAGCAATTGCAAAACATATTTTTCTGGCTGGATAACGTGTTGTGATATAATGATGTCAGTAATTTTGTAGGTTGAAGCTGCTATTACATCAAAAATATTTTCAGGAAAATGCAGTGTAAATTTGATGAAGGTATCTACTTCTTTGCTGGCTCTAACTGTCCCTGGCATCTGATAAGATAAAGAGATCAAGGCATGGACATGAACTTAATAAATTCTGTTTAATTTTCATCATCCAGAAACTAGCTCATTTCCTAGCATTGCTTCCCAAATCAAAAGGAGATGAAGATAGCTGGATTTTAGCAATGAGGAAGATTCTGTTACTGGTAAATGGTTACCTAACTGAAATCTTCACTGGTCTAGAAGAAGGTATGTGTTAATGCCTTCTTGGTTGAGCTTTTGGCTGGTCTCATGGATGGTAAGTGGAAAATGTGCTTGCATTTGTTGCAGAAACAAAATGGGATGAAGCTGTTAGATTATTGGTTCCGCCAGGAGAAGTTCCTCCACCTTCTTTATGGGGTCAAAAGCTGTTAGAAGATACCTCAGACAAGGAAAGAAAGAGATCCAAGCTGCACAGTGTATCTGTGTTGATGCTTAGCTGTTGTGAAATGCTTACAAATTCGTATCCTGTCCAGGTAATGCTGTATGTTTGATGACTGTTATGACATATTTTTTACTCTTTAAGAGGAATCTCTAATTGATGCTTATTTAAATCTGAAAGTGATTGTGGATATAAACGAATCTCATATGTTTGTTTAACAGGTTTCAGTGCCTGTTCGCTCATTATTAGCCCTTGTTGAGAGAGTGCTGATGGTCGATGGCTCCTTGCCACCAACTACATCACCCTTTGTGATTTTAGCAGAACAAGAGTTCATTTGCTCTGAACTTCCAGTTCTGCATTCAGATGCTTTGGAACTTCTTACTTCAGTCGTAAAGGGGATTCGCAGGTAAACATTGTATTTTTCTCATCACTATTCAACAGAACTGTGCTTTATTTTGTAATGGATTAATAACATGACAGATTTGGCAAACCTGCCTACTTCTCTTTGTGGGCAAGTTGTAGGGAAATTATGGACTTTTGCGTTTGAGAATGTATATAAAGTAGTTAACTTCAATTAGAGTTCCACTATGTTGGGTTGCAACTCTCAAGACCAAGAGGTTTCTGAACTTGAAGAAGCACATTGCTTAAGTATCCTGAGCAGCAATTAAAAAACAACAGTTTTAAAAGAAGAAATTTTTTTTGTAGCTTTTGGTTTGTTGATTAATTTGATGGAACAAGTAGGGAAAATGGTGCTTGTTCATTGCTTTGTTCTTTCCAGCCAATCTCTATAAGTACCCTACACTGGATCCTAGTTTGTCAGATGCATGTGTAAAACCTGGCACTTTTCAGGACCTTATGTGTTGCACTGTGTTACTAATTATGCCTGTCTTTATTTGGGTTTCCGTCTCCTAATTGTAGAATGTAATTTTCTATTGCCTGAACCTGTAAATTTTGACTGTGTTCTTTACATTTTCTGTTTTTCTTCTTTTCCTATCATCAATCTTGGCTAGTATTGTTATTCACAATCTCACATTATGTTATTTCTGTTTTGCAGTCAACTATTGCCACATGCTGCATATATTGTGAGACTTGTTAAAGAATATTTTAAGAGATGTGAGTTACCAGAGTTAAGGATAAAGGTCTACTCCATCACAAAGGTGTTGTTGATGTCGATGGGTGTTGGTATGTAGCAATTTTTAAGAGTATTTGTCTCTTTCCTGTCTGGCATATATTTATTATATTGTTAACTATGTAGATTTTACTGTTATTTTCAATTCCAAAGAGTCTGATAAATCATATCAGTTGTCAAATAGGGATGTTCAGGACTGATTATCCTTAATAGCAACAGGAAAATCTTTCAGATTCTGGAAAGAAAGCCAAAACGAGAAACGATAGTATGAGACTTTCTGGTCATATAATGTGATACAATATAAGATTCAGTAGGAAATTTTTTTTGGTCTTGGATAACATTTGGCACATATGGGAAATATGTTGGTAGGTTCTCTTGTACCTGAGCATGTGTGCTTTTCCCCACCCTTTTTTATGGCCATATTTCATAAACAGAAACCTAGGGCCCTCTAACCTGCATGATTCACTTTCTCCCTCTCACTCTCTCTCTCTCTCTCTCTCTCATTGTGTGTAAATGTGTGCTCTCAGAAAAGAGAAGAGAGAGAGAGAGAGAGAGAGAGAAAGAGAGAACAGTGTGGAAGTGTGCCTTGTTGGTAAGTTTCCATAGTAAGATGTTGGATTGTTAATCTGCCCTTTGCATATAACATGCTTCTTAATTTTCATGTGAAAATTTTTTGTGAGCATTCGACCCTAGATTTCCATTTTAACTAGCTTTTGTTCAAGACTGAGTTCTGTCATTAACTCTTTTCGGAAATATTCAGTCTCATGGAAATAATTGTGGTGCTGTTGCTAACTTCCAGTCATATTCTGATCAGGAATAGCAATATATCTTGCACAAGAAGTTGTCAACAGCTCTTTTCATGATTTAAATCCCACTGTTGATGGCACATCTGTTCATGCAAATGCAAAATCCGAACTTTTGCTGCAGCCTTTCCACAGAAAGAGAAAGCATGGTGCAACCGGATCTCGCGAACAGCTCCATGACAGAACTGGTTTGGAGGTGGAAACATCCAACAGTCCAACTGTGATTTCTGTGAAGATAGCTGCACTTGGGGCATTGGAAACTCTTCTAACTGTGGTATGCTTATTTCATGGTTGTTTGTTGAGTGCTTCTTATTCTATCAAGCTGCTGACTTTTTGTGCTTCAGTCTAACCTTTATTGGATTGTCATATGATTTAGCATGGATAGGGTCAAAATAGACTAAGCGTTTACTAATATTCTTGCGAATAATGGGTACTCACGCCTATTTAGCCTTTGTCAACCTGACCAAACACATTAACCCTCAAAGTGTCACATTTAATATCTTGGTTATGGTGGCAGTAAGTTTCATTATAACAAACACTTTGTTTTCTTAAGCTCTCATTTTTTTCTTTAATGTTCTTTTTTATCCTCTTAAACCACTGGTTTTGTCATATGGAAGTGAGTGATATCTTCATAAAAATGTGTACAGATTTAATTAAATGGGTTTTAAGATGGACACCCATATCCTTTCCCTTTGTGCCCACTTCTTTGAGTCCAGTTATCAATAGCCATTTATATAAAACTGCCATCCATACACCCTTTAGTAATGAGTTGGTTGATAAATATGAGTTAAAATTACTGCTCCAACTGCTCTCACTTTTTTTTTTTTTTAATTGAAGGAAGATATACCCTCTCAAAATAAAGTCCTCTTCTAACCTTGGAGATAATAGGCATATCTTCATTATCCTTTCCAAAATGTCCCTGAGTGCAACAAAAAGTATCCATTGTGTGCATTTTTGCTTTGCTTCCATAATCATGTATTTTGAGCGTTTGGCTTCTTTCTGTTGTAGGCTTAATTGGTGTGCTAAAAGATTTATAATAATTTTTGACAGGGTGGTGGTTTGAGATCTGAGTCTTGGCGTTCAAAAGTTGATCATCTTTTAATAACTATCGCAACAGATTCCTGTAAGGGAGGACGATTTAGTGATGAAAGCAAAACTTTCTTGCCCAATGAATCAATCCTAACATGCTCAGATTTACAGCTAGCAGCATTACGTGCACTTTTGGCATCTCTCCTTTCTCCTTCTCAAGTGCGGCCCCCACATTTAGCTGCTGCTCTTGAGCGTTTCCGTAGAGGCAAGTCCAGGCAGATTATATATATATATATTATTTTTTTTGTTTCCATCATCATATAAACAGCATTTGAGGATGACTTCATGGAAAGGCTGCAATGCCCAATTTTTTTTTAAAGTCATATGTTTATTATTTAGTGCATAAATTACTTTAAGAGAAACTAGCTGTATTTACTGGTATGATTTTATCACTCTAAGCCCCTACCTTCCACCTTACTTTGCACACACACAGTTTTGCACCCACCTTTTTCTTCTCGTTTACATATCATAGGCCCCAATTGCCGTATAGTTTCATGGATAATATTAATTGGGCTTTTTGGTTCTCTCCTATTAGTAATCCTGTTTAATGCTTTAGGCCATCATAATATGAAAAAGCATACTTGCTGATAACTTAGCTACTTTTTTCACGAATGCCTATGGTTTGCTTATAACCTGTTGCTAACCTTGTTGGAGACTGGATTTTTGCAGGCAGGCAAGAAATTGGAACAAAAATATCTGAATTTTGTGCCTATGCACTCTTAGCCTTGGAGGTGCTTATACACCCCCGGGCACTTCCGCTGGCTGATTTTCCCTCTGCAAACTCCTTCAATGAAGGTAACCACAGATTCCCAGAGACTATATACTCTGTCATCCAGAAGCACAGCAACCCATTTTCAAGTGGCATGCAGCACACAGGACATGGCCTTTCTGATTCAGATGATGATTTGTATGAGAGTTGGCTGGATAGCAGCAAGGAAACAGAGGGTCCAGTGGGTGAAAGTATGGACGCTGAAAAGCCTACTGAAACTTTAAGGGTTCAACCGGGAGAAAATATTTCCATGGTTGGTTCGTCAGGTGCAAAAAGTCCTTGGAGAAATGAGCACGAGCCAGCAGCTGCTAGTGCAGACACGGAGATAAAGATTGACAATGAACTAATGGTCGACTCACAGCAATTACAAGAATCCATGGAGCGGCATCAGGAATCTTCTAAAGATGCCACAATTCCTATGGTTACTAGCATTCCAAATGTTACCAATGTGGACTTGACAGGCTCTGGTTCGGAAGGTGATGCTTTAAATTCTAGGGATATTGAAATGGCGTCAGTCCAAGCTGTTATGGCAGATGAAAGTGATGGGCTTACCACCAAAGATGGAAACACAACATCCTTAAGTGCTCAGAAAGGTACTACATTTGCTATTGAAGATGATAATGAAACAACTGATTCTCTCCCTGATATCGTGGATGTTGATCCCGATTCTGATTAGGAGTTAGTATGGGAGTGGTGGCAATGTATTTGTATTCTGTAACAAAAATTAAAGCTGAGTTATGCAATTCAAAATTTTCCCCTTGTCTCAATTCTCAGAGAGCAGGTTGCTAATGGTTCTTTTCTTTCCTTCAAATTTTTCTATTGGCATGTCATGTTGACAATACTTTTTATTTGAGTTTTCTCATAAAATTAGCTCAGTTCCCAGTTCCATCAGAGGCTGCAAATTCCTTTTTTAACGTTAACCTAATCTGAAACTTTCTTGCTGCATCTCTCACTCTGCCTGAAACCTAAAATTACAGGTATGGTTCATCATCTTGGAATAGCTCGGCCAAATTTTTCCATCAACAAAACAACTTTCTTGAATGGCTAAATGGACTAAATTTCTTGATTTGGTTTATTTTATGCTTTTTAGTTATTACTCTTTTTATTTATTATTATTAGATATTTTGCGCAATAAAAATGTAGAAAATCAAGAAATATAGAAATTCATCTAGAATGATTCTTAATTATTTGTGGAATCCTATATAAATATGACTACATGATTTTTATCATAAGACTATGTATGTGACTATTATTTTTGCTAGAAAATTAAAGGATGAACCAAATCTTAAAAAAAAAAAAAGTTCATAAGATATTAAATTCGAAACTAATTTTCAAATAGGCTAAAGTACTTAGAGATTCGATCCATTTAGCCTTCTTAAATCCACACCATTAACTCACTGGGCCTGTTAGAGATAGCCCAGTAGTTAAGACTTGAGATTTTCATTCAAATGTTTAGAATCTAAACCTTAAAAAGAGCGGGATAGAATTTAGAGGCAAGTTTGTGCAGCCCAAAATGCAAAGTAAATTATAAATTAATTCCTCTGGTCTAGAGAAATGAATTAATCAATTTCGTAAAAAATAATTATTTATTTTCTGTATTTAAAATTTTTTTTGTTAGTTAATCTTTTTAGTTTTTTTTTAAGAAATAAAAAAAGAAAAAATATAAAGCATTAATGAAAAATAATTATATTTTTAAAATAAATTAATATTAAATTAAACACAATCATGCTGATTAAAGAACATTTCTAAAAGATAGAAAGGCTAATTCATAATTTACTCTCCTTTATTATTATTATTATTTTTTAAATCTTGGTCAATAACCAATATAAATAAATAATGTAAAAAGCCAATATTGGAGTGCTGGGCTGTTATAGTTTGACTAGGAAAAAAAAAGAAAAAAGAAAAAAAAAAGGTTTGCTTCATAATTGACTTGCGCATAACCAAGCAGTAGAAAGAAGACTTTTGAATATGCCTGACAGATTTATTCAGTTGTTCCAATTACTTGACTTTAATTCTAACTGCAAACCCTTGACTGCAATTTCTTTGAGTAAAAGTTGACATATTTTATCAAATCCATGGAATTTTTTTAATGTGTAAAATTCCTGTTATTCCACTAACTTATGTCAAGGTTTTTTGCCTGGTGTGTTTTCAATTGTTCCTCATCAGTGAAAATTCAACTAGCCAATGTGTTTATATATATATATATATACCAATAGTGTATTCTGGTGTAGCTCTTGTAAATCAAAATTAAGATTTTTTATATCGAATTTCAAAATTAATAGCTCAATTTGTTTTTATATAAGATGGGTATTCAATATGTTTTTATATTTCTTATTGAGTTAATTTTATCATAGATAGATATTAAATTTTTAATCTATTTTTTCTAATAAGATTTTCAAATTAAAAATTATCATCTGCATATCATGTGAATAATTATAATGAGTTGATTTGAAAATTTTGTCAAAATAATAGGATAAAAAATTAATGTATATTCATTGATAAAATTAATTTAATTGAATATGTATGTACAAATTGAATAAATATTTTATAATGTAAAGATATATTGACTCATTAACCCTTATTACTATATTTTTCATGTTATAAAGAGATTCTTTTTTTTTTTTATACGAATTAAGAAGGTTATTAATTATTATGTTATATGAGTTTTTTTTTTGTTTTTTTTTTTATAATTGTATTTGAATAATCTTTTATAAAATAGAATTTAATTAAAAGTATTTAAAAAAATTATATCACTTAAAATTTTGACCCAATAAATATTTTAAAAATAAATATAAATAAAAATTTAATAAATCTCCAAGAGAGAGAGAGAGAGGCAGAGAGAGGGAAGCTAACCAGTTAAATACTGGAATCACCACTCCCAACCCACCTTCCATTGTTCAGTTTCACAAAGCCACGTAAAGCAAAAGGCCAAAATAATAATAATAATAAAATTGTGAATTTCAGGCAACAACCGCACCAGCTACGAATATGGCAGTTCTGTGGATGTTGTATTCGTTATCCCTCTATTTGTCTCAACAATTTCAAGAGTAAATTATGAATTAGTCCTTCTATTTTACAAAATGAATTAAATAGTCTTTTAAGTTATAAAAACTAATTAATTAATCTTTATGTTTTTAAATTTATTTTTAATGTATTCTCCTTTGTTCTTCTTCAATTTAGTTTTTATATATATATATATATATATATATATATAAAGTAAGTATTATTAAAAAAATTGATGATGATATAAGATTTTTTTTAAAAACAAAGTAATATTAAATTAATCATAGTCAACAATGATCGAAAAATTAATAATTGTTTTTGAAACAAGGACTATTTGATCCATTTTGTATAACTAAAAGGACTGATTTATAATTTACTCATAATTTCAAGGATCCCACTGTATATGTATTTTTGTTTCTCTTGTGTGTGTTTTACTTCATGCCCAAATACAAATTTAAAATTTGCAAGTATAAGTGACAACTGCACAACTATTTGTCTTACTCTTACATAAATAATGTTTTATATAAACTCCACCAACCTCACTGGACTATTTATTTATTTATTTAACAATACCAGTTGAAAGTGCACGACATTTGGGTCCAGTTTGGATGCCTAATTTTATGAATTTCTTTTTAGTCAATCGATAAAATCAACAAACTTTTATACTATGATTTGGATTATTCATTTAATCATTTTGTGATACAAGAATATCAAATTTCTATATACTAAAGGACTTTTTCAACACGCAGACATCAATCATTATATATATATATACGCACTGAAGTATTATCAGTATATTTTACATCAATAAAAATTAAACCCATTGCTTTTTAAATTAAAATCAATATCAAAGCATATCTAACTAAGTTGATCATTAAACTCTTTGAAAGCTAACAAATTATAATCTAGTATCATTAAAAAATAATTATACATAGTCATTCATGAATGATGACAACTGAATTTTAATTTTAGATAAATCACAATAATTTTTTTACCATCGGACTTTATCTTTTAATGATATGCTATTTCATCACTTAAGTATTTTTTTATAAAACAACTTCTAAAAAGACAAGAACAAAATGGTAAAGCCTATATAGCAAACGAAATTCAATTGCGATATAAAATATAATAAAATATGATTTATTTTTGTTATTGTTTCGAGTTTTAATTCAAATCGAAACCATAAGTTATTATTTTTTTTTTATAAATTCAGATAAAATGTTATGTCTAGGATTTGATTTTTTAGTATTGACATGTGAAAAATGGTGGAAGAAAACCTCACCAAAAATTTAGTTTGTTTAGATCACTGAAGTTACCATCAAACTCTCAGGCAGAGGTAGGTAATAATACCCAAGCAAACCAAACCGATCCCGGTAGGATTTTGACATCAGACAATCAAGAGTTCGGGCAAAATCCGCAACCTTTGATAGTGACAACCTAAGATCGAGTAAATTATAAATTAGTCCCTCTAGTTTTATAAAAAAGATTAGATACTCTTTTTTTTTAAAAAAAAAACTAATTAATTAGTCTCTTAACTAATGTTTAACATGATTAATTAATATTATCTTGCTTTAAAAGTCTCTTCTTTTCTCATCAATCTTTTCATATTTTTTTTACTTATTTTTTCTTTTTTATTTATTTAGAAAATATAAAATAAAATAACAATGAATGAAAAGAATTAAGTTACAAATAAATTTGAAAACATAAAAATTAATTAATTAGTTTTTGAAATAAAAATAACTATTTAATTCATGTTACAAAACTAAAGTGACAATTTATAATTTACTCTCATCCTTGAAATCTAACGAAAAGAAAAATAATTAATTATAAGTTAGTTTCTATAGTTTATAAAAAATAATTAATCAGTCCTTATACTATAAAAAATAATTATATAGTTTTTGTTTTTACTCATTGACCATCCTCAATACAGTAGCTTTTTCTCCTAAAATGCATTATTTTTTAATCAAGTTTTTATATCTCCCCCACTTCCCTCTCCCTTTCCATTTTTCAAAATAAAAAATAAATTGAAAAAGAACATAGTTACAAAAGGACTAAGTTGCTGACTGATTAAAAATATAGGAATGAAATAATATTTTTGAAGCTACAAGGCTTAATAATAATATTTCAAAATTACAGGGACTAAATTATAATTAACTCTGAAAAATGATAACACCTCCGAAAGTCCAAACATAAGCACAAGCCAAAAAGCCACCAACTTCCCATTTCATGGTCCTTTACTGACTCTTCTCCTATATATATTCCAATCTTCCCTCCTCTCCTCTGTAGCTAACAAGAAACCATCAAGAAAAATTACCATCTACAAAATCAGCATTTTCAGATCTCCTGATCTCTGGTCTGATAATCTTTTTTTCAATAAAGTTTGAAACTTTTTGAGGATTATTATCAATGGCAGAGAAACCATGGGTGAGGATGGTGACTGCACAGACACCAACAAATATAGCTGTGATAAAGTACTGGGGCAAGAGAGATGAGACCTTGATTTTGCCTGTTAATGATAGCATAAGTGTCACTCTTGATCCGGCCCATCTTTGCACGACCACTACTGTTGCTGTTAGTTCTAGTTTTGACCAGGATCGGATGTGGCTCAATGGAAAGGTAGAGTCTGCTTCTTGTTTTTTCTTTCAATTTGGTTGCTGAGAAAGTTCTTGAAATGGGATTTCAGTGGATTTAATGATGCATTCGGATAGTGAATTTTTTGTGGGTTTTCTTTCCTTTGCGTGTTTAATGGTTATCTGGGACCTGGAAAGAAAGGATTAAGCTTTACAATCAGATTTGGTTCTCTTATTTCTTTACCTTTCGGAATTGCACGTCAACATAATAGATAATTTCTTTATTTGAAACCTTTCTATTTAAACAGCTTTTAGAATTGCATGTCAACTAGCTTAGTTCGTAAAGTCATGTGCTAGCATTGTTGTAGTGATGTAATTGTGCATGTAGTTGTACCAAGGATGATGGGCTTAAGGGAGAAAGAGGGCTAGTTGTGTTGAGAATCTTCTGTGGTTTATCATCAAGGAAAACTTTAATGTATTTTTTGTTGCGTCCTATTTGGCTGTTGAGGAAATGTGGGGAAAGGAAAGAAATTGATCGAGACCAGATAAAAGGTTTGATCTTGAAAGGATAGACATGGATCGAGATTGGATAAAATTTAATTGCATTCTCAATGGCCTAGTAAATGAGACTATTTACTAGTTTTGGTTCTTTGTAGCTAAGCAAAATAGAAATCCTCTGCCTTTCTGCTGACTCATGGCACGTTTGGTTTTTGCTGGTTAGCGTAGGAGATTTCCCTTTCTGGAGGCAGGTTCCAAAATTGTTTAAGGGAAATTCGTGCCCGGGCTTGTGACGTCGAGGATGAAGAGAAGGGTATAAAGATTGCAAAGAAGGATTGGGAGAAATTGCATGTGCATATTGCTTCATTTAACAATTTCCCTACTGCTGCTGGACTGGCTTCTTCTGCAGCTGGCTTTGCTTGTCTTGGTAAACATTTTTCTTGAATTTTCCTCGCTCTAATCATTCCCTTTTTGATTGTTAATGGGCCTTCACTTTTTAAACATATTTTCTATTTAGTTTATTGAACGGTTGAGCTGGACTTTGCATTTGTCAGAAATCATTGTGAATGAACTATCTGGGTTTTGTATTGTTTAAGAAAATAGATGCAGTTCTCACTTATGCTTAAATTTATTTGACCCCTCTAGTCTAGCTTTATCATGGATGGAACTCAGTATATGGAATGATTATTCATTAATCACTTTTGTTGAAAACCCTCACAATAAAGCTTACTCCATATGATTATGGGGTCTGTTGAAATTGACCAACTTGGCCTATAGTATGAGAGTGGAAGAATTTATTCAACATGACATCATCTGGTTTTATGTTTTTATGTAGTTTTTGCCCTTGCAAAGCTGATGAATGCAAAAGAAGATAATAGCGAGCTTTCTGCTATTGCAAGGTATACCTTTATAGCGCATGCATATTTTTAAGTGCTTTGTTTTATGATGTTTTTCTTCATGCCAATAATTTTTAGTGGCATGGAACATTTTTTCTCCCTATCATCTTATTGCTCATAGTTAGCTGCTATTTACATGGTTCATTTATTCCACTATATCCTCATACAGTTGTCACCCCCAACAAATATTTATTATTCTGATTCTTGCTACATGCATCTTTGCTGGTACCTAATTACTCGTTCTTAGTTGATATCAATTGTTATTAACGATATCTTTAAGTCATTGAGAAGTTGGTTTGTTGGGAGCTATCTTGACTTATTTCATAGCTCAGTTATATATTTAATTCAATTTGTCAGGGCTTTTCAGATACGAGTGAATCAAGCATGCTATTTGCAATTAAATTTGATATTTTACAAACATTGTTTGTTGGAAAGGTTCTAGCAATGTTTGATACTTTGCAAGCTTTGTTTTTTAGGCAAGGTTCTGGCAGTGCCTGTCGCAGTTTATTTGGTGGATTTGTGAAGTGGATCATGGGAAAAGTAAGTTTGATTTTGAGGTTCATCCATGGAGCCTTCTGATTACATTGCTCTGTGGACAATTAATTCTGATGCATTTTTTTTAAAATATTTCAAGGCTGAGGATGGAAGGGATAGCCTTGCTGTTCAACTTGTAGACGAAAAGCACTGGGATGAACTTGTTATCATTATCGCTGTGGTATGGTTTTTTCTTATTTAGAACTCGTTAGTCTGAATATAGTTTGAGTTGCCTCTGGACTCTGGGAATAGCAGTCCTAAAAGTATGGTTGATTTTTCTGTGCCCTGCTGTTCTAGTAAACTGAGTCTTTATTTTGTTCCCCAGGTATGTTCGCGGCAGAAAGAAACAAGTAGCACCACGGGGATGCGGGACAGTGTTGAAACTAGCTTGCTTTTGAAACACAGAGCTAAGGTGCTTTTCAATGCCCTTAATTCTATTTCTTGCAATTTCTCTTCTGAAGCAGTTGTCTTTCTTCAATTGCAAAAGGTGCTCCTAGCAGTTGAGCTTTCTAGATGTAAATGGAGTGGGAATCCGATTCTGAAGCTATTCTGGATGATAACCATACTTTGTGATTTGCACACTGCCTTTTCCTTGCTGTGGAGATTTTGATTTTCTTTGAAATTTGATCCTTTGTTTTCCTTTAATGTGTCTTCTGATCAATACATTCCGAGATCGTTTGAAAGTTATTTAACTTTTGGTATTATTTTCTTCTTGTTCTGGACTAAATAGGAAGTTGTACCAAAACGCATTACAGAAATGGAAGAAGCCATAAAGACTCGTGATTTTGAATCTTTTGCACAATTAACTTGTGCGGATAGCAATCAGTTCCATGCTGTCTGCTTGGATACATGCCCCCCAATATTCTACATGAATGATACGTCTCACAGGCAAGTAAAGTTTCTTGTTCATCTGACATGAAAATTTTTGCTTCATCAATTATTTATTTATTTGCATGCCGAGCTACTTCCCCAGCAATAGAGTGTAGTTTTAACATAGTGACTATATTTCAGGATAATCAGCTGTGTCGAAAAATGGAATCGCTCAGAAGGAACACCTCAGGTTGGTTTGTTTTTCGCTTATCTTTTTTGGTTAAGTATACATCAGATTCTAGGAGCTTAACTTAGAAGCAAGTTGCTAGATAGTATGTGACGACACTAAAATAGTTATTTTTCAAAATTTTGGTCATAGATGATAGTCAAACTTGACACATGGATGATTATTTACATGATTTATGGATGATAACATAATAAAATAGTGTTCCCAATTGTCTAATTATAATATTTAGTTTCGTTTGTTCTTTTTGCAAAAATTAGCTGATCTTGCATGGTTCCTCAAGTGCAGATAGATGTCCCTGCTGATGCTGAAATATCATAAGATTATTTATTTGGTTTTGGATTTTGTAACAGAAAATATATCACTTCATCACATCAAATATTAAGCTGCTTCTCACTTGTGGTTTGTGCTGTTCTTTTACCCACTTGTGATGACTTATTGTGAAATTGCTTTAATGCTTGCAGCCACCTTCTTTTGTTGTAGATTTCTGAAAAAAAAAAAAAAAAATAATAATAATAAATGAAACAAAAATGATGGTTAGAGTCCTACTAGTCCCACCAACTAATTGTCATGGGTTCCAAATGCATAATGGTTGACTAATGGTGAGATTTCACTGACAGGTGGCCTATACCTTTGATGCTGGGCCCAATGCAGTTCTAATTGCACATAATAGAAAGGCTGCTACCCAGTTACTGCAGAAACTGCTTTTTTGCTTCCCTCCAAGTTCCGATACTGATCTGAACAGGTATATTGTCTTCCAATATTAAGGTCACAACAGGATTTTGGTGGCGATGTTTTTGAGGCTATCATTTATACAACTCCATAAAGCAGTTTTCTGATAATCAAACTCTTTTTTTCCCTTCAGTTATGTTATAGGTGATAAGTCTATACTAAAAGATGCTGGGATTGAAGATATGAAGGATGTGGAAGCTTTGCCACCACCTCCAGAAATTAAGGATGCCCAGAGAAGCAAAGGAGACGTTAGTTATTTCATCTGTACAAAACCTGGTAGAGGTCCTGTTTTGCTCTCTGATGAAAGCCAGGCTCTTCTCCATCCTGAAACAGGGCTGCCTAAATGAACTTAGGAGGAAAATAACTTTTCTTGCCTTCTGTACTTTTAGTCTTTGTTGGTCGGAGTTGGACACCTCTGAGCCTGAAGTGTTCCATTGTGATGATTGTTTGCAGTAATTAAGGGTCACTGCGAAGTGATTCTCTCAAATGTTCCTCGCAAATTCGCAGTTAATGCTGCTTTGCCTTGTATTTGTAATTTATTTTTGTTTCAGTCCATTTAGGTTTTCAGCCTCAACAATGAATAATCTGCCCATTGCTCCTTCTAAGCTCTTTTTCAGCTGTTAGCCTTAAATAGCTTTTATGGTGTTTCCAACATTTTGTATTCCAGTTGCGGTTGTCAATCAATAAATTCTTGGTTTACCTGTTATTTTTGTTCTTGATCTTGGCGTTCGCCTGTGTGCTGGCATTCTGCGACACAATTCTCTGCAAACGCTCCAAAAATTCATCGACAGTTTATTATCTCTGTTTTCTGAAGCTTACAGGGCATGCCACTATGCTGTTTATTTGCTATATTGTGGCATTTGCCGTTCGATATTCAAGAGCTGATCTGCCTATCATTTGCAGCGTAAACCACTTCATAAATGGGCTCTCTGATTGCCAAGCAGCCAATGCTAAAGAGTCGAAATAAAAATATTATTGCAACATGACCAAATCTCCGGTGCAGAAACATAGCTTGCACAGCAGAAAAGCATACAAGATATTTGAAATGAAGAACAGAATCAGGGATACACTGTCCCGCGCCTAGCCTACAACAAATAGGATCACTCCTTTTCCAGAAAAGAAGCCTTTACAATTTTTTCGAAATTCTGTGGGATGGCGGTGAATATATGTCCAGCACCAGGAACTTCATGGTAGCTAATCCATGGAAGTCTTTGGGCTATATATCTCTGCAAGCTAGCAGGCACCATTACATCTTCCTCACCGTGCCATAGATGAACTGAGCCTTCATTTTTAGGAAAGGGATTCTCAAGATCCATGGGATCAAATTCCCACTTCCCAAATCCAACAATCAAGTCGCGATGTGTGGATTCAAATTCTCCTTGCAGCGTTGCTTGTGGCTGCATAAAAAGAGATTGTACAATTCCAAATCAGCCATGAAGATTAGAAGTTTATAATCCTGGCAGGTTACTAGCTAGCTATTCGTGAATAAAAGAAAAGGCCTCCCAGACTAGGCAACACGCAAGGCAAAATCATGCATGAGATGATAACTTTTACCACTTGCAATACCTTCTTTTAGACACAATTTATTAAGATACATTTGGTTTGTGATTCATTTCCTTGTAATGCAAAAGAGAGAGTATAATAGGAAAATGATGTACCCTGGCTTCTCTCTTCTTTGCAAACATGGATATGAGTTCTAAATCCTGACGGGAGAAAATTTCAGGCTTCATGGATATAACAGCTGATGAAGGAAACCATTTCTGAGTGTTCCACCAGTAGGTGAGCCATGGAGAATGGTGAGCAACGCGTAATGCCCATTGATCCTGTGGTATCTGTCGGTAGTATGCTTCTGCTGATAAGTTTGCAGGAAAGCCAGGCCACCAATAGTTGACAACGGGAGAAATTAGTGTTGCTCCTGCTAGCCTGTAAGCAACAAGAGCACACGACTTGAAACAAATAATAGCATCAAACGAAAATGTTAGGAAACATAAACAAACAAATCTCTAGCAGATTCCTGAAACTAGAATACACTTGAGAACATTGGCAAATATTTTCATAGCATGCTTTACTTTCTTTTACTTGAATAATTTCTTGAAATTACTGTACTTTCTTGATTGTACATCCCCCATTCTGAAAGTTGGCAGATGATCCCCAAGATAGCAAATTTTTCTGAACTGCAAGTAAAACAGTCTCACCTATAAGTCAAAAAGTCTCACCTATGAGGAATGTACTTGAGGCAGCCCCAAACCACTTGGCCTCCCATGGAAAACCCCATCACATAAAATTTAGATCCTAGTCCTAAATGATCAGCAAGCTCTTCTATATCTAAAGCTATACTTTTTGGAGTTCGCTTTGGATCAGGATCGCTCTCTCCATAACCTGGCCGGTCGAAGTACACAAAGTACAGCCCCAGCTCCTGAACAACATCCTGAAAATAATCACATGAGGGGGAAAGTCAGATTCCTCCATCGAACAAACACAATCTCTTGACCAATGATACCTTAAAGACTTACACGAAAACATAGATTGAGAAACAAAGTACCAGAACAGAGTCTGTCATACTCATTGAGTCATGTTTCGTAGAACCAAAGCCATGAACAATTATGATCTTAGCTTTGGCAGTGTCTTTAGAAACACCATTCTCCTTGTAGGACAAATACCTCCCGTCCCTCAGCTTTACTCTAGGTGCTGTAATGGGAGGGCCACCTGGGGTACCACAAATCTTCGGAGGTGGAGGTTGGGTGGTCTGATACATCCATGCCGCCAACCCAAGAAACAAGACCACCGTAATCTCCTTGATCATCCCTAGGAAAAATGATAATTTTTTCACAAACTCTTCTCTAAAATTGGAGAAATTTGATCGTTACAGATTATTGCTAAAACTTATGCTTTACATTATATCACATCCACCAGAAATTCTGTTTCACTCTACAATATATCAACATTTATAAAGACCAAATTAAACACACAGAAAAACAGATCTAAAAACACTAGCAGTCATGAAAGACTCTTCCTAAATTTCTGAGAAATACATATCACCCCAAAATGCTTCAAAAGGAAATTAAGAAACTGGAATCATATTATCTGTTTCTATCAGAGAATTAAGCAAGCAAGCATTGGAAAGATGAAACTGCTAAGATAAACAAACACAGTGGAGTCTCTTCCTACGTTAGATGTAGACATAACAAGAACCTTAGAAATTAACAGCCCAGTAACTGTGCGTTTGAGAGAGAGGGAGAGGAAGAGAGTCAAGAGACAACCTTAAAGAACAAAAATGAAGATTTTCTTCTTTTGAAGCAGCTTCTACTGATCTCCACAACCACCATATCTTGTAGTCAAATGTTCAGTGGGGTAGATAATGATCGACAGGTAAGGTAAGAAACGGGTTAGCTAGAGACAGAAGTACAACATTTCGACCTCCAGTCTCCACTCATTTAAGATTCATGATTGTATTTACTATTTTATGATAGAAAATTCAATTTTCACCAAACAACATTGATAGATCTCATCCATCAAAAGTTCACTCCATCTTGAAAGATACCTCGTTGAGTGGCCTGGTCAGCTAATTTATTTAAACGGCACTTCCATGGATGAAAAATGGAAAAAAGTTTGTCCGAATATGCAAGGAATCAACGTTGGAATAAATTGTAAATTGGTCCTTCTATTTTTGCAAAGTAAATTAAATAGTTTATCTAGTTTAAAAAACTAATCAATTAGTCTCTTGATTGATGCTGATCGTATATTATTTTGTTTCAACAACTGTCTTTTTTTCTCATCTATTTTTTTCATACTTTTTTACGTTTTTTCTTCTTTTTCTATTTATTAAAAAATAAAATAAACTAAACACAATAAAAGAGGATTAAGTTACAAATAGATTTAAAAATATAAAAATTAATTAAAACTAGAAGGACTATTTAATTCTCTTTGAAAAATTAGAGGGACTAACTTATAATTAACTCATCAACATTCGTAATTTTGTTTTTTTCAAAAAATTGATAATATAAGAAAACATTGTAAATATCTTCATATTGCATAATTTAGTTCTTTCTTGAGTTTAGAAAGTTCAATAAAAATCATCCCTACCTTTAGGTGGAGTGGAGTTTGGATGGGGTCGTTGGGATTTGCCATTAGGCTAGATGGCCAAAGAAAAAATAAAAAAGAAAGAAGAAAATTTAAGGAAAAACCTCATCTTCATCCTTGAATTATTATTTGCATTGATTTTCAATTTCATCTAAAAGTAAATAATCTAATAAATTATGTGCCTAAAGTATCTTGCATTTTTGATAGGATTTTCTGACTAAAATTTTCACAGTGTTTTTTTTCAAATAAATATTATTGAATTATCTTCAAAAAATTATTCTTCTATTATATAAATAGCATAGATATATTAACCGATATAGATAAAGGACTCGATTGTCTAATATTCTAGGATTTAGTTTAGAAAAGATTTCTCTAAGGACCTAATTGGATAAGTTGGGGATTAGTTTAAGGTTTCCCAAAATTTAATTTCTTAGGTAGAGAAGGATCAATGTCATGAATATGGTTTGGATTTTTCTACGACACTATTTATACCAACGATTTTATTTGACAGTGACAAATAATTAAAAGAAAAAACACTTTACTGGTGCAACCAACATTAAGTATCTTTGTTTTGAGCACCATGACCCCACCAGAAGGAAAAAAAAAAAAAGCCTTACGATTGGTTGATCTTTAAAAGTTATTTATATTTTTTTTAGGTTAAGTAATAACAGTATTTTGAATCAATTTTTACGTATTTTAAAATTAATTTTTTTAACATAATTAAAGAGCATTATTCAATATAATTTTGGGTATTTTGAAAATAAAATTTTAAAAATATTAATTATAAAAATTAAATACTAAATCTAATTTATAAATGGATGTTTATTTACTAATGGACTATTTTCTTGCGGTTTCAAATGCTTTACATACATGAATAGAGAGAGAATCATAATGTTGGCCCATGTATTTTCTTAAAATTTCTATTTGAGTTCTTATATTTTTTAAAAATTGATTAATAAATTAAATTTGCTCTAAAGTATCCTTCTCAAGAGCGTTTAAATCACTGCCAAAGCAGGGGCTTTCTTGAAATAAAAGCATTTGATAATGATTGGTTGGTTTTTAAAATGTAAGTGAACTCGAACAGAGAACATAAACTATAGAAACTAAATAGAAATTCTGATAATATGGGCACCGAATTTGTGATTATCTACATTTGGGCCCCTTCATGTATCCGTTGGACCCAAATAGGCTCCATCTGCCATAATACTTGTGCTTGGGCTCAAATTCTTATACAAAGACAATTGAATTGTGATAGTTACAACTAGATTTTTGACTCGCGTTACGCTGCGATTAAATAAAAAATAAAAAATTATTTTGAAAAATTATTTCAGTTTAATAATTTATTTTATTATAAAAAATAATTATAATTTTTTAATAAAATTTTTTATAGATAACTATTTTTTATTTGTGTTTTTAAATTTTAAAAATAAATAATAAAAGAAATAAATTATTGGTTTTTTAAAAATTTTAAAGCCTAATTAATTATTGGTTCATTTAAAATTTTAACACCCAACATTATTAAGAAATGAAAATTTTAAAAAAATTTCAATTTTTAGATAAAATAAAAAAGGTGGCCAGCCGTTTATTGTTAAACGAATGGAAATTAAAAAAAAAATGTTCAATTGTGGGCAAGTCATTTACTGTTCAATTGAACAGAAAATAGGAAAAAAAGGAGAAAGAAAGCTAGCGCTAGCTAAAAAAAAAAGTGAAAATTAAAAAAAAAAACCCAAAGCATTATAGCAATGAACATTGATTAACACTCGTTCATTGTTACGGTGAAAAACCATTTTTCTTTACTATATAGTATAATTTTTATTGAGATTAATTATTTAAAATTTACGATTACCATTTATATGTTGATATATTAAATTGTATGAAAATTTTATTGTTAATCATTTTCCAAAAAGAAATGCCATAATGCCAAGGCATTCAATGAATAATGGAGTAAATTATAAATCAATCCTTTTAATTTAGAGAAATGAATTAATTAGTTTTTTTTTACCATACTTAATTTAATATTACTTTATTTCAAAAAATGTCTTCTTCCTTCATTAATATTTCCATAATATCTTCTTTTTTTTTTTTGTTTCCTTTTCTATTTAAAAAAAAAATTAGAAAAAAAAAACAGAAAATGGACAAAATGAACTAAATAATTAGTTTTGAAGCAGAGAAGGCTAATTAGTTTGTTTAAACTAAAAGGATTAATTTATAATTTACTCATGATTAATGAGCTTGATTTAGAACACCTTAAATTAGATGGATTTAGAAATGCTTGTTGCAATGGACATTTGATATTTGTAAGCAGAGCTTTTGTTTTATAGGCAATGTTCTACCAGTACCGTGCTTTTCACAGTTTGTTTGGTGCATTTGTGATCAAGTGGATCATGAGAAAATTAGTAAGTTTTGATTTTGGAATTAAGAATGATCAATACAATCTTATTGCAACAACACTAAAGTTTCTGTTGCATACAGACACATAGGTTGTACAACAGATAGACACAGACTAAGATGTTTGAAACTATTAAGAATAGAATCAGGAATACTCTGTTCCATTACACACCTAGCCCTACACCAAATTATAGGATTCCCACCTTCTCAGAAAATAAGCCTTTGCAAATTATAGGATTAACCAAGAAATTATAGTTTTGGTTTTGAAAATACATTGTTTTTTGGCAAGATTTTGACGTTGTTAGGGAGCGGTTGGTATGGAAGCATTTAAGACTTTGATGGAAAGATTCTGGCATTACCTCTAAGCTCCTTTCAGGTGCTAGCCTTGAATAGTTTTTAAGCTACATCATCTTGGTTTTTCTGTTATCTTTGTTCTTGATCTTGATGTTTGCCAGCAGGCTGGCATTTCTCAACGCAGTTCTACAAAGTGGCTTAAAAATGAATGACTGTTAATTTTTGTTTTCTGAAGTTTACAGGGTATGCTGTGATGCTGCTTATTTCCTATTCAGTGGATTTAGGTATTCAATAGCTGATTTGCAGCTTAAACAAGTTCATCCATGGACCAATTTGATGGAAATGGCCACCAGCAGAATGTTTAACAGTTCAATGCTGCTTTGAAACTTGCAAAATCTGATCAAAAGTAGCGTATAAATCCAGTCTCATTGCAACAATTCTGTAGGGTATACATAGATTGAAAAATTAGAATGAAAAATATGTTTGAAATTAAGAAGGGATAGCCCTATGACAGATAGTTCTACTTCAGTTCTTTCCGAGAAAAAAGCTTTTACCATTTCTTCGAATTTCTCCGGGATACAGAGGAACATATGTCCTGCACCAGGCAACTCATGGTAGTTAATCCATGGAAGTTTTTGGGCTATATATCGCTGCAAACTAGCAGGCACCAATACGTCTTCATCACCCTGCCATATATGAACCGAGCCTTCATTGTTCGGAAAAGGATTTTCAAGATCCATGGGATCAAATTCCCATTTCCCAAACGCAACCATCAAGTCTCGATGCAAGGATTCAAATTCTCCTTGCAGTGTTGGTTGTGGCTGCACAAAAGGAGAGGGTAAAAAATAAGCCAAATCAGCCAGGAAGATTAGGAGTTTATAAATTCTGGCTCTGGCAGGTTATTATCTAATTCTGCGTATAGGAACACATCCTCTGAGACAAAATTTATGTCTGAGACACAAAATTTAGAAAGATGCATATGGTTTATGTTTCATTTCCTTGTAAATGCATAAAATAAGTGTATAACACGAAAATGGAAGTACCCTGGTTTCTTCAGTAAACATGGAAAGGAGCTGTAAATCCTGGCGAGAGAAAATTTCAGGCTTCAAAGCTATAGAAGCTGATGCAGGAAACCACTTTTGAGTGTTCCACCAGTAGGTGAGCCATGGAGTATAGTGAGCAACACGTAATGTCCATCGTTCCTGTGGCATCTGTCCGTTGTAGGCTTCTGTTGATAAGTTGGCAGGAAAGCCAGACCACCAGAAGTTGACAGCAGGAGCAATTAGTGTTGCTCCGGCTAGCCTGTAAGCACGGGCACCCAAATTGAAACAAAAAATAGTACCGACGGAAAATGCGAGGCAGCAAAGAAAAAGTATCCAGATTGTCCATACAACACGCAAATATCTAGCAGATTCACTATACTAGAATGCAAGAACATTGAAAAATATTTTTGATTGCAGAAGATTCCTTAAGTAGCAAATTTATCAGAATTACAACAGTCTCACCTGTGAGGAATGTATTTGAGGCAGCCCCAAACCACTTGGCCTCCCATGGAGAACCCCATCACATAAAATTTGGATCCAAGTCCTAAATGATCAGCAAGCTCTTCTATATCTAGAGCTATACTTTTTGGAGTTCGCTGGGGATCTGGATCGCTTTCTCCATAACCCGGCCGGTCAAAGGACACAAGGAACAACCCCAGCTCCTCAATAACATCCTGAAAATCATCCCATGAGGGGGAGAAGTCAAATTTCTCATCAACAAATACAATCTCTTGACCAATTATGATACCTTCATGAGTTGCAGGAAAATATATATTTAGAAATAAAGTACCGGAACCATGTTTGACAGACTCATCATGTCATGTTTCGTATTGGCAAAGCCATGAACAAGTATGATGTTAGCTTTGGCTGATTCTCTTGACACACCACTCTCCTCGTAGGCCAAATACCTCCCATCCCTCAGCTTGATTCTAGGTGCTCTAATAGGAGGACCACCTGGGGTACCACAAATCTTTGGAGGTGGAGGTTGGGTGGCCCAATATGCCCCTACCGCCAACCCAAGAAACAAGACCACCGTAATCTTCTTGAGCATCCCTAGAAAAATGAGAATTTTTTCACAAGCTGTACTCTAAAAATGGAGAGAAAGTTATCATATAGTTTCTAATACCAATAAACATAAACAGTACTAACTTATGAAGAAAAGGTCATGCATTAGAACTTGTAATACTGTAAGAGACTAAGATTTAGAGTTCTAGTGAAGCAGCTGAGACTGTTTCCAGCTGAATGCCACCATGTCTTGTATTTCACCACTATGTATACAGTTCATTCCATCTTGAAATATGTTAGATAACAGAAGAACATAAATATCCCAACGTCATTCAAGCTTCCCCTAAGATTGATGCATACGATTTATCATAAGGTTCGTTCCATCTTGGAAAAAAGATCTCTGTATGTAATTAACTGTTTGATTCATTCAAACCTTTAATGAATACAATATTGTTCGTCGACATATGGAAGATATCAACATGGCAGGCGACTTCTTTTTTCTTAAAGAAAGAGAGAAACTCGGCTTGCTTGAGAATATAAGCAAATACTGCTGGGGAGTCACTGTCACTTGGGTCAGCATGAGAGCGCTTTCACAAATTGATGTACCTCAGTAGATCACTTCAACTCAAAAAATCTATTCTAGGTTATGGGTCATTTTTATATATAAGCATAATTAAACTTTCTATTTCTATTTCTATTTCTATCTGATGTGGGAATTTTTATTCACTTGTGAAACTCAACAAATTTCTCTCTCACATTTGTCCCTCATCTATATATATTTTTTTGTAACTCACGCACCCAAAACTCGTAACAAAATTAATCTGATAGGATTTGAACCCGTGAGCTCTTGCAAGAGACCACTACACAAGGTTACAAACTCTTTGGTTCTCATCTATATTCAACATTACTCTTCCTCCACCATAAGCATCTTCACAATCCAAGTGTGTTGTCACTATTTTCTTATTCAACCATGTTAGGTGGATGAAACTATGCAAGTGTACACTTGTTCAACCATTGGGTGGCAACGATAGGAGTCCAACCAACCAAGCTGCACTCAGTCCTAGTCAAACCATAGACTCTAATATCACTTTGTTAGGATTTAGGAAGCTTCCTGTGTTCAGAGAGATGCATGGTTCTCTGTGTCCTCGTCGAGCTAGCACGTAGGAGGGTTTACACACACGACTAGACATCATCTCTAATCCAAATTCTTACACTATTGAGTCATCAGTCCATCTTATATATAAGCTTTGTTTTTGGTTTTTTTCCCCCCTTAAAAGAGAGATCAAGATTGTGAACATCATCAAATTGCTCTCAATTTTCTACATTATTGAGACCAATGGTTTTCATTTGACAGTTTGAAAGAAAAGTTAATTGAACACAAGAATATAATGACTTGTGAAATTGTGATCCTTGAAAAATGGAAAAACTCCTTAGTGGTTTAGCCAAGAGCCAACGTAAATAACCAACCTCATCAAGAAAAAAAATGGTTAATCATGATGGTTCAGGAATTTTCTCAAAATTTGTATTTGACTTGAGTTCTGATATTCTTTAAAAATGATTAATCTAAGTAATGTGTTTCGAAAATACCTTTCTTTAGTGTGTTTAACCATTGACTAACCATTGGTTTTATTGGAAGAATTGTACTTGATTAATTAATTTTAAATACCATAGTTGAAGTAGTAAAAAATAAAGTAAAAAAACTCAAATGAAATGTTGACTTGCAACCAGCTGAAGTTAAAAATAGTGTCTCCATCCTGAAACTGGTATGCCTAAATGAACTTAAGAGTCCATCAACATTTCTTGCACTTTTATATTTTTTAACTCTAGCTGAAAACCTCTGTGATCCTCAAGCATTCCATTGTGATGAACTATTCCTCCTTTCAAATTATGGAGTTTGGTGCTAATTCCTTGTTTCGCTTTTCTACTCTTATCTTTTGCATCTCTCTTTGTTTGTTTTGTTTCTCCCAGTCGGCTGTCCACTTTTGCAGCCTTCTTTTGTGCCTTTTCGCCTTGTGGTCTTCCACTTGGTGTGTTTAATCTATCCTGGCTTGTCAAAAAGAAAAACTATTCCACCTCTCAGCTTTTAGCCTAGAATAGTTTATAAGCTACTTCCAAATCTTGGTCTTCCAGTTATGTTTGTTCTTGATCTTTATGTTTTCCGCAGGCTGGCATCCCTCGACACAGTTCTCCATGTTGGCTAAAAATTGAATGATTGTGAATTTTCTGTTTTCTGAAGCTTGCAGGGCGTGCTGCTGCTTATTTCCTATCAATAGCTGATTTGAAGCTTAAACAAGTTCATCCTTGGAATCCAATATGATGGAAATGGCTGCCAGCTGAATGTTTTAACAGTTAAATGCTACTTTACAACTTGCAAAATTTGATTAAAAGTAGTGTCAAAATCCAATCTCGTTAAACCATGACAAAAAATTATGTCGCAGATCAATAACTTGTATATTAGAAAGACAAATAGGTTTGACATTAAGAATGGAATCAGGAATACACTGTCTCGCACAATAGCATTAGAACAAATAGGATACTTCAGTTCTTTCTGAGAAAAGGAGCTTCTAAAATTTCTTTGAATTTCTCTGGGATACAGAAGAATAAATGTCCAGCACCAGGCACCTCATGGTAGTTAATCCATGGAAGTCTTTGGGCTATACATCGCTGCAAGCTAGCAGGCACCAATACATCTTCATCACCCTGCCATATATGAACCGACCCATCATTGTTCGGAAAAGGATTTTCAAGATCCATGAGATTAAATTCCCACTTCCCAAGTCCAACCATCAAGTCTCGATGCAAGGATTCAAATTCTCCTTGCAATGTTGCAGGTGGCTGCACAAAAAGAGAGGGTATAAATTCCAAATTAGCCGGAGTTTATAAATTCTGGCTGGTTACTATTCATTCCTGAACAAAATTCTCGGAAACAGAATTTATGTGTGATAATAACTTTACCACTAGCAATTACTTGGTTTCGCCTCAGCTTTTGGACACACACAGTTTAGAAAGATGAATATGGTTTATGTTTCATTTCCATCTATACGCATAAAATGAGAGTATAATACGAAAATGGAAGTACCCAGGTTTCGGCTTCCTCTTGAACCATTTTGGAAAGGATTTGTAAATCCTGGCCGGACCAAATTTCAGGCCTCTGGGCTATAAGAGCTGATGAAGGAAACCACTTCTGAGTGTTCCACCAGTAGGTGAGCCATGGAGTATAGCGAGCAACACGTAATGCCCATTGTTCCTGTGGCATCTGTCGGTAGTAGGCTTCTCTTGATAATTTGGCAGGAAGGCCAGGCCACCAGTAGTTGACGGCCGGCGCAATTATTGTTGCTCCGGCTAGCCTGTAAGCACGGTCAACAAACTTGAAGCAAAGAATAGGGCCAAACGAAAATATGAGACAACAAAGAAAAAGCTTCCAGATTGTCCATATCACACACAAATCTCTAGTAGATTCAACGTGCTAGAATGCAAGAACATTGAAAAACATTTTCATAGCAGAAGATTCCATAGGTAGCAAATTTATCAGAATTACAAGTAAAGCAGTCTCACCTGTGAGGGATGTACTTGAGGCAGCACCAAATCACTTGGCCTCCCAAGGAAAACCCCATCACATAAAATTTGGATCCAAGTCCTAAATGATCAGCAAGTTCTTCTATATCCAAGGCTATACTTTTTGGAGTTCGCTTGGGATCTGGATCGCTTTCTCCATAACCCGGCCGGTCAAAGGACACAAAGTACAACCCCAGCTCCTCAACAACTTCCTGAAAATCATAACAAAAATTGAGGGTAAATGTAGTCCAATTTCTCCATCAACAAATACAATTTCTTGACGAATTAAACCTTAATGAGTTACACGAAAAAATAGATTTATAAATAAAGTACCGGAACCATGTTTGTCAGGCTCATCATGCCATGTTTTGTATCGGCAAAGCCATGAACAAGTATGATCTTAGCTTTGGCAGTTTCTCTAGACACACCATGCTCCTTGTAGGCCAAACGCCGCCCATCCCTCAGCTTAACTCTAGGTGCTGTAATGGGAGGACCACCTGGTGTACCACAAATCTTTGGAGGTGGAGGTTGGATGGCCCGATATACCCCTACCGCCAACCCAAGAAACAAGCCCACCGTAACCTTCTTGAGCATCCCTACAAAAATGATATTTTTCACAAGCTGTGCTCTAAAATTGGAAAATCTATTATCATATAGTTACTCGATTTACTGACAGTGACCCAGATTAATTTGATCGTTACAAATGATTCTCTAGCGCTGCTAAAATACCAGCAAACATAAACAATACTAACTTATGAAGAACAAGAACATGCAAGAGAACCTGTAAGACTGTAAGAGACTAAAATGTAGAGTTCTAGCGAAGCAGCTGATCACTCGGTTTCTTGCTGAATGCCACCATGTCTTGTGTTTACAGTTCACTCCATCTTGAAATATATTAGATAACAGAAGAACATAAAGATTGTATCGTCGTTCAAGCTTCCCCCAAGATTGATGCATATCATTTATCACAAGTTTCACTCCATCTTCAAAAAAGATCTCTGTAATCAACTGTTTGATTTATTCAAACCTCTAATGAATACAATAATGTATCAATCAAACTTGCTTGAGTATTCATTAAAAATTATCAATGTGAGTGAATTTTTTTCGAAGATACCTTCTCAAGTGTGTTTAAACTGTTGACTAATTATCGGTATTTTCGGAAGAATTGATTAATTGATTATTAAATATTTATGAACAGAAGTAGTAAAAATTAAAGTACAACAAATCAAAAGAAATTTTGACAAGATACAGGGCTGGAATATGAGATAATGTCACGTTCATCGTGATTCATGAGCAGGCGCTAAATTAATGATAAACCATATTCAAGTTTGAAGTACGCAAATACTTGTTGCCGTTGACATTTGTGATACTGCCGTGAGCACGTTTTTTGGCAAGATTTTTCTGTCAGTCCTTGTCGTCTGTTGATACCAAGAAATAATGGCCACTTCAGTACCGGCCCAATACATGCAGTAAGGTCTTAATAGACGATCTGGCCCAACAAGAGATATACTGGAAAATCCCCTATGCCCAGTGAACCTCAGCCGGGTAACTTTGCTCCACCACTGAAGGCTTTATTTCACAGAACATGAGGAAAGGAGTACAAGACTCGAGGAAGACACATCAATAGTTTTAAATAGTAACCGAAGTTAAAAAAACAATGGCAATCATACTCGTAAAATATGGTTTATTGTAATGATAAATTAATAATTATGATAATTAATTTTGTAAATATATTAATAATTATTAATAAATTTATTTTAATTTATGTATTTTTAATAATTTTACTAATTAAAAATAATAACATCTCGAATATTTTAATATCATATCACAATAGTTAAATTTATTATAAAAAAATAATTTATGACTTCTACTAAATTAATATCACATAAAAATTAATAAAATAAAATATAATTTCAATATACATATTATAAAATATTTATTTATAAAAAAAATTATCATGAACAATAATAATAATAGTTATCATCTTATTATTGATATTGTAATCTTCGTTTATCAAAACTATAGTCATAACTATATTGTAATTCTAAATTTAATTGCCTAAATAATGAAATGGCAATAGATGAATAATTTTTTTCGAGAATGTCGTGAATTTGAAATAAACTAGTATGATGACATACTAACTTCAATATTTCATATGAATCCAATTGCCCTCTGAAAAGATTGATTTTCTCATATTTGTCATATCTTACACACAACTTACACCTAACATCAGGTGTGCGTACATAAAAATTACAGCAAAAGGAGGCCACAAGCTTGCAAAGGCAGATATTTTTTTTTAATGCAACATCATTATATAACAGTAAATAATAGCATTACATAATGATAATATCGTTATTTATTATTATTTATGTAAAATGATATTAAGACATCTATGATATCAAAAAATAATAACAGAATGTTCCAATATCGTTATATAATAGTTGTTGTTTAAAACCGTAGACACCCTCCACACATTACAGACAACCTCAACAACTAATGTTACTATTGGATCACTGGCGGTCCCATCAGAGCGACATACGCCCCACTCAATGATAAATTCCCCTACTACTAAGTGGTTAAGGACAACTACAAGAGATTTGGCTTCTCTATCACTTCATAATTCTAAAAATCACTGTATATCTTTTCCATTTATATAGCAAATACCTGACTACAAACGTTCTCTGACCATATATTCAAAAGATATACTATTAAGGTTAATAAGACTAAAATTGTCTCCCTTCGAACCCTAACTTAGCCGTCGGAGGTTTCTCCAAAACCGAAGAGGAGGACTTCGTTGACTCCAAGACAAGAATATATCATCACCGCACGATCAGCCAAGGAAAAACTTCATCCAATCATTCATACAAACGATGATCCATAACCTCATCACTTGTCACTGTCTGGGATGGATTTTTTTGTTATATAACTTCTGTGGAAGTGTTTCATGGAGCAAATAGATCCTGTAGGCTTAACTTAATAGGGTGAATACTTCCTATAATGAGCAACCAGCCAAGGTTAACAGTTCAATGCTCCTGAAACTTGCAAAATCTGATTAAAATCCATCTTATTGCAATATGACCAAAAACTGTCTGCAGATACATAGGTTGTACAATACAAAGACAAATAAAAGATTGAAATTAAGAACAGAATCAGGATTCAGGGATAGACTGTCAGACACCTACCTATACGGCAAATAGGATTACTTCTTTCCCACAAAAGAAGCCCTTACAAAATTTCTGTGGAACGTCCAGCACCAGTTAATCCATGGAAATCTATGAGCTATATATCGCAGCAAGCTAGCAGTTACTATTATAACTTCATCACCCTGCCATAGATGAACTGAGCCTTCAATATTCCTAATTTCCAAATGCAATCATCAAGTTGCAATGTAAGGACTCAAATTCTACTTTCAGTGTTGCTTGTGGCTGCATAGAGGGTACAAATTCCAAATCAGCCAGGAAGATTAGGAATTTATAAATTCTGGCAGTCTGGCTGGTTACTATCCATTCCAGGATAAAAAAACAAAGCCTCTCACACTCAGACTACAGCAAATTATGTCCGATGAAAACTTTACCTCTTGCAGGCTTCGCGTCTCCTTTCGTGCACAGATGGAAAGATATATATGGTTTATGGCTCATTTCCTGGTGTAATGCAAATAAATAGTATAATACAAACAACAAAAATTGAAGTACCTTAGTTTCTGCTGCAACCATGGAAAGGAACTGTATATCCTGGTGAGAAAAAATTTCAGGCTTCATGGCTATAAGAGTTATGCAGGAAACAAATTCTGAGTGTTCCACCAGTAGGTGAGCCATGGGGTGTAATGAGTAACACATTATGTCCATTGTCCTGTGGTAGTAGAGGCTTCTGTTGATAAGTTGGCAGGAGCTTCTGGCCACCAGTAGTTGTCAACAGAAAAAGCTAGTGTTGCTCCTGCTAGCCTGTAAGCATCATCAGCACCAGATTTGAAACAAGGAATAGCGCCAGACAAAGAATATGATGTAAGGCAGAAAAAAATTGCCAGATTGTCCATATTACACACAAGTCTGTAGCAAATTCTCTATTTACTCGAATGCAAGAACATTGGACAGTATATTTTTGTAACAATTAAAGTATAAGAACTCAAATGAAAAGTTGGTAAGATTCGGGATTGGAATATGGAATAAGGCACTGCTAAATTAACGATAAATTATGTTTAACTTTAAAGGGATATGCAAATGCTTGTTGCAATTGACATTTTTGATACATTTGTATGGATGCTTTTGGGCAAGATTCTTCTGTCAGTGATTTTCACTGTCTGGGATGCATTTTTTTCCTGTGGTGTGTTTCTTGTAGCAAACAGACTTGCAACCAGCCAAAGTTAACAGCTCAATGCTGCTATGAAACTAGCAGAATCAGATTAAAAGTAGTGTCTCCATCCTGAGACTGGTCTGCCTAAATGAACTTAGGAGCACATCAACATTTCTTGCACTTCTGTGACTTTGTCGACCAGAGTTGAAAACCTCTGAGCCTTACGCGTTCCATTGTGATGAACTATTCCTCCTTTCAGTTTATGGTGCTAATTCTTTGGTTCGCTTTTCTAATTTTATCCTTTGAACCTCTCTTTGTTTTTTTTTCGTTTCTCCTAGTCGGCTGCAACAGGCTGTCCGCTGTTGCAGCCTTCTTTTGTGCCCTTTCGCCATGTGGTCTTCCACTTGGTGTGTTTAATCTATCCTGGCTTGTCGAAAAGAAAAACTATTCCACCTCTCAGCTTTTATCCTTGAATAGTTTTTCAGCTACTTCCAAATCTTGGCTTTCCTGTTATGTTTGTTCTTGAGCTAGATGTTTGCCAGCAGGCTGGCATTCCTCAACGTGGTTCTCCACAGTGGATCAAAGATGAATGTTGTCAATTTTCTGTTTTTTTTTTTTTTGAAGCTTACAGGGTATGCTTCTATGGTGCTTAGTTCCTATACAGTGGAGTTAGGTATTCAATAGCTAATTTGCAGCTTAAATAAGTTAATCCTTGGACTCTAATCTGATGGAAATTGCGGCCAGCCCAATGTTTTAACAATTCAATGCTTGCTTTGAAACTAGCAAAATCTGATTAAAGGTGGTGTATAAATCCAATCTCATTGCAGCATGACTAAAAATTCTGTAGATACATATATTGAAAATTAGAAAGACAAAATATGTTTGAAATTAAGAATGGAATAAGGAATACACTGTCTCACACAATGGCCCTATAACAAGTAGGATTACTTCAGTTCTTTTCGAGAAAAGGAGCCTTTACAATTTCTTTGAATTTCTCTGGGATACAGGAGAACAAATGTCCAGCACCAGGCAACTCATGGTAGTTAATCCATGGAAGTTTTTGGGCTATATATCGCTGCAAGCTAGCAGGCACCAATACATCTTCATCACCCTGCCATATATGAACCGATCCTTCATTGTTCGGGAAAGGATTTTCAAGATCCATGGGATCAAATTCCCACTTCCCAAATACAACCATCAAGTCTCGATGTAAGGATTCAAATTCTCCTTGTAGAGTTGGTTGTGGCTGCACAAAAAGAGAGGGTACAAATAAGCCAAATCAGCCAGGACGATTAGGAGTTTATAAATTCTGGCTCTGGCAGGTTACAATCCAATCCTGCATTAACGAACAAATCCTCTGAGACAAAATTTATGTCTGATAATAACTTTACAACTAGCAATATCTTCTTTTCGCCTCAGCTTTTAGCCACACAAAATTTAAAAAGATGCATATGGTTTATGTTTCATTTCCCTGTAAATGCATAAAATAAGGGTTGCGAAAATGGAAGTACCCTGGTTTCTGCAGTAAGCAAGGAAAGGAGTTGTAAATCCTGACGAGAAAAAATTTCAGGCTTCATGGCTATAGATGCTGATGCAGGAAACCACTTCTGAGTGTTCCACCAGTAGATGAGCCATGGAGTATAGTGAGCAACACGTAATGCCCATTGTTCTTGTGGCATCTGTCGGTAGTAGACTTCTGTTGATAAGTTGGCAGGAAAGCCAGGCCACCAGAAGTTGACAGCAGGAGCAACTAGCGTTGCGCCGGCTAGCCTGTAAGCACGGGCACCAAACTTGAAGCAGAAAAAAGTGCCAAACGAAAATGCTAGGCAGCAAAGAAAAAGTATCCAGATTATCCATTCAACACAGAAATCTCTAGCAGATTCACTATCCTAGAATGCAAGAACATTAAAAAATTATTTTTGATAGCAGAAGGTTCCTTAAGTAGCAAATTTATCAGAATTACAACAGTCTCACCTGTGAGGAATGTATTTGAGGCAGCCCCAAACCACTGGCCTCCCATGGAAAACCCCATCACATAAAATTTGGATCCAAGTCCTAAATGATCAGCAAGCTCTTCTATATCTAAAGCTATACTTTTTGGAGTTCGCTTGGGATCTGGATCGCTTTCTCCATAACCCGGCCGGTCAAAGGACACAAAGTACAACCCCAGTTCCTCAACAACATCCTGAAAATCATCACATGAGGGGGAAAAGTCAAATTTCTCCATCAACAAATACAATCTCTTACCAATGAGACCTTAAAGACTTACAAGAAAACATAGATTGAGAAACAAAGTACCAGAACGGAGTCTGTCATGCTTATTGTGTCATGTTTCGTAGAGCCAAAGCCATGAACAAGTATTGTCTTCGCTTTGGCAGTTTCTCTAGACACACCATTCTCCTTGTAGGCCAAATACCTCCCATCCCTCAGCTTGATTCTGGGTGCTGTAATGGGAGGACCACCTGGGGTACCACAAATCTTTGGAGGTGGAGGTTGGGTGGCCCAATATGCCCCTACCGCCAAACCAAGAAACAAGACCACCTTAATCTTCTTGAACATCCCCAGAAAAATGAGACTTCTTCACAAGCTGTACTCTAAAATTGGAGAAAAAAGTTATCGTAAACAGTACTAACTTATGAAGAAAAGGACATGCATGAGAACATGTAAGACTGTAAGAGACTAAAATGTAGAGTTCTATTGAAGCAGCCGACTCAGTTTCTTGCTGAATTCCACCATGAAATGTGTTAGATAACAGAAGAACATAAGCATTTCAAGCTTCCCCTAAGATTGATGCATACCATTTATCCCAAAGTTCACTCCATGCATCTTGAACAAAGATCTCTGAAATTAACTGTTTGATTTATTCAAACCTTTAATGAATACAATAATGCTTGTCCATATATGAAAACAATCTTCTCGGGAAGCATCGGGTATCGGTTTTGTTTAAAGAAAAGAAAAGACAAATTGCCTGTGGATAAGCATAGGATAAATTTATTTTCATCCCTTAACGTTTTTTTTTCAATTTTATTCTAATTGAAACGAATAAATTTTAATTTTTTTGTCTCTATAGTATCATGAATAATGCATTATACTATGGGGTTTCAGTAACTCAGACTATCACAATTTTTTTTATCAAATAACATTGATTTCTCTAAAATAAGTATCGTTAAATATTAAAGAACATGACAAAGATAAAAGACTTAATTGTTAAATACTCTTGGATTCCAGTTTAGAAATTTTGTTTAGGATACCTAATTGAATAATCTGTGAGGCTAATTTGGATAGAATCATAATGTAGGTTTATGCGTTTTCTCAAAATTTCTATTTGAATTCTTATATCTTTTAAATATGATTGATCTGAATAAATTTGTTTCGAACTTCTCGAGTGTGTTTAAAATGTGGATTAACCATCGGTATTTTTGGAAGAATTATAGTCGAACTTGATTAATTGATTTTTAACTATCTATGGACTGAATTAGTGAAAATTAAAGTATAACAACTCAAAAGAAATTTTGACAAGATTTCACCTTCGACATGATTCATGAGAGAAGTCAGGGCACTAAATTAATGATAAAATTATGTATAATTTTAAAGGCATAGGCAACTACTTGTTGCCATTGACATTTGAGATGCTTTTGCACGTTTTTTGGCAAGATTCTTCTGCGAATTCTGGCTGTGCTATGTCACTGTCGGGGATGGATTTTTTTTTAATAATTATTTATGTGGAAATGTTTCTCGATCGGAGCAAACAGACCCTATGGGCTTAAAGAAAGGCACAAAATATATCATCAAATATTCAATATGAATCTATAAGATCTAGCTTCGTGTAAAGAAGGAATTCTAGCCAATTGAAGAACAAACTAAATTAAAATATTAAATAAATATTTAAATAATAATATATTTAAAGAATTGTGTTGTATAACTTCGTTTAAAGAAACTTTTTTTGAATCAAATCACTACAGAATAAAATTGAGAAATCATTTTTATGTTGATTTTTCAAACTTGTTACCATTTGAGTCAAGAGATAAATAAATAGACACATTCTATTAGATTGACCGGGGGAGGGAGAGTTCGTAGTATCTGAGGCGAAGAAGTGAACCAAAATTCTAAATTTGATATGGGACGATTTAGTATTTCTTCATTCATTCCCATTCAATCAAAAAGGTTTTACATTTTTCCCCACGAAAAATGCCCTTACAGTATCTTGATTACCCTGCCATGGATGAACTGAGCCTTCATTATTAGGAAAAGGATTTTCAAGATCCTTGGGATCGAATTCCCAGTTCCAAAATGCAATTTTCAAGTCAGGATGTAAGGACTCAAATTCTCCTTGCGGTGTTGCTTTTGGCTGCATATAGAGAGGGTACAATTCTAAATCAGCCAGGAAGATTGTGTCTGATGAAAACTTTACCACTTGCAATATCTTGGTTTCGTGTCTCCTTTTAGCCAAACAATTTAGAAAGGTAAATATGGTTTATGGTTCATTTCCTGGTATAGTGCAAATGAATAGAGTATAATACGAACAACGAAATGGAAGTGCGTTAGTTTCTGCTGTAGCCATGGAAAGAAGCTCTATATCCTGGTGAGAAAAAAATTCAGGCTTCATGGCTATAAAAGCTATGCAGGAAACCGTTTATGAGTCTTCCACCAGTAGGTGAGCCATGGGTTATAATGAGCAACACATAATGTCCATTGTTCCTCTGGTATCTGTTGGCAGTAGAGGGTTCTTTTGATAAGTTAGCAGGAAAGCCTGGCCACCAGTTTTTGACAACAGGAAAACTAGTCTTGTTCCTGCTAGCCTGCAAGCACAATCAGCACCCGATTTGAAACAAGGAATAGTGCCAAACGAAGAATATGGGGCAATGTAGAAAAAAGTTTCTTTCGTTGATTTGTAATCACGTGAATCATTGGAAAATTATTAGGTTTTGATTTTTCGGTCCGTTCAAGCAGTTAATTCTGAAGCATAGTTTTTTGAATATGTCGACTTGTCAAGGCTGAGAATGGGATCGATAGCCTTGCTCTTCAACTTGTATTAGAGAAGCACTGACTGGGTTGAATTCCTTGCTGCAATTATTTCTGCTGTATGTTTCTTGGAGAAAACTTACCCTGGAGGCTTAATAGGGTGAGTATTTCCTATAATGTGGGATCGAAGATTTCAGACAAGACATGCCTGTCATTTGCAGAGTAGGCTTCTTTAATTCTTTCAGGTTTGTGCTCCGCGCCAAGTAAAAATCTGCCCAATTTTCATGGGCATGTCAACGAATCAATGTTTTGAAAATCTGAATAGAACTATAGAGTCATAATCCAATCTTGTTGCTACATGTTTGAAATTAAGAATAGAATCAGCTGGGATGTACTGCCATGCACCTAAGAAGAAAGGGAAAAATAGCTGTCTGACCAATTACGCTCAAAAGGGGACTAGTTTTTTTCCAGCATAGGAGCTTTTATAATCGCTTCGCATATCTCTGGGATGTAGGGGAACATGTGTCCAGAACCAGAAACCTCATGGTAGTTTATCCATGGAAGTCTTTTGGCAATATGCCGTTGCAAGCTAACAGGCACCATCTTATCTTCATCTCCCTGCCATAGATGAACTGAGCCTTCGTGGTTAGGAAAAGGATTTTCAAGATCCATGGGATCGAATTCCCACTTCCCAAATCCAATTATCATGTCTCGATGTAAGGTTTCAAATTCTCCTTGTTGCATTGCTTGTGCCTGCATAAAATGAGAGGAGAGACATTCCGATTCCGAATCAGGGAGGAAGATTCATAATGGCAACATATCATGTCTAACACTTCTAAGAATCAGGTAGCATGTGACCAATAGCATTACGGAGAGTAGAGGCACTCATTCATTGATTGAAATCAATTCCTAACTAGGCCTCCAGAACTCCTGGTTTCGAAAAACTCATCTGCTTCAATTATATCAAGGTAAAAATTGGAAGTTCTGCAGTGTCTTATCTTTTCAGAAGCCAATTCCAAAAAACAAAAGGTTCGAAGGCAGCGCCCACAAAACAAAAATTTCGGCTGGTTACTATCCTCTCCTGGTTAAAAGATGAAACCTCTCAGACTGGTTCTATGTACATTGCAAAAAATTATGTATGAGATGATAACTTTCTCACTAGCAATATCTTCTTCTTACCTCCAGTTTCCAAGACCCAAAATAAGTCCGGATAAACTTGATTTATGGTTCATGTTCATGTAATGCGGAAAGAGAGATGAAGAAAATGAATTACCCTGTTCGTTCTTTGATCTGTAGCCAAGGCAAGGAGTTCTAAATCCTGGCGGGAGAAAACTTCAGGCTTACGGGCTGCAACAGCCGATGCAGGAAACCATTTCTGAGTGTTCCACCAATAGGTGAGCCATGGAGCATGGTGAGCAACACGTAATGTCCACTGGTCCTGAGGTAGCTGTAGGTTGTAGGCTTCTGTTGATACGTTGGCAGGAAACCCAGGCCACCAGAAGTTGACAACAGGAGCAATAAGGGTTGCTCCTGCTAGCCTGCAGCACCATCACCATGGGCACCAAGCTTAAAACATATAATAACTCCAAACATAGATATGAGCCAAAGCAGAAAAACAAAACCCATTGTTTACAATAGACACAAATTCTCCAGCAGATTCTTGATGCTCAAATAAAAGAAACTTTGCCATTATTTTTTATAGCATGCTTTATTTCCTTTCACTTCCGACACATTCTTGATTTGCTACATTATGTTCATGCTATACCCAAATTTTTTAACTGCAGGCAGAACATCCTCCAGATAAGCAAAATTGTCAGTAACGGCAAGAAAACAGTCTCACCTGTGAGGGATGTACTTGAGGCAGCCCCAAACCACTTGGCCTCCCATGGAGAATCCCATCACATAAAATTTGGATCCAAGTCCTAAATGATCAGCAAGCTCTTCTATATCTAAAGCTATACTTTTTGGAGTTCGCTTGGGATCTGGATCGCTTTCTCCATAACCCGGCCGGTCGAAGGACACAAAGTACAACCCCAGTTCCTCAACAACTTCCTGGAAAACAAAATTATTACAATCTCCTGACTAAGGAAACTTTAAAAAGTTAAAAACAAAGATTTAAAAGTGGAATACCGGAGAGAGCTTTGTCACACTCAGTGAATCATGTCTCATAGAGGCAAAGCCATGAACATATATGATCTTATATTTAGCAGTTTCTCTAGAGACACCATACTCCTTGTAGGCCAAATGCCTCCCATCCCTCAATTTTACTCTAGGAGCTGTAATAGGAGGGCCACCTGGAGTACCACAAATCTTTGGAGGTGGAGGGTTAGTTGCCAGAAATGCCCATACCGCCAACCCAAAAACCAAGGCCGCTGTAATCTCCTTCAGCATCCCTAAGAAAAATTAGAAACCAAATAAAAATCACACACTGTACTTAAAATTGGAAAAATTTTTGTCACACAGATAACAGCCCAGAGCAACTTCATCGTTACAAAAACATGACAACGAATTTGTCTAAAGTTTTTCATTTTACAAAGACCAAATCCACCACAAGTTTGTTACATCTTATCAACATCAACAAAGATCATAACACAGAGAAAACCAGGTCTAAGTCTATCAAGAAAGGCTATGTTAATAAATTTATGGGAAAAACAGGAAATTATAATAGTAATATCCAGACCAGAATTTCACTGTTTCAATAGAAAAGAAATGGGACTAGTCAGCTTAAAACAGATTGAACAAATTTTATGTGCTTCCGATATAGACTGAAGATTCCACTAAAAGAAACCAAAAAAGAAAAAAAATTGGCATCTATTTGCTATCGTGCTATGTCAAACAAAAAACATAACAAAATATAGATAAATTTCAAAGTGGACATATAGCACACCATAAACGTAACTGGTTACTTATGAAGAACAGGAACCAAAGAAACAAAACAACCTAGTTCATGTCTGTTTTTTTTTTTTTCCTTCTCTTTTCTTTATATCTGTATGAGAGAGAGAAAGAGACAGAGAGAACCTACTTAGGAACTGAAATGAATAGTTTTACCGAATCAGCTGATAGTTTGTTGCTGACTCCCTAGTCCTCGGAGATTCTAGCAGTTAAATAACATACTCTCCTGTTGTATTAGGAGACTGGACAGAAAACGAATAGTAAAAAATGCTCCACTGTTGAAGATTTTTAGTATTAAAAAGTAAAGGAAACATGAAACATAAAAAATATATATAATTGACTCCCTTCGAGGTTTACTGCGAGGATAAAAAGATCAGACTTCTCAAAAAAAATAAAAATAAAAATCTCTTTTATCTTTTATTCCATTCAAGAATGAAATAAATAATACTAATAATAATAATAAAAAAAAAAACGTCCTTACATATCCATGCTACTAAAACTTGGTTGTGTTTGGAAAACTTAATTAATGGCTTTGGCAGAATAGCACATCAGTAGGACTTGGATTCTTGTATTTTTAGACCAATGATTTGGCAGTTTGTACGCAATGGTTAATTGGAAAAAAATGAAAAATTAATGGTTGTGAAATTGTGAACCTGAAAAATGAAAACTTCTTTAAGAAAAAAAAATGTGTTGATAATTATGTGTTGTATCGGTGCGGCATTTGTCTCTTTTCGTTACTTTCAGGAGTAAATCATAAATTATTCCTTATTATTTTAAAAATGATTTAATTAGTCCCTCTAATTTAAAAAAATATAATTTAGTATTTTACTATTTAGGTTTTATTAAATATGTCAAGTTAATACGTAATATCTAAAATAGTATTTAACATATATATTCATTTATGGAGATAAATTTTGAAAAAAATGAAGAAAAAGCGAAGATATGAAGAGAGAAATAAAAATTTGTTTTGATACTTGACAAGAGAGAAATGAAAACAATGTACATGAAAAAAAAATGCATAAAAAGGATAATTTGAAAAAAACAAATTATTACAGTAAAAATATTCCATCTAACGGAAAAATTAAATAACAGATTAAGTTATCCACATAATAAAAAAATAAAAAAATAAATATACAATAAAAGAATTAATTAATTTATTTTTTAAAACAAGAAGGACTAATTTAGAATTTACTCTAACCTTCAAACGTGTGCTTGTGTTAAAAAAAAAAAAAAAAAAAAAAAAAAGTTTAGTCATTGGGCTGCTTGGTCATTACCTTCGGACCGCTTAAGGCCTTGCCTATATTTGGTCGGTGACTTAATTGAATTCTTATGGTGGGCCATCTCTGACATTCAAAGCTGACGTAGAACACAGGTCTTGCTGTGTTGTTCTCTCACACACTTTCCACCCACTATAAATTTTATAATACTAGCTAGTTATATGGACAATAATTATTTCATATATTCTTTTTAAAGAGAGATAAATGTATATAAAAAAATTATATCTATATTTATAAAAAATAATAAGAAGATTTATCCATTCATTTAAATTTTTTTATTTTTTTATATCTATTTTTTTAAATAAATTTATAAAATAATTATTGTATATATCACTAATTACTATTGATGTATTATAAAATTTCTCTTCCACTTACTGACCATGATCGCACGCTCCGGCATGGACATCAACAAGAATCTGAAAAGGCAAGCCGTGATTTTCTTTTTCTGATCTCATCATTCAATCTATTTGGTCAGCTTGAGAGATCAAATTTTGTGGTGCAACTGCAAAATAAGCTGCTTTGAACTGACATTAGCTGGGGCTGTGCATTTTCAACTAAATAAACCTGCTCCAACTATAGTTTTAAATGATAAATACAGTTGAAAAAAAAAGATCGCAATCACGATTTTTTGTAGCCATCGCAATCACTGTGGTGCAACTGCAAAATAAGCTGTTTGAACTGACATTAGCTGGGGCGGTGCATTTTCAACTAAATAAACCTGCTCCAACTATAGTTTTAAATGATAAATACAGTTGAAAAAAAAGATCGCAATCACGATTTTTTGTAGTGGTAAAATAATATTCACAACCGTTGTCATAAATGCTTAGCAGAAACTGTAAAGGCTAAAATATAAGTTTTTTTCTTTTTTCCAACCAAATTCAAGCCTACGAAGGCTGAATATTGAGACACAAAGACGAAAAATATAGACAATCACGAGAGTAACCTGCAAAATGCAAGACTGAAATATGATTTTATATATATATATATATATATATAACGCCATTTAACAGCAAATAACAATTTTATATCTAGATAACATTGTTATTCATCGTTATTTATCTAAAACAACAACGAGGTCTCGATGATACCAAATAACAGTAATAGGATGTCTTAAAACCAATATGACAGCCGGTACATGATGACTGTTATTTTAATCTCCGACTCCAACAATCAAAACAATAATTCATCAATAACATATGCTTGCAAATCTTGACTTTGTATCGCGATTTTAGAAGCCTAAATTACGAAGCGCCAAGTAAATTGGAAGTTTACATTTGAAACAAGCACGGTAGTTCGAGAGTTCTTATCCTAATGAAAGCTCTTTATCTACCCTTCGGGTAAGTTTGCTTATCACGCATTTGAATTTAGCCATGAATGTGGCTTTTTTTCATCTTGCATGCTAAAAAGAGGTGTAAATCAAATTAAACAACAAATAAGCTCCTAACACTTCCCACCAACCACCAACCATTTGAATTATTGACAGCTGATATAAGCATACTTTTCTTTCTTCAAAACCTACTTAAGGAAGCTAAGAGAACCACGCTATTGAATGGCAACCAAGCCATATTGTTTGATAGGAAATTTGGAGCTCATTACCAGACAAGACTTTTAGTGGGGATCACCTGACAAGCGAAAATCCTAGCAATAAATTAATAAGAGCCTACCACGCCACTTTTCCTGACTTCACTAGTTAGCCCTCGCTATTGTCCGCCAGTCATTCATTTAGCTCAATCCCTTTCCAAAGGTGGACAAGCTATTTTAACAAACCAAACCAAATAACTCATACAGTTCATGCATTTACGATCGGTAGATTAACAAACAAAACATCCTTCATAAATTGACAATAAATTGCCTCACCAATGTGCTTTAATAATGCAATAAAAATTAGGTTAGCATTCAAATGCGATGAAAAGACAGTATAATCTTGGGAAGGGTAATTATAGAGTTTTCGATCCAATCTCCAAATTAAATTGCAAGATTTAGCAAATTGCCCCACAATGATGTAATTCACTACTTCCAAAGGATAGCTAAAGAATGAGAAACCAGTATGGGGCAGTTAAAATTTGCGATTCAATGATTTAAGTGAACCACATACCTCCTAAATATACAAAACATGCACATTAATCATACAAAAGGAGAATAAGAAAAAAGGATACAAACACACGTACAAGATTGCAGGGGGTTAAATGAAAAGCAGCATGCACAACACAGCTGTTGCAAATGTACATCCTCTCTGAGAAGATATGATTACCACAGCTGCAAACTATTTGCACATGCAACCGCACAAATGCAAACCAATATTATTCCGCATTAAGTATTCATGATCATCATTGCCATGACTCAGGCTACCTTGGCACTTTTTGATACGAGATCCTTCCGAAGCCAGAAATTTACAAGAAAAGAGTCCATGATGATCTACACAAACTTTTGTATGTCAGAATATCGTGGGGAATAGAAACCAAGAGAAAAATAAGCTCAAACATGCAAAACCTGATTTAAATGTGCAGCAACACAAGGAAGAACCAGCAAACCAGATTCACCAAACGCACCACCCAGCTGCTCTACTACTGCTACCATAACAGGAAGAGTTTTCTAGACAAGCATCAAAACATACCAAGCCTCAGTGATCAGTTGTGTAACAGATTACAATGCCAATCAAAAATGATTTTCTACATGTGACCCCTATGCACACACACCTCACAGGCATCGTAGTAATGCAAAATAAACCACTTCATAAAGGACAAAATCCATGAATATTTGGACAGTAAGGAAAAAAGTTCAAAATATTTTGAATAGAGAAAGAGCATTCTAGAGAAAATCCAACTGAAAATGCTGAATGGCGTAATAATGTCACCTGGCTTGCAACAAGCACATAAGCAACTGCATTTTTTTCCTTGGCAGAAGCTAAATGGTTGGTACTAGAGACAGCTGAGAGGCCTTGTATAGCGAGAGCATTAAAAGCTAAGAGGATGAGATGCAAAAGCCTGCAATACAGGGAAATAGTCCTTTCAGATGATGCACGGCATTGATGCCCAGGGAAATTCAAAAGACTTGACGTCCCTTTTTCTCTTCTCGCTTGTGCAAGTAGGGAAAATAATAAAAGAGTTAATTGCCCAAAGTCAGAAAATCATTCTCCATAATGGCTTAGAGAATGGCAGAACCATCCAGACCGAAAATCTGATACATGAGAATTGGCTCATCTTGCAAATTAATATTATCGTTTGGCATTGATAGAAGTAAAATAACTACTAATAATGGCACATAAGAAAAAAGAAAATTAGGCTGAAAACATACCCTCCCATCCCAATAGCAACAAGAAAAACAGAGGGCTTGACCATTAGAAGCAATGACCTCGACCTGCTCACTTGTATAAATGGAACCTGGATAAAAAAAATAGTTTTAGCGTACCAATAGGACCAATACAACTTCTTAGAGAAATATGCAAAGAGAGTTAAAATCTGCTTCCATAATAAACTTTGTAAAGACTGATACATTTGTCTAAATATTGAAGCCTAAGATTTGCATTCACACGTGTAACAAATTTCACAGAGAAAGCTTAGGAAATTATGCTGAGTCTTATTATTATTATTATTTCCTTTTTCTTCAGACTCTAAAAGAATAGAAACATAGAAAACTCTCTCCATCGCTTCACCAAAAAACTAATGCATTGCAGTCCATAAAGAATTTGCATAGCATAAATAGACGTGGAAAAATTGAATAAATGTTAATTCTCCAAAATTCTGACATGCAGAACTTGAATTAAGTTCCGCATAGAGTTCTCCTCTTTCACTTGAGAGCACAATTTTCCTGGTGTTTCCACCAATTCACGCATCAAAGCCGCTCACCTCACAAATTCCCAGAGCCCACCAGGAAGGATAACTAACTTCCTTTTCTTTGATAAAAAAGATCTGTTTATGGTGGATGTTTGATCTACTTCTTAGACTATTCACAAGTTTTAAGTGCCGATACTAGTCATAGTACAAGAGGATTCCAGAAGCAGGTAGGTGTCATGGAGCCTTGAGAAATCTGCCTGGACAATTCCCATTCCAAAAGGCTGTAGAAAAATCAATCAATTGACAGAACATTAAGTTCAAAACGAACAAGGGCTCTACATGCTGCATGTTTAAGTCGTCGCCACCAATAATAATGTATCATGTAGAATCTATCTACAGAAAACTCACAGCTCTGAAACAGATACCGGGAAGAGGCCAACAGTCTTGCATCTCTTCTATTCAACAAGTCTAGATTGCTAAATCTTCAGCTGAACACTCATTCAGCTCATTTTAGTTCAGTCCTATGCTATCTGGTAAATTTTGCAGCATTTTGGTATACATCAAACATACACTCCCTAAATTCATCTAAGCAATATGTACACAGAAGAAGTTAAAAAGAACTTACTAAACTAAGGAAAATTGCATTCATCTTTGAAAAGAGCTTACGATTTTGATCAACATAATCTGCTAAACCTGAAATGCACATGTAAGCAAAGATCAAATTATATAGTCTCCACATGAACTACAAAGTTATTGTAAACCACCTCCAAATAGATGATACAAAAGTAGATTCTTATCAGTTGCATTTTCAATAGCCAGGCCAATATTCTCCAACCTAAACTTTTAATGCATGTTAGATATTTAGAAGCTAGTTTTGATGCAGCAGTCAAAGGCTTGACATTGAAGTTTTAGAGATTACTGCATGCACAGATGCCAAAGGACAGGAATGCCATTCCCTCCTCAAGATGTGCTTGGACGCGAATGGCCCTTTTTTTCCAATATGACTCACTAGCTTCCTTCAAATGTGTACCTTGGTCCAAGTTCTTAAAAAACTTCCTAAAAGCAGTGTAAATTGAATTCAACCCAATGAGCTGCTTCTACAATAAGCATATAGGTCCTGCATACTTCATTCAATATGATGCAGAAGCATAACAGCAAACTTCCAAACAAAATTTTAGACTATTCGACACTCACTTTTGAAGGATTCTCGAAAAACCTGTAGAATGAACAGCACAGGATGCACATTTCAGCATATTCCAATAGATCTCAAATGTCATTGAAGTTCTAGTTTGTGGAATCCATAAAAACAGTAATGAAAAATACCTTCCCCAAAATAAGAGGAATTAAAAGTGTGATAACAAGACTTCTAAGCAGTTGCTTGGTTGGAACAGACACACCAACTCCAGCAGCTATGAATCTGGAAATAGAAAATGGAACCTGAGAAGTGACATAAAGATCAAATTCAGCACTGGCTAGAAGAACTGAGTGAGAAGCATTGGATATGACAGGTTCACTGAAGAGAAAACGATGCAACTGTTTGTTTGTCTCTCAGTAAGTGCTTGCTGAGAGAGACAAAGAAAGAGAGTTCTAGGAAAATTTTTGCAGTTGTAAGTTAAAATTATATCTTGAGAAGTTCCAATTGACATCTATTTTTCAAGCTAAATTTGAATCAGAATACCTACAAGCTTCAATCTTGTTAGTGGAACTTACAATCAAAATTCCTAAAAGATTTGATATCACTGTCATCGCAAGAGCTAGCGCAGAATTCCCCCAGCAAGCTGCATATGAAGACCGCTATACATCATAAAAACTCTTTTTATAAGGAGCAGATTAAAGGGAAAAAACAAAGAGATTAATGCACCTGGGTTAGAGCCACTCCACTCGATAGAGTAGTCGGCATACAGCAAAATAAAGCCAAACCTGTACAAAACATTAATCAATATTCAACAATCATAATAAAGAGTAACCAAAAAATCCACACCTTAACAACCCACGACACAAAAAACACACACACAAGTCCAACTAACAGACCTGTTACAAACTCCTGAGGTTGGAGTTGAATTTGCAAAATTATCTTTGAGAAGAATGGTGTAAATAATAAAATAGAGCACTGCATTCAAAGAGTATCAGGAGATTTAGAATATGCTAGCAAGCATCAGTATTACACCAATGAAAGTGACAGGCATAGCTTGTAAGATGGGTAAAATGATTTAGCACAGACCATAATAATAATAATAATAAAGTAAAAAATTACTGGATACTGAACCTACAAAATGCACAATGGCACAAATAAATTCAGGATCATACAAGCCCAAGAACTCCAACAGGCCAAGCTTCTATAGCATCACCGATCTCCCCATTTCGCAATGTCAAACCTGTATTATCACCAGATGCATATATAAAACCAAATTAAAGTAATAATATCAACTTCTATTACACTAAATAGAAAAAACAAAGCACATTTAATTTAATTACCCGAGGTAATAAATATCGCAAACGTGCTGAATTTCGACAAATAATATTTATCAGCTAAACAACCAAGAGTAGGATTTGTAAGCCCTAACACTACTCCACCAATAAGTGCTGCAAAATAAAACCACAAAAAAAAATAAAAGAATTCTGTAAATTCAAAATAAATATATAATAGATTAAAAATAATAGAAAGGAAAGAACAGATTAAACATGTAATTACCTAAGGGGAGAAAATTATTCTCTGTAAAATCCAACAAGGATTTCCTTAAAGCTTTTGCACCTCCACTTTCATTGCCATTTGCCTAAATTCCAATTAAATAAGGAATTAATATTAAAATAGAATGAAAATCTCTTCAATTAAGATAAGTGAGTGGAAAAAGAATAAAATGAAACCTGATCGGGTCGTTGGTTAGCTCTGATTCTATGGGGAAATGAAATCGAACGGCTATGATTGAAATAGACAGAGCGAGAGGAGTATGCAGTGGTACGAATTGCCGGAAATTTTAGGCTCTGGTGGCGGAACGACGGGGTTTGGGTGGATTGAGTAGTGAGAATTAGGGTTTGGATCGTTCCCGCCATGGAGAGCGAACTGAAACGGTAACTCTCTACTCTCAAGTCAAACAAGAAGCGAGAGGGAGCGCAAGCAAAGGGATGGGCTAAATTTTTCAAATAGCATTATTTATGGGCCATATTTATCGTGTGGATTTTAAAATATTTCTCTTTTTTTAATAAATAAAGGGCTAACGATATGTACGGTCCCTGTATTACGAGTAATTGTTTAATCAGGTATTTATATCAAATTAATGTTAATTGAGTCTATATAATGAATAGATTTATTTAATATGAATGCTACATTAATAATTGAGTTAACAATATTAATTAACCACATAATTAAATGATACATATCATTTAATCATTAATCCTGTTAATTTTTTTCCTAAAACTATAGCTTGTAATATAACGTGGTGATTTATTTTTCTATTCTCTTTTTTTTAAAAAAAAAAAAAAAGAAACAAAAACAAACCAATTGTATATGGTGCTGGAGTTTATTGATTAAAATTGGAAAACATTAACAACTGAGTCAAAGTGCAACATCTATAACTATAAAGGGACTAAATTATACTTAATCCGTCAAAATTAATCTTTGCAACGGCTGAAAAGAAAACCAACACTCACTCTCCGGCACACACTACTAGCTCGTCAGGGAAAAAAAAAATGGCAGCAGCATCGATAACTCGCTTGCAACTTCTATCATCATCACCCTCACCGATAAGAATAATCAAACGGTCCTCCGCATTTCTCTCGAAAAACCCGCCAATTTATAACTACCAGCACCGCTCTCGTAAATTCCACGCCGCTCGCTGCTGCTCCACTTCCAATTCAAACCAAAATCAAGCACTAGCGGTATTGCATACGTACATGTAACCTTATTTTCGCGTATTTATACTGTTTTATGAATTTGTAGTGTATTTCTATGTTGTTTATACTCGTATTATTGTGTATTTCTATGTTATTTAAGCATATTGATACTTTCTGTTATTTGTAGTGTATTTCTCTGTCATTTATACGCGTATTTATACTGTATGATTAGAATGGATCGGTTGTTGGAGGTTTACTGGATTATCTAAATGAATCATGGACTCAGTTTCACGCTACAGGTAATTACTGTTTTAATTTGATAAATTAAAGTTAATTTTAGCTGTTAATTAAGTTTTTTAATTGATTAATGAGGTTTTGATTAATTTTTTATGCTTTATTATCATTATTATTAATTAATATGGTGTCTTTTTTTTGTTGTGATATGATTACGGTTGAAATGATAGCTTAGATTGTCAATTGGTGCTTGGATTTTATTATCATTATTATCTATTTGGCAGCGGAAGCGAAGAGGCAGCTGATTGATGCTGGATTTAAATTGTTAAATGAGAATGAAGAGTGGGAATTGAAGCCCGGTGGACGATATTTTTTTACGAGGAACATGTCTTGTTTGGTTGCTTTTGCTATTGGTGAGAAGTGAGTCAGAAAATATCGCATTTTGTTTTTTCACTTATATTTGCGTTGTTTTTAAATTGGAATTTGAGTAGGTTTATTGGTTGGAATTGGCTATATCAGTCCATATTTTGTGAAAAAGGATGCGATTGTTTCTTGTGATTGCATGTTGCTTGAATTTTGTGTTGGATTTCTGACAGATGGACAATTAAAGTTTTTTTTTTTTTTTTAATTTTGCAGGTACAGTGTTGGAAATGGGTTTCATGTAATAGCTGCACATACAGATAGTCCATGCTTGAAACTCAAACCAAAATCTGCATCGTCAAAGTCTAGTTATCTGATGGTTAATGTGCAGACTTATGGAGGTGGTTTATGGCATACTTGGTTTGATAGGGATTTGAGTGTTGCAGGAAGGGTCATTGTGAGGGGTAGCGATGGTTCATTTCTGCACAAGCTTGTTAAAGTAAAAAGACCTTTGTTAAGAATACCAACACTTGCCATTCATCTTGACCGGTATGCACCACTTCCCTCTCTCTCTCTCTCTCTCTCTCTCAATTTTATTTTTTGCGAGTTCAAATTTTAACTCTTAAGTAGAAATTTTGTGGAGTTTTTTCGTTTCTTTTTTCTGAATCTGTAGTTCTTTACTTTCCTTTTCAAATTTAAGGTAATGCTGTAAGCATGAACGCACCCACTCATTAGCTTTCTGTTTTTGTCTTGGATTATTCAGCACAATCAATAAGGATGGATTTAAACCAAACCTAGAGACTCACCTCATTCCACTACTTGCAACAAAACCTGAAGAAGCTTCTCCGGATACAAAAAAGAAAAATACTGACTCTTCTTCCAAAGTTGTTCATCACCCTCTGCTTATGCAGGTATCTCCTTTTGTTTTGCTGCAGTCACTAGTTCACAAATTTAATGTATCTCGTAAGTAGATAATGTTGGGACTTGAGAAAAAGCATGGCAGTACTTGGAGTGCAGATCAGGGATCTACCCTTTCTGTAGATTTTTTGCTATGCAGCCATAATGGGAGAGGGCCTTAATAATGCTGAATCCATAGCATACATATAATAAGAAAGAAACTTTAGATTCTAGTTAGTACTGTAAGAAAAGGAAATTCAAAAATTGCATCATATAAATTTCATAGGTCAACTATTAAGATAGTCAATCTCCTCTTGTGCAAAATTGCAAAATGTATCAATCTGCTAGATGGCAAGTGTGTTGGTTTTTATCATCTAACTTCAATTAAAGATCATAATGGAACTGATCCTGTTTAATGATGAACCAATCAAATGAGCTGATTCTGTATAATGTTGCATCAATTAAATGAGCTGATTTCATTATTTTTCATCAATTTAATCAGTTACTTTACTTCAGGTTTTATCAGATGAGTTGAGTTGCAGCATTGATGACATAGTGACCATAGAGTTGAATGTTTGTGATACCCAACCCAGCTGCCTTGGAGGTGGAAACAATGAGTTCATTTTTTCTGGAAGACTAGACAACCTTGCTTCAAGTTATTGTGCATTAAGAGCTCTCATTGATTCATCTGAATCATCCAGTGATTTATCAAATAAACCTGCAGTTCATATGATTGCTTTATTCGATAATGAAGAGGTAATTCTTCTTTCACAACCTGTGACATAGGACAGAGATCTATTTCTTCCCTGTATGCCTGATCGATAACAACTGAAATAAGTTGTCATTGTTTAGCTAATGGAATTTTACTTGCTATTTAGAAAATAGTTATGATGAAATAGTTTTTATGGTGAGGGAGCTAAAGTGATCTTCCATTAAATCCATTTCCACTGATGGTGGAAGGCATTTGGATCAGCATAAATAGGCATCAAGAGTCTCTTTTTATTGGAAGAAAATAGTGGAGTCCACTGTTCCATGTTCTTATGTCAGTTTCCAAGTGCTTTCCTTTTGCAATTCGTGCCAGTTCACAAATGTTATTTCTAACTATTGACTTTTAGGTGGGTTCAGGTTCAGTTCAGGGAGCTGGAGCACCAACCATGTTTCAGGCTATGAAACGAATTGTTGGGTGCTTGGCTCATAATAAAGTTGGTGAAGGTGCTATTGAGCGTGCTATTCGGCAGTCTTTTATTGGTATAATTCAGTTGACAGTTTTTGAATTTGTTAAATTCTTATTCATCAGTTTCTAGTATTTCTTTTCTGCAATCAGTTGCATTGACAGAAATTTTAAGGTTTCTTTTGGAATCTTCTTTCTCGTAGTATCTGCTGACATGGCTCATGGAGTACACCCAAATTTTATGGAAAAGCACGAAGAACAACACCGGCCTGAAATGCAAAAGGGACTTGTTATCAAGCACAATGCAAATCAGCGGTATGCTACTAGTGGAGTCACAGCATTTCTTTTTAAAGAAGTTGGCAAAATCCACAACCTTCCATCTCAGGTAATTGTCTATCGAAATGAGGCAATCCAGCCCTTTGTCTAATCTTTAATTGTTTCATATTATAATCAGTAAATGAGCATGCTGGACCATAGAAAAGTAGATAATTATTTGTTAGTGAGGAGAAGTGATTGTCACTTGGTAGTGCTACTATTCAATGATTTGAATGCTTGAGCCCAAGTGGACTAACTTGAATGTCATGCCATGGAAAAGTATCAAGTTGTAAATTTTGGTTAACACCAAAAGTTAGTATTTCGCTATTAAGAATAGATATTTTGCTTTTCTAGTTGCTTAGGAAACAGAAAACTCAGTTTCGAGTGGGCATAGGGAAGTGTCAGATACCATTTGGACTGGAAAGAGGTTTAGTCTCGTATTTGTGTTGGGGCTTGATAGAGAGGTTCAGATGTATTCAATCAGGCTAGACTAGAAATACTGGACCACTAAAAGGAGAAGAAACTGAAAGAAAGAAAAAAAGAATTCTAGATTTGATTAACTTATAACATTGGAACTAAACATATTGGAATCTAGTTCTAAAATCTGAAACCAACCACCTTAAAGGGGGCTTTGTTTGCCACTTCAAGTCAATGGCAAGGCAGGTTAGGTCTGGTTTTTTTTTTTTTTTTCATTTTTCTTTTGAATGGTCATTCTGTTTCCAACTAAGTGACTGGTCCATAGTAAGTGGTATTCTGCAAGACAACCTTTAGCATAGTTAGCCTTGATTAAGAGATATGAACCTCTTAACTTCTTATTATTTTCTAATAACAGCCCACACCTTGGACTCTTTGCATGAAGTTGATTTTCCTAACATGCTACTGGTGACTTTCCTTGCAGGATTTTGTGGTGAGAAATGACATGGGATGTGGATCCACCATTGGTCCTATACTTGCTTCAGGTGCCGGTATCCGTACCGTTGATTGCGGCATTCCTCAACTTTCCATGCATAGGTATCATCATAGTTATTCACTTTGAAAGCAATCCAGAAAACCCAATAGCGGATGGATTTGACCTACCTACTCAACGAAGAGTTCTAACATCATATGTTTTAACTGCAATGATGGTGCTTGAGTTGGGTTCTTTTTTTACTAGTGGTTTATTCTTGTCTATTTATATCTCTCTCTTTCGTCACCTGCAGTGTGAGAGAGATATGCGCAAAGGAAGATATAGACATTGCTTACAAGTATTTCAAGGCATTCTATCAGAACTTTTCAAGCATAGACAAGAAGCTGCAGGTGGATTAAGTTGTGTGTTTAGGCTCACCCTAGATACTAGGTAGGTGTAAGGGAGAGACAGGAAATTTTCATTTTTTACGCAACAAACATTTCTATTCTTCATAAGCACATTTTTTCCTCCAAAAATAAAGATTCACAAGAGCTTGGACATGTATCTAGGCACCCCACGCTTCACTCAAGGAAGAAAGATGGGGTATTTACTAAATTAATGGCATCCATGAATCAGGGCTTGTTTGAATTAACAGTGTTTGTTGTAGAACTGGAGCTTGCGTTTGAGTTTGTCTTGGAGAGTTTCTGCTTCAGCTCGGACAACAGCGCCTGATTCTCTTGGTTTAGCCGTTGAGCTTTCTTCCGTAGCATCTCATTCTGTTGGATTATATAACAGTTCTGCAAGTAAAGCTGTGAGTTTAGCTTTTCCATCTTCAACTCCTTCTATTATCCCTGAAAATATTGCACAACACATTAATTATAAGCAAAGATGGGTTAGGAATTTGATTACGCATGCAGAACTGTACTTGAAGAACCTACCTGTGTATGCCTCAATAGGAAAAGAATTACAAGATGAAGAGCATACAAAAGAGAGAGAGAGAGAGAATTATACGTATCATTTGAGAAGTGTACATCTATTTATATACACACATACAACGGATTATACCAGACAAAACAAGGGTCTTGAAGACAACATAGTTCACCCAAAACATCAGACACCCTATCTCCAAAGCCCTCATGTCTGCCTTTTCCACGTAGAATAACTTGATTATACGTGTAACTTTAACCGTCTATAGTTCATGGGATCTTCACTGGCATATTCAAAAGAAAGAGTGTCTTGTGGATTTTGTTAGAGCAACGCACGTAAAAGGGATGGGACTGGTAAACATGGTGCACGAAAAAGTGAATTTTGTGCAGTAGTGGAAGCAACTTATAAAAAAAAAGGTGGTGTTTAATTCTAGATGTGTTGGCCAGGATTACTATCCCTTTTTTTTTTTTTTTTTGGAAAAAAAGAAAAATTGGGAGAAAGAAGTTTCTCGTGAATGTGTAAATAGATAAACTATCTTAAACTCTGTCGAAAGAAACTCGATCGAAGTTTCTCGTGAACAGCATTAGTAGAAAAAATTTAATTTCCATACAAAACTCGATAGAAGTTTTTCGTGAACAACATTAGTGTAAAGCTGTAAATAGAAAAAATTTAATTTCGATACATGAAAGCGACGAAAGATTGCAAGGAAAGGTGAAATGCTTAGGGAACAAGATGAGAAAAGGTGAGTGTTGAGTACGGAGAGAATAAAGCGTGTGCTCTGACGGTGAGCACGGAAGGCAGCTGAAGTAGGAAAGAAAGGTTTTGATATTCATGTGACAGCAAGCTGGCAGAATGAAGCAAATTATCTATAGAATTTCTTAAATAGCATATCTAATGATTGTGCCTTAACTGTCTACTTTTGGCTCAATATGTTCCCTTTTCTGCATCTTGTTCTTTCTTGTCTCATTTTCCACATATTGTGCGTCCAACCACAGTGACCTCTTTTAGTCTCTGTAGCCTCTGTCCTCAAAACTTCCAAAAAAAAAAAATACCACTAGAAGCACTTCTCTCCTAAATGGCTGAATCCAACCCATTGCTTTAAATATCGTTGTCATAGATTCATTAGTAATTGTTAACTAAGTTTAATGACAAATGCTTTTCTAATAAGTTTGTAAAATATATACATAAAAATTTTAGTAGGCAAAAATGTAAACAACATATCATAAGTATAAAAAGTAGAGGGAAAAAAAATCAATTTTATAAGTGGATTTTATTAATTAGTTAAAGTCACTATTCCGATCCTTACTATCATATAATGACATTATAGCCGCTATTTTTATGAAGAGCCTCAAACGGTACTAATTATGAGTACATTATAAATTGATCCTTTTATTTTTTTCAAAAACAAATTAAATAATTCCTCTAATTTTATAAACCAATTAACTAATTCTTATATTTTTAAATCTACTAATAACGTAAACAGTTTTGTTCCTATAATACATGCCATTATATAATGGCATTATAGCCGCTATTTTTGTTCCTTTATTTTGTTCCTATAATACTTTTGTTCTTTTTTAATTTATTTTGACCTTTTGTTTTAAAAAATAAAATAATATATATAACTAAAAATTTAAAAAAATTGATAAGAAAATAAAACATTTTTTTAAACAAAATAACATTAAGTTAACCATAATTAGTCAAGAGCCTAATTAATTAACTTTTAAAAGCAAGAAAATTATTTAATTCGTTTAGCAGACTAATTTATACTTTACTCAGCCAAATAAAAGCATTAGGTTGCCTCAATTCCATTCATAATTCCTTTAAATACTGCCATTATGTTACGTAACAGCCATTATTAGGAACCATGATCCTACCAACGGATTTATTCCTGGTTAGTAGTTACCAAAGAGAGGCAGAGGGTCCAAAGCTGCGATTAGACCCCAGACGGTGCAACCCGAACTATCTGAGTCAGGCATTTGCAAATCCTGACAATCCATACACAACCTGTTTTAAGCTTAATGAATCCCATCGATCAAGAGTGCCCTTAGTTTGCACAGATAGACCAGATCGCAACTACATCTACATCGACAAATCTTTCCCCATCCCCTAGGGTCGTTAAGCACATATCCCATGATCAGTTGGCATAAAAATTTCTATACTCGACAGGGACAATTATAGATAGTGTAACTTTTTAGCCTAAGAGCATAAAACATGCCCGGAAGCAGGAATGGATTAAAAACAACTTCAACAATCATAGATGGCGATCAAAGATGCTGCAACAGTTCAAAAGATCTGTTCCTATAATACATGAAGCGAATTGCTTCATTAGTCCTGCAAGTCATGTGTATCACAAAGTCAGTCGTGATCAGAGTTTTCTGAGGGGTCAAGCTGTGACAAGCCAAATACCAAATGCCAGCTCTGATAAAAATATCCTTCAAGCGCATCCCCTTTGGCCCTTATGGTCTGTAAGGATGAGGAGAACAAATTAATTTATCTTATAACAAAAGATGTAGGCAAGTCTAGAAGCAAATGATAATAAAATAAACAACAAGAACAGTGTGGCAGAAAGGGATGTACCTTCAATTAGACTGAGCACACACATCCACAACTCTGACGATTCTTTTTCCTAATTTGATTCTTCATCATCATCAGTGACAAAACAGAGCTCTTGTAAATTCACACTTGTTGGTCTGCCAAGCCCTTGAGCTTCTTCATCTTTTCACCATATGGAAGAAGCCTCGAGTAAAACCGAGACTGGTGGAATGGATCAGTGGGATGTTCATGAGAAGAAGTGTCCACTCCAATCCAACTCGGTTCTCTATGCCTGCACTCCTGCCAATTCAGATATGATGCACAGCTGTATCAGCTCATCAATATTTCAAGCTAAGGTTCCAGCTGGCAGGGTGCAGGCATGGCCCAAGCCCCTCAACGGGGCCGGGCTAAACCAAAACTTGCATCAGGTTGCTGTTGATGAGACTGTACAAGCACAGAAAATGGGGGGAAAAAATCAATACCAAAACCAAAATCCAATAATTGAAAGCAGAAGCTGCAATAATAATCACATTCAATACAAGTACACTAAGCCAATTTTACTTTTTTGAGAGACATTTATCAGTAATGAGCAGCTGGGTCATTCATGGTGATAATACAAGCTTTCCCCACTTTCTTTCTTTGGGAGGGAAGAGAGGATATTCAAGCACTCTGCATAAGTTGCAGTAGGCATCTTCGGTCAAACAGACATGACCAGAAATATCACAAGTAATAGAAAATAGGGGTATTATTAGGTGAACCTAGTCCACCACTTGAGACTATGGAGCAACCAAATGTGGGGGACATATATCTAGCCATATCAAGAAACAGATTAATATTTTTCTCTCTCCTCTTAATATAAAAAAAATATATATGTTTTTTTTTGTAAAATAACCATAGTTATTGTTTGTTTATTTTAAAGTTGGTGATGTGACTAAAAAGAACGATAAGCCCTCCCTCAATTGGTTGGCCCCCAGTTTCAAGAGGTGAACTAAATTCACAGAGTAATTTCTCTCGAAAATTATATCAATTCGTAGAATGTTGATTGTAGGGAGCCTAAGATTATCAAACTTGAGAAATATCTTACAAGAACTTGGGGAAGCTAGAAATACTCCTCTTACTATTGTACAAAAGGCAAACTTTCATTGAAACAAAAAAAGACTCCTTCAACTAATGGCAGGAAAATAAAGCCACTCTAACCGGCATACCTGTGAAAAAGGCTGAACATGTTCATGTGGATGAATAAAAGGCATTCCTGGGCGTTGACATGGATACTGAGATGAATGCAGATAAATGGCAGATGTGGAACGTGCACCGACATGATTCGGATTAAATGGTTGTATAAGAGTATCAGGATGACCATACCCAATCCCTGCAGGGGTTGATGGTCCAACCCAGGGCCCGGGTACATGTTGAGGGAGAGGCCGTGGTTGGTGTTCTGTAGATATCTGAGGCCCGTGTGTGGACCCAAGTTGTGGAAATTCAGTGTTGTAATTCAGTGCAGGAGCGTACATAGGCTGAATGGCGTAAGGTCCTCCCCCATTGAACCCAAAACCAGGATCAAATCTTTGCATATACCTGGAAGAAAATTTCATCATAACCTTTTTCTCTACTCAACACAAAGAAATCAAGTTCATTGCTGTTGTAAGCTAATCAAAATCACAAGCACAAGAAATAAGTTTTCAGACTAGACGAAGCAATTTGCAATCTTCAACCGTAGGAAGATTACTGACTTGAGCTGTACATACTTCCTACTAAATATATACGTTATTAGGTATCCCTTTCTCTCATTTACAGTAACACTGTTGGATTAGCTATCCTCATTTTCATTGGCCATGAACCACTAATTCTATCAAAACATTCCAAAACATGAAATAATCATCAAAAGGACAGACACAAGAAGTCCACAGACACTGAGCATGTTCAAGCGTGAAAAAAGAAAGGAAAATTCAACCTACCACAGAAGTTATAAAGCCAAAATTAGTAAAGAGATGACACACCTAAATAAGTGGCAAAGAACAAGTGGTGGACACCAGCTCAGGGCTTCAACCAAACAAAGTAATAGGTGAGGTAACAGATTCCTCGCCAAAAGAAGGAAGGAAAAAAAAAAGCCACACTAAGAGGATTGGAAAAGACTTGAGAACCCACCCCAACCAAATAGAGCACACCAAGGGAAGGATGGCAGAAGGAAAGCATGGACATAATACCTGTCATAGCTTCGATCATAGTCAGGGTCCTTCCGATCAACCTCACGGTCCCGAAAAATGGCCACCCTGCTGTTTGGCCTGTACCTACCAATTGGCTCCCTCTCCATCCTAGACCTAACTGGCCTACCGCTAATTGTGGCTGATTCAATTAAAACCCGCCCAGAATTTAAATCAGGAATCACTGGAGCAGATTTCTCTTCTGACTTTGATATACCAAATGAAGCATGCTGGGGACCATCCTGTAATCTTGGTTCAACTTCTGGTTTCCCGCTAGTACCACTGCTGGAACTACTAGAGTTAAATATGCGTGCACGTGCCCTGTTGTACTCCTCTTTTCTTTCCTCCACGCTTTTGGAACTGTTTGACTTCGTTGAATTTGAATTTGAGTTGTTGGCAATTTGAGACCGTTTCTGTGGCCTTTGCTTAATTGCAACCTTAACAACATCACCATCTTCTGATGGCAAACTCACAGGGATGTCGGCAAGGCGAATCAAGGGAAGGCTACAGTCAGAAGTCTTACGGACAATAATTCTGGAACCAGAGCCATCAGGTAAACTATTGTCTAACAAAACCATCGATTGCAGCGAATAATGCTGTGCCACACGGTGTGCTGCTAGCCTTAGATATGAAGTAGGCAACTGCTGAAATTCTAATTGCTGTTGGTTCGGATCATGGATAAACTTTTCTACATCTTGTTCCATCCGCAAAACTGAATAACAGAGATATACAACTTTGCTTGTATGAAAAAACAGAATAGACAGAATAACTCAAAATCACATATAGAAGAAAACAATGAAGTGAATGAAGACAAGTAGCAGGTCATCCCTACAGTTCTCATAATATTGACTTTTGCAGAAAAGAAACTGGGAACTCAGAAGATCATTATCAACTGCATCTAAAAAAGTAAATTCCTGATAAACCTAATTTTACTAAATAATTGTAAGCCCTAAATTGTTGGGTGAAGCCAACTAAACCCTATGCTCATAACCCTAGCCCATCCCCCCTCCAAAAATAAAATAAAACACCAAAAAAAAAAACAACAACAAAACACTGCAGTCAGCCACGCCCCTTGTTGCAGAGCCATTACCCAAAACTTTCTTTATTGAAGTCAATTCATCTTCTTTCCATTCCAAATACTCGTAAACCGTCCCCACATCTCCGTTTGGTTATCAAGAAAATCATCCACCCAAATCCACTCCCATAAAATCTAATTAAAACCACCTAAAAAAATTCCAAACACAACCCTCTCTAAGCCAATATCTTCCAGTTCTTATGTTCCCACCATCATCATACCTCTAAAAGCATTACTTACTTCAAAGCTACAATACATTTCCCTTCTCATGCATAACATGTATAAACAAATAAGAAAAATGAAAAAAATCTCACACAGCTCTCATACAAAACTAAAGTATTAAAAATTAACACAAATTAATTAAATAAATAAATAAACCTCACTTGAGAGGCGCTCCCGAGGGTTTTGCAATGCCTCACGAAGAAACTGATCAACCTGATTGATAACATCATCGGTTACTTTCTCACCCGAACCAAACGAATCCGAGCCGGAACGAGCGAGCTGGTCTTGAGGCTGTTGCTGTTGCTGTTGCTGTCTAGAGTCTTTATTAAGCAACAAACGACTCATCGTCTCATCCAAATCAGCCACCTCCCAAGACTCGGGGGCTCCGAGATCCTCCACCGCTACAGAGCCCTCCATAACGACAACAAATAGACCCAAACAGAGAGGAGTAAGTTATCGTTGCTAGGGTTTGCGCGATTGTATTGTGAGAATCATCAAATTAGGGTTTCATTGGGAATCTATTATGGTTTGATTGGGAATCAATCGATCTCATGTGTGTTGGCGTTAGGGTTAGGGTTTGTGATTTCAGGATTTTTTTTTTTTCTATTTTTGAGAGAATTTTTTTTCGAGAGAGAAAGAGAGACGCGATAGGGTTTGACGTTGGCGTGTGCTTTTGGTGTAAGGGATGTTTTATTCTTGGTCACACGTGGCGTTTAAATATCGGTAGAGAGAATGTTACGTTGCGTGCGTTTTACATGTTTTTATTTATTTATCTTCTGTTATACTCCTTCTGATGTTGGGTTCTCTTGGGCTTGGGAGTTGAGAAACAGAGAATAAGTTTGATTAGGATTGCATTTGTTATTAAAAATTAGGGTTAATAGTTCAACTTCTGGATAATTTTTAATATATTTTTATACATCTAATCGAATTAATTTTATTTTTAAATATAAGTTAAGCTTTATTATATTATTTTGACAGAATTTTAATATCTGATAATTAGAATTAGTGATATAGTTTTTATTTTTAAGTTTAAATCTCGTGACTAATTTTAATGGTCTAACCTGAAAGCATTGATAAAAAAATAAATTAAAACATTAATATGGTTTTAAATATAAAATTGATTCAATTAAAAATATAAAGATAAATTAAAAAATTATCTTATTATATAAGAATAAATTGAACCATCTAACTCACAACTTAAAATCATAAAAAGACTTTGATTATATATCTTTATTAGATGTATATATAAAAATTATCGATTACTAAAATGTACCTTTGAAAGTTACAATAAATACTAAATATAAGTTGTTTATTTTTTTATTACTTTATATATATCTAGTTTAATATTAATGAAAATTCTATAAAATAAATAGTCGAGTTCTTAGCTTTATAAAACGAAAAACAATCTTCATGTCAATTTTTTTTTAAATGATTACTATTTAATTTTTGTTTTTCCACAATACATGATTTGATAATATGAGATTGAATGGCAAATTGAATTTGATTGGGTGATTATGGAATATTTAGCCGTAATCAACCTTGCCACATTACTAGAAAGAAGTTCAATTACAACTTTTGTGGTTGGTTTACACCAAGGGGACTAAAATAATAGATGGTACAAACAATAAGGATCAAAGTACAGTTCCAAATTTCATATATATATATATGTGTGTGTGTGTGTGTATTTCTTCAGATCAACGGTCCAAAACCATCCAATTCCCTGCCGCCAAAGCTGCTGATCTCTACCTTCTTTCAATTTATCTACCCTTATTTCTGGACTTATTACGAAAGCACCATCAGCATTAAAAAGCTCGAAGTTTGGTGCCTCTCTGCATCCATTTCCAATTCAAAAAACAGAACAACGAGAGAGAAACGATGAAGGGTTTTGGCAGATTAATATCGCGAGCTGTATTAAACCAAAAAAGATTCGAATTTTGCAGAGAAATCAATCCTGCATGTCGTTTAACAACTGGCCGCTTCATACATGTTTCAACTGCAACGGCACCGTTTTTGCACAACAGCGGTGGTGCTCTCTCTGATTCGAAAACGTTGAAGTCTTCTCTGCATCCAGAGAAATTGACCGTTTTGACAGGTTGGTTTGCTTTGATTGATATTAGTTTTTTTTTCTTTTTTGGGTTAATTTTACGTCGTGGTTTGAATTTTTATGTTTTATGCTAATATTTTTTTTAAGATATGCAAAGTTTTTTTTTTTTTTAATAATGTTTTAGTAATGTGGTAATTAAATAGGATGTTAGAGATTTTGATAAGGAAGGCATTGAATTAATATCTGTATTTTATTGGTTAGTTAGCTTAGTTACGTTCAGCTATTGCAAAATAGCGACACTTAGAGAATAAGGGATATGCTATGAAGTTATGAACTTTAGAGGTCACAATGCTTTTTCTTGGTTCTTTTGTAATTGAACATTGAGTGAAGTTTAGTAAGCTGAGGTGTGATGGTTTGCACAGGGCAGAGGAGGACAATGTTTATACAAACTCAATCCACACCAAATCCAGCATCTCTTATGTTTTATCCTGGGAAGCCGGTGATGGATGTAGGAAGTGTGGATTTTCCAAATCCTCGTTCAGCCATGAATTCTCCGTTGGCTAAAGCTATTTATGGAATTGATGGTAAGATTGAATTGGTTTTGTTATTAGGTAAACATTAAATGTAATTGTTAATGATTTTTAATCTGTGTCCTATATTATTTTCCATAGGTATTACTCGAGTTTTCTTTGGATCTGATTTTATCACCATAACAAAGTCAGATGATGCTACTTGGGAATTCCTAAAGCCTGAGATATTTGCAGCGATCATGGACTTCTATTCTTCTGGAGAACCACTGTTTATAGATGCACAAGCTGCTGCAGCAAAGGACACAGCTATTAGTGAGGTATATCTTTAGTTTACTGATTTTCCAGTAATCCACTCAAATGAAGCTTGCTTGTTAGGATTATGCTTTTGCTCTTCTTTGTTATTTGAGCTTGCATTTTATAGTGGGTGGTCCTTGGCATGTAATTATGGGATAAGATTCTAGGTTGGATCCTGCAGTAAAAATTTCCCTTGATCATTAACTTATGCTCTCTTTCTATTTACCCCCCCCCCCCCTCTCGATTTCTCTTTTTAACGAGTTTATCTCAGGAGTGGTGGTGGTTTGTAGTTATGTTGAGAAAATCCAGATGTTTGATATAAGAGATTCCATCAACGTGGATGTATTATGTTATGCATTTTTTTTTTTTTTTGGGTACCCATATGCCAAATATGAGTCTCATGAGTAATTGAATGGTGCTTTTCATCCATTTTGTACACATCTGGTATGAAGTTCAATACATGTTTGCAGATATAGGTTACTGTAAAATGGATGAATATAGTTTAGGTTATCACTGGAAAGAAAACTGGGATTTTGGAGGATTTCATTGGTTATTCTCTAATTATCGTAATCATTTAAATTGAGCATTAAACACTTAATGTGAAACTATTAACTCTTGCTAATACAGGATGACTCAGAAATTGTTGCAATGATTAAAGAGTTGTTGGAGACTCGAATTCGTCCAGCAGTGCAGGATGATGGTGGAGATATTGAATATCATGGTTTTGATGAGTAGGTTTTTCTTCTCTAAGTTAAACATGTTCATAAGAGTATTGAATGAACAATCTATGTTTTTTCTTATTCTTAATTGAAATTTTTATGTTTGCTCTCTTTAGAGAAACTGGAATAGTCAAATTGAAAATGCAAGGAGCATGCAGTGGCTGTCCGAGCTCATCTGTCACTTTGAAATCTGGAATAGAGAATATGCTGATGCATTATGTACCAGAGGTAACAAGTGAAAATCGTTTTGAGATTTCTAAATTACGTAAAATCACAGTTTCTGTCTGACATCTTCTAGGGTTCTGCAGTAAAGTTCAAAGCTTGGTATATGAAAATCTATCATCAGCCAATTAATACTTCACTTTTTAAGGGTAGGCTGTATGTCTGTGTGTTTGCTACGTATTAACTGAAGCATATATGCACAGAACTAAATAATGAAGCCCGTAGAAAATTAGTGCCATGACAAACTGCATATATTCATGAGTTATAGAACTTACCTGCAGGCTAATGCTCATTTGGTGGAAGCATTAAAAGATTAATATAGAACTTTGGGAATCAATGGAAATAGACTATGGCATAAATTGATCCTTTACTAGTTCTTATGATATTTGGGGGTGTGGGTCCCTAACTATGCCCCTCCTGTGTTAAGTACAGAAATTTAGTTGGTGCTACTATTTCTGATTTCTGAATACATTATTGTGTTCTGAAGTGCATACTGACAAATAATTAGCATTTTCTAATTTTTTTTAGAAAGATGAAAGTGTTAACATGCTTTCAGAAAGAAAGAAAAATAATGTTTATAAAGAAATGTGTTTGAGGGATTAAATGACCTAAGAAATGAAGAAAAAAGTTGGACCAGCTGCTAAGTGGTTTCTCTTGTTTCAGTCTCTCTCTCTGTACGGTAAAACACTTGGTACACATTTGTGTATCTTCTTTTTAATCTGTGCGCTTGCAAACTTTTAGCTTCCTTACTCAATAAGTTCTTGAGTTCCACTTTCATCTCACGGGTGCCAGTGCCATTGCTTTATTGCTTCACATTGCCCATGATTTGCTTTGCATCAGCTTTTGTTGACCTGGCTATTAATGCTAGGCAAACTTGTAAGCGGGATTCAACTAGTCACTCCTCTCTGCATTCCTGTCAAGTGTGCTCATAAAAATCTTATGCATGCAGGTGAAAGGTGTTGAACAAGAACTAGATGCTGAAGATGAGGATGCAGCATTGACCAGCTAGATGGAGTAGTCGAAGCCTTTTTTCCTTTTTTGTCCTCAGATAACACGGTCTGATACGTGGTGGGCTGAAAGAGAACTTCTATCATGCTTCTCCGAACAGGAGCAAATAAAGTTCATGGATTCAAATTAACTTGACATCGGTAGGGTGTGTGTTATGTTTTCGTGTAAGCTAAATACCATAATCATAGTGCAAGAGCAAGAATGTAGAGCTGTATGAACATTGTACAACTTGTGGAAAACGAGTTGTTTACTACTCACTCTTGTTTCTGTCATTCTATTTGTTCTCTGTGGGACAATGCAGAAGAAGCTTTTGTATTTCTACTCCTATTCTCTCAATTTTCCACCACCATTGATATTAATAAAGTTTATTACATGAGTTGGATCATAGCCGTTGATGGATGGTTGAATTGCTTGCTTATGTTTGATTTTGGTGCTGTCTTGTCGGCTTAGTTAATTGTTTCTAGCTTGTTCTTGAATCCAGCTATAAGGGCCCATGGACTTGGTAGAAAAACACCATTTGCTTCTGTTCAGGGTTTGGTTTCCGTAAGAACACAACCTCAAGACGATAAGTGACTTGATCGTGTTTTATCTATTTGGTGTCCAAGTTTTTCAATATTTTCTGTCTCTTTTTTATTTTTTATTTTTGAAAGTATCTGATATGCGAATTGACTGAAAAAGAAAGATTATATGCCGTGGACTGACTAATAAATGAAGCTTCACCACCGACTAACAAGATATTTTGATCTCCAAAAAAGATCTAATGTTGGAACATACCTTTCGCCTCAAGGCAATAAATTATTGATGTAATTTGTTGGACAAATTAGAGCATACATCTTGGAAGTTGGAATCATAAAGATGAATGCTAAAAAGGATAGTAAATTATAAATTAATCCTTCTAGTTTTTCAAAATAAATTAAATAGTTATGTTATATATATTTATAGTCCTTAATCATATTTAATTTAATATTAATTTATTTTAAAAATAATTTAATGATGATAATATATATATGATATATTTCATATAATTTATCCAAGATTTTTATTTTTATATTTGTCGCTTTATATCGCATCATCTCAACTCACTTAGTATAGTTATGATACAAAAAAAAAAAAAATTAAATCATCAATTTAATTGAAAATTAACTATATTTTTACATACAAACATAATATCAAGCATTTGTTATTATTATTATTTTAATATTATAAAACCAATTTCTTTGAAACAAAATGATTGAAATAATTTTTATAATAGAATCATCAAAAAATTCAAATACAAGTTTTTATACTAGCATTATTGATCATTTTATAAATATATATATATAAATTAAATACATATACTTTTTAAAAATAATCTTCACATCGGCATTAGATAAGAATAAAAATTTATTTTTTTCATTTGTTAATTTTTATACAAGTCTATACATTACTTATAGTTTTATTTTTATTTTTTTGATACATTATTAATTACAAATATATTTTTAAAAGTATTCATTTTTTTAATAATAGATTGATATTTTAATTTTTATTATTTTAATTTTTATTTAAAATTCAATACATAAAGAAGAATGAATTATGTTTCTTTTCAAGTAAAAAATTTATAAAACACATTAAAAAAATTGATTAAATTTTAAATTTTAATTAAAAATTAAAAAATTTTATTTTGTTAGATCTCGCAGCATTAACGCTGGCAACCGACTAGTTATTATACTATAAACTAAAGTAAATGGTTTTTCATCGTAGCAATGAACAGTGTTAATCACTCGTTCATTCTATAGTGATTTGGTTTTTTTTTTTTTTAATTTTCACTTTTTTTTTTTTTTTTTGCCAACGCCGGCCATCTTTACCCTTTTTTTCCCCTGTTTATTGTTTATTTGAATAGTAAACGATCGCCCCCTCCATTTTTTTTCTAAACACTTAACATTTTTTTTTAATTTCAATCGTTTCATCGTTCACATGAAAAATAAACGGTTGACCCTTTTTTTTATTCTAAAAACTAAACTTTTTTCAATTTTTATTTTTTAATAATGATGGGTGTTAAAATTTTAAAGGAACCAACAATTAATTAGGTGTTAAAATTTTAAAGAAACCAATAATTTATTTCCTTTATTATTTATTTCTAAAATTTAAAAACATAAATAAGAAATAGTTAAATATAAAAAATTTTATTAAAAAATTATAATTATTTTTTATCATAAAACATATTATTAAACTGAAATAAGTTTTTTAAATGATTTTATATATTTTATCCAGCTTCATGCACATGATGACGGGTCAAAAATCTATTAAAACATGGTTTTACTATTCATACGCTCACAAATCACTATTACTTTCACTATTCATATCTTTTCTAAAACTTTTTGTCCTCAATTTTTCTACACTTTTCTTTTTCAATTTTAAACTTTAATTGTATTGTGATTTGATCCCATTTTGTTTTAGTATTTTTTATTATTTAAAATTTACTACTTTAATTTTTTATTTTTTAAATTCTTTTTTCAAACTTTAATTTCTTAATTATTTTTATTATTTAAAATTTACTACATTGATTTTTTATTTTTTTAAAATTCTTTTTTATTTTTTTTCAATTTCAAACTTTGATCTGTATTTTGATTTGGTCTCATTTCGTTTTAGTATTTTTTGTTAATTATTTTTATTATTTAAAATTTACTACTTTAATTTGTCATTTAAAAAAAAATTCTCATTCAATTAATTAAAAATTATATTTATTAACAATTTTGATTTATTTTTCTATATGTATGATTTTAGAATAAATTTTTAGAACATGATTATTTTTTCTTTTTGAAAAATAGATTTAGATAACTTTTAAATTATAGTGGCATGATTAATATATATAATATATCTAAAATATATTTTTAGATTAAAACTGTATTTAAAATAATTTTTATTACTTTTTTAATAGAAAAAACTCAAATTAATTAATCAATAGTTAAAAGTCAAATGTGAAAAATAAAAAGAAGATGGTTTCTCTCCGCCTAAGGCCTGCATTTAAGGACTAGCTATGCATAACATAGAAATAAAAAAAATATTTAAGAAGGAGGGAAAAAAGAAAAAGAATTCACATGTTTTATTAATTTGTTTCTTCTTTATATAATCAAAATTAATCAAAATCAAATCTATAATAATTTTTATTTTAGTCTATTAACTTCAAATTTAGTCAATAAATTCCTTCAAGTTAACTTTTTTTATAGTAATTTTTGTTTTAGATTGAAAATTCTGAACTCACTTAGTATAGTTATGATATATAAAAAAATATTGAATTGTTGTTTTTTTAACAAATTAACTATGCAAATACTACTACAATAAGCATTTACTATTTATTTATTTGTTTTTGAATATTTTAAAATTAACTTATTTTAAATTAAATAACTAAAATAATGTTTTGGCTTAATCACTAAATGATTCAAATTAATATTTTTTTATTTTAATATTATTTATTCTTTTGTAAATAATATATATATAAATTAAATTCATATTTTTTCAAAAATCGATATTCTCATCAATATTAAATTAATAAAAAATTATTTATTAAATTATATGTAAGCTTTTAATAATTGTTATTTATGTTTTTTCGACACAATCTTATAAAATACTAAAAAAAATTTAAAAAATTTATTTAATTTTTTTAGTTAATAATCTATGGATTAAAAAAGATAGATCCTTTTTCTAAAAAAAATTATGAAAAATACAAATAAGAAATAGTTAAATACAACAAATTTTATTAAAAAAATTATAAATAATTTTTTAATTTTTAATTTTATATATTTATATAAATTTATATCATAAAATAAACTATCAAACCGAAATGATTTTTCATACGAGACCTAGTTTAATCTAAAAGAAAACAAAAACCTGCCGAGGACAAAAGGTCAAGATGCCATATGGTGCTTGAGATGTATTTTAAAGCCAAAATCCTTTGGCTTATAAATAGAAAAATAGGTTGACTCAAAATAAAATTATTCTATCACACGAAAATTTAAAAGTGAACTGTCAACTTCACTAAAGCGCCGAACCCGTATCGATTTCTTCGACGGATCAACTTCTAAAACGGGACAGAAACCTAGCATGGATCCTGCTTCGTTGATGTCGTTTTTCGGCACACCCAACATGTCAGATAAAAAACCACCTACGTTAAAAAAAAATCATTATCCATTTAACATGAAAATTCTTAAATATTTTTCTTGAGAAGTAGGTAAATATATATTTTTTTAATAATGGTAAATCCAAAATATAAATGTCCTTCTTGTCTTTTTGTTTATTGGAAATTCGCAAATGAAGGATGTAGGGCCAGGTGGTTGGTGGTGTAGGGGCCCAGATGGACTGATCCATGGCCATCTCACCACGGCAACCACCAGTACTCTATCATCAGCCACAAGCAAACTAGACCCTCCACACACGACAACCTTAATTCAACACGGGAATTCTTCTTGTTAGCACAAGAACAACTATTTTACTGCGTTTTGTCACCCTATAAAACACCACGAGGATGAATCCCTTTTCCTTATCATATGTCAAAACTGTCATTGTCAGATTTCGCTTTCTTAAATCTCCAGCACTGAACTGATATCTTATATCCATCCCTTTTTGTCACCACCTTTGGTGGTATTTCTTCTTCTTTTTTCGAGCAAGAAACAAGTGCTTTGGACTTTGAAAATATTAGTAATGGTGTTCAAGGATAGTATTGCTGGGTTGAAAGAGCTTAGGCCTTTGGTACACTTGCTGTTTCCACTATGTTTTCATTGGATTGCTGAGGAAATGACTGTTTCTGTTCTTGTTGATGTTGTTACTTCTGCTTTGTGTCCGGGTCAAACTACTTGTTCCGAGGCTATTTACATCAGTGGTCTGCAACAGACGGTAAATATCAGAAACTCTTGTTTTGCTTACCGTTTTTTACTACCTTTGTTTTGCTGGGAAACAAAAATAAGAGAATGGAAATTGGGTTTGTTCTATTTTGTTTCTTTTGTCTGTCTTTCTTGATTTTGTGTTCTTTTATTTGGTTCAAGGCTTTGACTTAATTAAGTACTGGTTTTTGTAATTTAAAATGCTTTTGCTGTCTGATTTTGTGGGAACTGCCAGTTTCTCAAAATTGAACAAAGGCTTGTGAGGAAGGGAATGAATTACTCATGTATGGATACTAGGTAGGTTCATTCTAAAATTTTGGGGATTTAGTTTGCTGATCAGGAATCGAGTAAAAATTTATGATTTCCTTTTTTTGGCTTGCATTTCCCATGTGAATCTTTGAAGCCAGTCAGGGCATGAATGTATTCACGCTTGAGGGTGATCATGATTTTGAGTTTCTTTAATACTAAAATGGTTTGGTATTTGAGTAATTAGAACTCAGGTGAGGAAATTTGCAGTGTGTAGTTTTCATGTTTAACCTAGCACTTAAAACTGATTATGAGGATTAAAAAACAGGATTTAAAATTCTCCGGGCAAGTGATTCTTTTTGCTTGTAGGTGGTTGGAATTTTCAAGATGGTGGTATTACCACTCCTAGGCCAGCTTGCAGATGAGTATGGGCGTAAACCGCTTCTCCTCATTACTGTATCAACATCCATATTCCCTTTTGGTATGTTCCAGATGAGCCTTTCTGGTCAGAAGTTAGGTTTATGGAAGTCTTGTGCATTCTACTTTTATCATAGTTTATGAATATCGAGAAGCAACACGCAGTTTAACTTATTTGGAAGTTCCCAGATACACTCTGCAATCAAGATTATGCTGCAGATTTTTAATGTCCTTTTCTGTTTGCTTGTTCTATTATTTCAGCTGTACTTGTCTGGAGCCAATCTAGGGAAGCTGTGTATGTGTACTATGTGCTTCGGACAATTTCATTTATTATAAGTCAAGGGAGTATTTTCTGTATTGCTGTTGCTTATGCGGTAAGAATTATTGACCATCAATAAAATGTCATGGTTATGGATACTGGGCCATCATATTTTCATCTCTTTGGCAGGCAGATGTCATCAAAGAAGGAAACAGGGCTGCAGCATTCAGTTGGATCACTGGTTTCTTTTCCGCTTCACATGTCGTGGGCAATCTTCTGGCACGTTTTCTTCCTGAGAAATACATCTTTGTGGTAAGTAGATTCTGTGAGTTTTTCAAGCATTAGCAGCATGGTTTTGTCATACTCATCTGCTGAGTTTTTTTTTTTAATTATTATTATTTACTCAATTTTATACTCTAGTAATCATCCAGAATCAGCAGTTGATAATAGTAAGCTTTTTGTTTCAGGTTTCAATTGCTCTCTTGATCTTTTGTCCAGTGTATATGCATTTCTTTCTAGTTGAGAGAATTGAACCGGTTCAAAAGAGGGAGAGTGATTCAAACTTCTTGATTAAGATAATAAATGTTATTTGCGAAAGATACAAATCAATGAGAGATGCTGCAGTGGTAGTGTTTAGGAGGTACTTACTCTTCAAATGCATCTTTTTTTTTTTTTTTTTGAGTAATGCAACATTCTTTTGCCTTTTTTTTTTCCAGCCCTACACTTAGAGGCATTTCATTTGTTTCCTTCTTCTATGAATTGGGAATGTCTGGCATCAGCTCAGTTTTACTTGTAAGTTCCTTGTATGTCAATCCTAATTTCAATCTTGATACATCTTCGAACAAATGAATTTTGCATGGAAAAAAAGCTTACACATTATGAAACCAAGGACCAACGTTGATTGTCATGTTGCATATTTACTTCGTTTTATATTTATTTAGATCCACTGATTGCTTGTCACCTACCCATACAGTTCTATCTGAAGGCAGTGTTTGGTTTTAACAAGAATCAATATTCAGAAATTCTGTCAGTGGTAGGAATTGGTTCAATCTTTTCTCAGGTATGATGTGGAGATAATCTTTCTGTTGTTCCATTTACAGACCTAAAGGAATTACGGTACTTGAATAATGAAAATTGCGTGGCTCTTTCTTTGGAACTGACAACATGTAAATCAACCTTTTTATATATGGTTCTTTTATTCTTTGTTCTTAGCTCATCATACGATCGCTATGGAATGCCAGTGAGCTTGAGAAATTCTTCTGCCTAACTTATGTTTGTTTTGTGGCTGGCTTCTAGATTTTGGTGCTTCCTCTTCTCAATCCATTGATCGGAGAGCGACTGATACTATGTCTAGCCTTACTTGCATCAATAGCTTATGTAAGTTTCCACTCCTGACTCATCCTAGCCAATGCCCTTGCCAAAAAGAAAAAGAAAATTCTAACAGAACCCTCTTTTTCTCTTAAAAGGGTGTGCTCTATGGCTTGGCGTGGGCATCTTGGGTATGTTCCTAATTCCTAAGAGTTAAATTTCCCTTGATATTTTAGAAAAAAAAATTTCCCTTGACATTTTAGAAAAAATAAAAAAAGTTCAATCCTGAACCAGTTAGGGTAATTGCTTTATTTAAACCAGCGTACAAAGTTCTTTATATTTTTTATTGCCTAATGCAGGTTCCATACTTGAGTGCCTCATTTGGAGCTGTTTACGTACTCGTAAAGCCCGCTGTAAGTGCTATGATCCCTACCTCTTTTCTTCTGAACATCAGGTAAAGAGGAGTTTCCATGATTTTATGTTCTGAATTCCTTGATGTGCAGACTTATGCTGTTATTTCCAAAGGGTCAAGCTCAACGAATCAGGTTTGCAAAACTAGCTGTCTATTGAATAGTTGGTTTTTTCTACCGCTATTCTATTCCTATGAACAAATTTGCCAACTTCTGATTGTGGCAGAAGCAGCTTTGCTGTGCATCTTTTCTTAGATTTAGGCTCAAGCTAGAGTTCGCCGTACAAGTCTACAAACCTGCTTTTTAAAATGTCTGCATATTTGTGAACGATATATCTTCATTGCTTACATGTTCTAGCACTGGTTTACTGCAGGGAAAAGCACAGGGATTTGTTGCCGGTGTCCAATCAATAGCAAGTTTATTATCCCCTCTTGCAATGAGTCCATTGACTTGTGAGTTGCCGATGTTAACATCCTTTCTTTGATTATTACCCCAAGCATTCCCTTTTTCTTGCTCATTGATGAATTGTTTGTTTCAGCATGGTTCCTATCTAGTGATGCACCTTTCAACTGTAAAGGTTTCAGCATTATGGTTGCTTCTGTAAGCATGGTAAGGCCTGACACAACTTCATCCCTCTCCCCTTCCTCCAACTTCATCCCTCTCCACCTCCTCCATTTCTCCCAATTAATCGCGAACTATTTTGCTTTCTCAGGTGATTGCTTTATGCTTTGCTTGCCTGCTTAACCAGGGCGAAAAGTTGAGTCATGACCCGGAGCAAGAAGTAGAAGCACCACTTTTACGTGAAAGTTAACCGAGCACAAACTAGCTAGTTTATTTATTCTTCACAGCCAGATGATGTACATGTCCAGGCATCTCCTAAAAGATGTAATAAACTAATTTGTTAATGCAATCACTTTTTGCCTAAAGCAACTTCCCTGACAAAAAATTGCACTCTTTATCTGTGTAAGAACATTTCAAATGTTTAGGAACAGAAAGTTCCTAAATTTAGATTGATAACCTAAAAGCCTAACTGTCCATTGACATGATTAGGAACAGAAAGTTTGGGACATCTTTTTTTTTTTTTTGGGTGGGGTTTCAGCTGTAAAATCTTCTTCGGACTAGATTTTGCATTTCAATACTAAATCATTTCTTGGTTGGTGTATTGACAAAAAATTTTCGAAGTTTTCTTTGAATTTAAAACCAAGATGACCGTCCGAATCAAGGTTGAATGGTAAAGTTTTGAACTTTGATGACTATATTTCCTATGAACTACTCATGCCTACTAGTTCCTAGCCTAAAGTTCTAAAACCCATTACCCATTCAAAGAGAAACGACTAGTCACTCGGACGTCAATGACTTGAAAATCAACCTCTCTTGCTTGTCAAGCTGAAAGACCAGTTGCTGGCATTCTCATGGAACGACATGCCGGGTAGAAATAACCAACATTCGTTAAAGCGCAAAAAAAATATCAAATAGATATAGATTCTAGATTCTGCTGCGGCTCTTACTATTTCCTACAACATTGAACAGCAAACAAAAATAGTCACAGCTTGGTCTGGTATGTACTGAAACCGTAGAGGCAGCCATGGAAACACTCTCCCCTTCATTATCCACTGCCACTCTCAGTTCCATATCCAAAAAACTCCCAATCAAAGCTTCAAGTTTTGAACTTTACAACCCTATAAAGAACAAGAACCACATAAAAAACCGATCTTTATCTTCTTCTTCTTCTTCTTCTTCTTCTCTCATTTCTTGCATTTCTTTATCAACAAAAGCAACAACAACATCAACATCTAGTCCTTTAACTTCAACTAAAACTAACAGCCATTGGATGGTTCTAATGGAAAGCCCTCCAATGGGTGTCAATTCAAAGCCAGAAATCATTGATTACTATGTCAAGACTGTTGAGAGAGTATTAGGCAGGTGGGTTGTTTGTTTGTGTTTTTAGATGACCCATTTTGTTATTGTTGTTTTTTTGGCCTAAAGTTTGTTGGTTTATTGGTTTTGAACAGTGAAAAAGATGCTCAAATGTGTATATATGATGCTTCTTGTGACACTCATTTTGGGTTTTGTTGTGATATTGACGAAGATGCTTCCCTTGAACTTGCCAGTAAGTTTCTTTCTGTTTTGGCCCCAATATATCGAGAATTATGATGCTAATGGAGAAATTGTTGGTGTTGAGAAGTTTCTGAATTGTTGTGGATGTGTGTGTTGTAGGGTTGCCTGGGGTTATATCAGTTAGGCCGGACCCGGATTATAATTCTGTGGAAAAAGATTATAGTTTAGGTGTCAGGTTGAGTACATTATCGAATCCACAAATTGGAAGCAGGTTGTTGTTTCCTGCAGGGAATACGAAACATTGGCTGGTTAGAATTGATAAGCCAGGAGTTGGAGTTGTTACAAAGGCTCAAATGGTTGATTATTATGCTCAAATACTAACCAAGGTTATGGGGAAGTAAGTGTTTGTTTGAGAAAGAATGCAATCTTCTTGCTATTATTACATACTACGTAAGTGAAAAGTTGATTTCCTTTGCAGTGAGAAGGATGCGCAAATGTGTATATATAATGTTTCCTGGCAATCAAATTTTGGGTTCTGTTGCGAACTTGATGAGGAATGTGCACAGGAGCTAGCTGGTTAGTTTATTCCCTTTGAATTGAAATTTTGGTTTGCATTTGTTCTGTTTAATGACATACAGCTCTGCTTTTAGGTATTCCTGGTGTTTTATCTGTTCAGCCAGATAAGAATTTTGAGTCCGAAAACAAGGATTATGGAGGTTTGTCGCTTTTAGCACTACAATTGCTGGTGGTATATGTGCAATTATTGATTCAGTTTTATGAATTAGCATCAGGATTAGCTGCTGGATGTTAAGTTATGATACTGTTATTTAAGTTTTCAGAAAAGCCAATGTCAGTAATTTAAGTTTGATGTGATTGAGAATTTTATTCCTTGGCAAATGGTTCTTTTGTAATGTTGTCGAGATATAATTGTCCAGGTGATAACGTCATCAAGTCTGCAGATCCATCAGATTTTTCAGAAGCAAGTCAAATGACTCTTGTAAAAACAAAGAAACTTTTTGTAACTGGTATGTTGCATCTTCAAATCATGTTCTGATGATTTAATGTCCTTGAACTCTTGCTTTTTGTTTGTAAAATACTCAACTGCAATATAGCACTAGTATTTTGAATACAAAATCTCATAGCAATATTGGATAATAAACATATGCCTGATCTAATTAGCTTTGTGTTGATTAGTGCTTGTCGATCTGTATTCTGGGCAGGCCTGTCATTTTATACGTCTGAGAAAACCTTGCGTGCAGCATTTGAGGGCTTTGGTGAGCTTGTTGAAGGTATGTTTTCGTTTTCCCAATTTTTTGACATGTATTTGTAGAATGGTGTGACCTAAGCCTGCTTATACTAACGGTTTCGGATTCTTGGCAGTTAAAATAATAATGGACAAGATTTCAAAGAGGTCCAAAGGTTATGCATTTGTAGAGTACACAACAGAGGAGGCTGCAAGTGCAGCACTCAAGGAGATGAATGGCAAGGTACGTGTAAAACGAACCCTCGTTTCACTTCATTTTGGTTTTAACCGTTCAAGCAGTAAGGCTGACCTACATTCTGTCAACTCTACTTGCAGATCATCAATGGCTGGATGATTGTCGTTGATGTTGCCAAGACCAGCCCACCGAGATTCAGCAGGGGTCGGCCAAGACCTGCAGCCTGAGAAGAGGGAGGGTAGGCCTCAGCCTCACGGTGGTGATTATGCATGCCAGCCACCCGAGTTGTTTGCATTGAATTCTTCACTGAAAAACAGTCATTTCCTCATCTTGTCGTTGCAAACTTATAATTAATAAATGATCAATATTGTTATCTTCGTAAGAAATGCATTAAGTAGTCATACTAGCAACTTTCCTAGCTCAACCGGGATATACCGAATAAGTCATGTTTCATCTCCTTTTGCAGTATTTCATGGATACACTTCATATACTCATCTTTACGCCAACTAACTGGGGTGTTTTGTTTTCAAGATTATATACATACATATTGATTCCCAAAATGAAACAAAAATACAAGAAATCAAGGGAGGAGGATAGCAAATAGTGCTTATATTGAATATACATATACCATTTTCCATTGCATACATCGATCTGCCATTCTGTCTGGTTCGCCTTGGCCCCATTTTTTTAAAAAAAATGTTGCCTAAACTTATCAGGGAGAGCAAAAGGGAATGCTATACTTTCTAAGCCTGTAAGGGCATGATTTTCCCAACATGGGCCACCAGAGGTTGAGTAATTCAACTACACTATGTATAAACTATACATATCGATTAATGAAAGCCTTGGCTTCCACTTCATAAAAGTCATCAGCCCTCCTCTCCAAACTCCTTTGTAAATCTCTCATGCACCTCAAGATCAGCTTTACTCACTGTTGGCTTCTGCCGTGCAAGCACTTTATCAAAATCTGCTCTTGTGATAGGTGGTGGAAGGACCTGAAAAGTCATTGATTTGAAATGTATATAGTCATTGTTTGTCACCAAAGAGTATGCATGCAGCTAGAAGTCACAACTAAAATGAATTTCCCGTGAAACCAGCCATTCTAGAGGGAGGATGTGAATCGTGATAATATGCCTCTCTCAGTTCCTCTTGCTGAATGTTATGGAAATAACAGCAAACACAATATTTCTCGTCTTATAGAATTCCAACAGTGTTTCTCCTGGACACAACCACAGAAGCAATATAATTTTTGGGAATGGTTTCCAGGTTGACCCCTCTGGAAATAGTGTCTTATTCAATCCATACCTTTGAAGCAAGGCCTTGTGCATCGAGCTCTAGTAAAGTGGTCTTGACAGCTCCTCGTTGTTTTGGTTCACAAGGAACCCACATGCCATTAGAGGACTTCATGAAATATTCAGCATCCCGGGTTTTACGAACAGGTTCAAAGAGTACATCTTTGACCTATCAATGGTAATGTCAGGATCAAGTTTAGCAAGAGGAAACGACTATTTTCAATTTTCACACAAAAGAAAACGTAAAAAACTAATACTTTTCAAACATTTTGCTCAAAATGAGACATAGACTAAAGTTGAGATACAGCAGAGACTGACGTAAAATTGACACTTACACAAACAGAGATATCTGAACCTGAAAATCCTTCCGTTTTTTGAGCTAACTTCTCAAAATCACTTTCAGTCAAATTGTGGGGAGTATCTCCAAGATGCACCTGCTCATGGACATTCAGGAGGATGTTAATTTCATGAACCACACAAGCATGTTTCAACATGACAAAAAAACAGGCTACAATGATTCTGGTGAGCAATACCTTAAACATGTGTTGCCTTGCCTTCAAATCTGGGAGAGGAATGTATATTCTCTTGTCAAAACGCCGTCGGATAGCCTGTGGTTTATTTTGCATTAACATTACCGAATAAGTAATTCTGATGATAATAGAGATATTTCTGTTCATGATCAAGGCAGTTTAATGTCTGATATTTTTCTAACCTGATCCAGTGCATAGGGAGTATTTGTAGCTGCAAGAACAAGAACCTTCTGATCATCGCTCCCTACACCCTGAAATGGAACAAGAATCTCAGATTAACACTATGACAATGCTCTTATCAGTTTATGTGGAAATGAAGCTTAGGACAATGTTCTTATGCACACACAGTGACACAAAATACCTGCATCTGTACAAGAAGTTCAGTTTTGATACGCCGAGATGCTTCGCTCTCATTACCTTCACCCCTTTGGCCACATAGTGAATCTATTTCGTCAATGAAAATGATGGAAGGTGCATTATCACGAGCCATTTGGAAAAGATTTGAAACTAGCTTCTCACTTTCACCCATCCATTTAGAAACCAGGTCTGAGGAAGAAACACTGCAAAAAGATAGCAACTGGGTCTTGTCAACAACTTTGACCAGTAAATGAGAGCATAAAAGGCAGAAGTTCTGCCCAGCATATAGGGATTTATTTATGATTTATAAGAGTAAAATCTAATAAAAGAGTGATCATAGTAAGAATTTTGCATTTGCTAAAGATCCTGCCTGATGCACCAATATTTTACAAATTTCTTGGATAATGTTTATTGAACATTGCTTGCAAAGACTACCTATCTATATATCCTGACCATCAAAAAAGAGAGGAAGGAGAAACTTTGATATTGTTTATGCATTCAAAATTCAAACAAAACACTCACTTGATGCAATGCGTGAATAACATTTTAAGAAACGTTAATCTGCCAGTAATCCAGTCAGTTACGATATCTTGGTTATATATTACCTGAAGAAAGTTGAGTCAGCTTCTGTTGCAACAGCCTTTGCTAAGTATGACTTCCCTGTTCCAGGTGGACCATATAGCAAAAAGGCCCTCCATGGTTTTCTCTTCCCTGAATGAGTAGCAGACAATTAACATCCAGATCCCAGACATCAAATATTGTCAAATATAGAATCTTAACCCAAGAAAATATCATAACACTGGAAGCAGAACACACAATTTCGAGCACAACGACCAAAAAACTAACCAGTGAAAAACTGTGGGAACTTAACAGGCAATATGACAGCCTCTTGCAATGCCAGTTTGGCACTCTCAAGACCTGCCACATCACTCCACCTCACATTTGGCTTCTCCCTGATGATAACAGAATCAAGCCCGGCCTTAAGCTTCGCTTGCTCAGGATCCTCCTTGTCCTTCCCACCTCCATCCTTTGGTTTTGGACCAGTCTTTGGCTGTGCAGTAACCGACGCATCACCAATTGAGGCAGGCACACTCCCACCATTATCAAGAATAGCCCGGATCTCCTCTGCCCTCCTCAGATACCCCATACATCTTTGCCTAATTGTTTTCTCAATCTGTGGATTCTTCTCATACTTCAATTGTGCTTGAAAATACTCCAATGCATTCATATAAAGCTGAAAAGCTTTGCTATAGTTTCCAGCATCATCCTCATTAACTGCCTGTTTCGCATACTCAATACCATGCTCCATAAAATTGCTATACATTTTTTCCTCAAAACTAAAAACACCAAATATAATATAATCCTTCAAGCACTCTCCACTCAAAAATCACTCCTATATATCAATTATACCTGAAACAAGACTTAAACCTCAATAGCTCCTATAATCAAAACCCAAGACTTGATCCCATGAAAAGGCAAAGATAACATCCTGACATATAAGTAAAACATCAAGCACACCTCCAATTCAATCAGAAGCCAAGACCCCAATACTTGGACACACTTAAAGCTGAAAAAAACACTATAATCCAATCAAGACTCAAAACCCCGACACTTAAAGTTTCAACCTTTACAGTAGTTTTGAGATATATGATTCTTTTTCAAAGTTTTCCCCAACCCAATACATTTTGATTAAAAAGACTCAAACTTTGTAATTAAATATCAATTAGAGAGAATGAACAGACAACAAATAAAAAACCCATTAACAGACCTGAAACTTGAGGCCTTGATCAAGAGAGATGATTGTCTTTTGTCTTCTATCTCTGTCTCTGTTTGTTATCTGTGTTAAGCATTATGTGATTTGTGGTTTGATCTTAGAATTCAAGAGAGATAAGCAAAGCCGACCAATTAAAATAATAGTGTCCTGTCGCTCTCAAATCTTAGAAAAGTTGGTGTAAACAAAATGAAATGGTTATTAGGAAAAGGCCAAAAAAAAAAAAAAAGTAATTTAATATGAAAAATTCATAATGAAGGCTATTTTTTAAAAAATAATATACCCAAGTCCAAATACTTAATTTTGAATGCGGCAATAGCTTCTTTTTCCTTTTCTTTTATAAAGCGGTTTTTTCATTCAAAATTAATTTATATTTCATCAATAAGAATTGTAAATGAGATTATGATGTATTAATTTTCTTTTCTTGGATTTTAGTTTTATTTGTGGGTTCTTTCTCTGTATGTCTGAATTAGATGGTATCTCTTTTTTTTTTTTTTTTCTGACCTAAAGATTTAATTATGAGTGAATAATTCAAAAACACTTACTTTCGATCCAATTAAGATAGATTTCTAATTTTAAAAAATAATTTAACTATGTTTTCGATACTGATTGCACATAAAAATTATGAGATAATTTTAAAAAAAATAACATATTATAAAGAACCCTTAAAGATATCAGGTTTTTACTATTTTTTTACTATTCATACACTCACATACCATTATTCACTTAATGTCATTTTTTTTATTTTAAGAAAATGATGTTTTGGTTATTTAAAATTATTTTTGAGCATTTATTTCATTTACAATACTATTCACACACCTTTTAATGCTTTTTTTTTATATAGTATTTTTGAGGTTTTTTTTAAGCACTTTATCGGCAAAAATTTGGTTATATTATTCTTTCTTCTCTCATTTTTTTAATAATTTTTATTTTGATCTACAACTTTATTTATATTATTTTGATTAATTTTTCGATACTGATTGATTGCACATATAAATTATGGGATAATTTTAAAACAATAACACATTATAAAGAACCATAAAAGATACAAAGGTTTTACTATTTATTTACTATTCATTCCCTCCTATACTACTATTCACTTAGTGGCATTTTTGTAATTTTAAGAAATTGGTGTTTTGGTTATTTTAAATGTTTTTCTGAGCATTTATTTCATTTACAATACTATTCACATACCTTTTAATGGTTTTTGTTTTTTATAGTAATTTTTAGGTTTTTTTAAAGCATTTTATCCGTAAAATTTTGCTTATATTATTCTTTCATCTTTCATTTTTTAAATAATTTTTATTATGATTTATAACTTTATTTGTATTATAATTTAGTCTCTAACTGCTAAGGAGAGAGAGAAATAAAGAGAGAAGAGTAAGGAGAGAAAAAAATCTATGTATAGATTTTTTAGAATATTGTTATTTGATCTTAAAAAAATTGATATAATTTATATGACAAATTCTTTTAATTTTTAAATTGTATAACATGGTTGTGTATATATATATATATATATATATATATATATATATAATGAATTTTTAGAATATGATTATTTACTCTTAATTTTTTTCGATATAATTTATATAATGAATTATTTTAATTTTTAAATGATAAAAGCATTATATATATATAATCTAAATATTAAAAGTGTTTTTTAGATAATTTGTCTCATATTTTTTTGAAAAAAAATTATAAGAAAAGTTTTTTAGTTAAGAATCCATGTACTTTTGAATTTTCTCACAAGTTTTTAGTTAAAAATACGAATATAAAAGAATTAATTTTGTTCTTTTTTGCATAAAAAAATATGAAAAGCATAGTGAATAATTAGTTAAACATAGAATTAAAAAAATACTTTTGATTTGATACATTTTAGTAGACTCATAATATAATAGGTATCATCAAACTGAAATTATTTTTAAAAATAATTTTATATGTTATATCAAATCCGTAGCGTAATGCAAGTAAAAATCTAATGTTTCATTAATTAATATTTTCATGCATATGTTACATTTTAAATTTAAATAAGTGAAATTCGTATCACTTGTTAAAAGTATCGGATAATCTCCGCACACAATCAAATAACAAAAACTAAACAAAACAATCAATTATTTATTAAAAAATAGTGTATGATAATTCCTTAAAATTTTTGTAAATTAGGTGCCTATCTCGATTTGAGTGGAGGTTGATGTTGCTCCAGAATCATTTAACATTGAATCATCCCCAATCCCTAAAGCCTTTCTGGGTATTTTGAATGAGCAATCGGGGTAGCAACCATCAAGCACAGCTTGCTGTGGTTTTTCCTTTTGTTGGCGATATTTCAGAATTGATGATTTCAGATGACTTAGCTCCAAAGAAACAAAAAGAATGGAAGTTAGTAGAAGAATCCAGGGGTGTGGACTGGAGACTTTGTGTAAATGGGTGACAAGTAACTTTTATTTCTATTAATAAACTTACAATTTGATCCTTAAAATGAAAGAACTATTCTCATTTGTCCCTATTTTTTTTTCTTTTTTACCAAATTTTAACTTCTCAAGGATGGAAAAATTCTTCCCTCTCTTTAAAAGGGAGATAAAAAGTTTGTCTTTTTCATCACTAAGAAGATAGGATATTTCTTAATATTTTATGTATTCATCCATACTTGCTGAAATTAAATATTTCCTAACTTCCTAAGTTTTCAATCATATCCCTCGTCCCCAAAAAGAACTCTAATCTGTAGCATAAATAGTGGCAAATCCACATTGATGAGAAGGTGAGTCAATTACTTGCCTCAATTTTGAACCTTGCTGAATTTTTTTTTTTTTTTTTATGCCATCAATGCTGCTTTAATCTTGTGAATTCAAAAAATATCAACCAAAAAAATTAAAGAAGATGTGTCAAATTCTTGGCCAAGTGAAGGTAAAACCATTTACTCCTCTAGCTACACCATTTATGAATAGACAGAGGTGGTTATCATGCACCATTAAGGAAAGACCAAAAGAGGAAGAAAGCTATAGTCTAGACTCTGGTATCCTAACCTTTCACAGACTGTGTTCAAAATTTCCTTACTTTGGTCTTAGACCGATGAATTAGTTCAACCAAACATTTGCTTAGCTTGATTTATACATGCCATCAACCAAATAGAACACTCCACATGTGATCAATTATGCAAAAACAATGCATATAAATTAATGTGACTTTGATCTCCTTCATTGCCCTATACTTCACACACTTCCACATCTGCTAGCTCTTCAATGGAGAAACAAGTTCATTCCATCCACTTCTTTTTTGCTCTATTCTGCTTCTCTTACATAATATTTACAGGTTAAATTAATACTTTTTTATTTTATTTTTATAGATGGGATTGTTTTTTCTTTCTCTTCGTTTAAAACTGTGCTTTGTTATATCCTTATAATCCACTGGCTTTAGTTGTTGCAGAAGGTCATGTTAAAGGATCAGATCATGAGCACCATCAGAATGGCTCATTGAAGCTTTTTGTATTTGGGGACTCCTATGCAGATACTGGGAACTGGGAGAAATCTGCAGCTTCTTGGAAAGAGCCTTATGGATTCACCTTTCCTGGTAAACCAGCTGGTCGATTCTCTGATGGTCGCGTCTTGACAGATTACATAGGTGCATGCTTCTTCTTTCTCTCTCACATATTTTCAATCCCAGATGAGTGACATGAGTTTTAATTTATAGTTGGAATCCATGGTTTGCAGCTTCATTTCTTGGCATAGAATCTCCAGTACCTTATACATGGAGAAAAACTGTTGAAAAATCTGGTTTAAGATTTGGCATGAACTTTGCATTTGGAGGGACTGGAGTGTTTGATACATTCGTCAATGCACCAAATATGGCTACCCAAATTGACTTTTTCCAGCAGCTGCTTGATGAAAAAGTTTACACCAAACAAGACCTTAGCTCTTCCGTTGCCCTGGTGTCCCTAGCAGGCAATGACTACACTGCTTATATGCAAAGAAATGGCAATTTTCAGGTGAGTTTGGTAAACTACATTTTGTTTTGAACTTATGGTACTAGGGTAGGTAACCTGTGGCAATACAATATAATCATAAGGCTAATTGATTATAGAGTAACCTGAACATTTGGATTTCGTCAGAGGGGAAAAACTCTCAAAAATTTGTTAATTCAGATTTGGATTCCAAATTTATTTTTGATCCATAATTAAGTTATTTTATCTTATTTACCAATCTTAGGAGATATTGAAACATGTGAGAGGACACATTTCGTTGTTTTAATGGCTCACGTGTCTTTTAATTTCGTCTAATGTCCTCTGAGATTGGTCAATGAGACGAAAGAATTTATTTGCAAATAAGAAAAATGTTCAGAACTTTTGCCTTTCGAACAAAAAATTCATGGTATTTTATAACTAATTAGCCTAATCATACTCTTGTACATTATTTTCAGCATCGATTGTGATCCATTAATTTACTGTCTAATCAGTCAAAACGATATCCTTCTAACTATAGGATTCACTTCTTAACTTCAATAACTCTTAAAATTCCTATCTATGGCAATTGGTAGGATATGCCAGCCTTCACGGCATCACTTGTCAATCAGCTTTCTGCCAACCTGAAAAGAATACATGATTTCGGAGTGCGAAAAATAGCAGTAACAACACTGCAACCTCTTGGATGCCTGCCGGTATTGACAGCCTTCTCTTCATATCAACAATGCAGTAAAAATTGGAATGCGGCCTCCAAATTTCACAACCAGAAATTGCAGCAAGCAATAGAAAGGATGAACAATGAGAGCGGAAGACAGATTTATGAAACTCTGGATCTCTATAATGCATTCATGTCCAAATTGAATAATGGAGGAAACTTGAAGTCGAGGAGTTTTCTTACGCCATGTTGTGTAGGTGTGGAAAGCAATTACTCATGTGGGAACATTGACAAGAATGGGGCAAAGAAGTATGTGATATGTGATCAGCCAGAGTTGTCCGTTTTCTGGGATTTGGTCCATCCTGCACAGAATGGTTGGCATCAAGTTTTTTTGTTTCTTAATTCTTCTTCACTTCATCAACTCTATTAGGAACATTCAGAGGCACAAAATTATGCTCAGAAGAAGAAACTAAGCAGCTTGTTGTTGATTACCTTTCTTTTGTAATTAAAAAAACAGTGAACAATGGCGTCGCCCGGATTCGAACCGGAGACCTTCAGTGTGTTAGACTGACGTGATAACCAACTACACCACGACACCTGTATGCATCCATCACATTTTAAATGAATAATCTTAAAGAAAGTTTATTTTTGACTGAACGGTAAAATACCCCCTGAGCTTGAGAAAAGATAATAAATACCTCCCTGAACTAAACATTCTCTGATTTTACCTCTTAAACCATACGTTTTTTTTTTTAAATATGTTTCTTTTGTTAGGGTTTCATTGAGAAATTGATAGAAAAAAAAATGTAAAAATTCTCTCAATTTTTATTATTTTTATCTACTAACTTAGAAAAGTTTGAAGTTGCATATTAAAAGTTATAAGCAATTTATTAAGTTTGAAGGCTATATTAGCAAACTCACAAACTTATATTAAGAGATTTTTTTAAACTCTGGGTCTTTGCACTATGTATAGTTATGCTATTATATCAATCTTTGCTATCATCATTACGTCATAGTTAACAAAATAAATCGATTTAAAAAATTTATCATTTTTGGAGATTCATAGGTTGAAAATTGGGAATTATGGAAGAAACTGTCCTAATCTACATGCTGGCAGCTTACCTAGCCTTATGGACGAGTCTTATCTGTTTTGGTGGGTATGATCATACCTTTGTCCATGCATATCCTCATTATTTTTTCTTAATTTCTTTTAGAACATTTGCACGATATATTTCTTGGTCTCGGAAATGTTATTTTATACCTTTCTTCATGTGTTTTTTCTTTTATGAAGTAATTTTTTTATCTTGGAATTCATGCAGCTTCAGTTATAGGACTGGAATCTTCAATATTATATAATATGAGAAATCAAGCAAATATAAAAACAAGTATGTATTCTGTTTTAGAGATCAAAAGAAAAATTTTGGACAAAAAGGGATCAAATGTATCATCTTGTTAATGTACAAGGAGGAAACTTTCCACAATCCAAAAGGTTGATGTTAAGAAGAAAATTTCATCGAAAAAAACACCACATTTCAGCCTTACAAAACCAATTTCATTAGTATTTCTCCTTCAAAATAGATAAAAAATTTTATTGAAATTAACTAAAAAAAACTTGTTTCAAGTCTTAAAACTTATTTTAATGCGTTTAAAAAACTCGAAATTCAAATTCAAAAATATTTTAGGATTTCCATCTCATTCTTTCTACTCTTTCATATCTTGAGACCATCATAAACAAATTTCACTAAATTTAGATTTTTTTTTCATTTATATATAATATTAATGACTTTCATTTTATCTCATTAATTGAAGAAAATTTAATGGAAAAAAAACTGAAAACACAAGTGTTTAAATTAATTAAATCCATCTTAAATAATACTCACCTTTCCCTTTTATACTATGAACCTAGAGTCCAAAAACCATCAAAAGCAATTATTAGCAAGAAACAAAGAAATGTACCATGCCTATGTGATATATAATCTAACATCACTGACTTCCATTACCCTCCATTTATGTTTTTTCAAGATAAATCAATACAAACAAATTAAACTGAAAAATAAGCATTTAGGTTAATTAAATCCACCTTAAATAACGTTTAGTTTACACTCTTAATGTATAAATATGAGCATACACTTCCAAAAATCATCCAAACAAGCATATCATGGCAAGGTGTAACACCTTCTCTTTCACAATGGCTTTGTTCCTCGGAGTAGTATTAACGACGTCCTCACCTATGCATGCCAAAAAAACCGATGATGATGACATCCCATCACCAGAAAGTTCTCCAGAGTTTTTGCCATATTTGGAACAATGCGCAAATCGTATTAGCCCGGAATGTGGAAGAGAAGTGGCCAAATGCACATTTTCCATCCCTGTTTCTTTGATCTCATATCCATGTTGTGAAGAACTTGTTAGAAAAGTGGGAAAAACATGCCACTATTCCCTGGTGAAATATACTGCTCGAAAGCCAGAGTTTAAGGCTAAATACAATGATTACTTGGATAATAGCAAAGTGCAATGGGATGACTGTAATCAATTAATCAGTAACTGGGGGCCCTATTACTAGTGTGCTGTAAAATTGAGCTATTTTAGTCATAAAACAAAATTTCAAGATTGATCTGTTAATTCTTTCAGTTGAGTTTGAATTTGATAATGGATTAAAGATCAAAAGTTATGAATAATTTTGATATAATCAATATCTTTGAATAATATATTGGTTAAATTGCATATAGTTTCGAACAAATTATTTTAGTATACTTAAATTAGTTTATAAACAAAATTGAGGATTTGGTTTTGTGATTATGATGATTAAAAGGATCGGAAGTTTTCATCTAATTATTCATCCTCAATGAAAAAAGAATGAATGTTTCAGCTTCTAGATTATGAACATTGTATCTTAATTGATGTCAAAATATTTTTTATAAAAACTTTGAGAACCAAAAAACTTATAGATAAAAGACCAGATTGTAAAAATATTAAATTTAGAAACCAAAATAGTCTTCTTGAAAATTTTAGAGATCAATTAGAATATTTTGATAAATTATTTTTAGGAGATATTAAATCGGTATTAAATGAACAAATTGAGTGTGAGTTTAGATGGTAATTTCTTAATGGATATGGAAATATATATATATATATATATATATTAATGAATAGAGTAAGTGATTGAATTAACGCCCTATGCATTGCCATTTTATTTCAGATTGAAGTGTTGATATCTTGTGTTCAATCAATCATATTTTTTGAGAATGTTTGTGTTATCACAATTAAGTTTAGCTATGAATAAGCATGATCATTCGGTTTTTTTATTCGATTTTTAATAATTTTAGTTCAATTTTTTATTAATTGAATCTACAAAAACAAAAATCGAACTTGAATCAAAATGCTGTTCGCATTTTCAGTTTAAAATCAAAATTTTGATGATTGGTTTAAATCATTTTTTTTTATTTAAATTTTTAAAAATAATATAAATGGACAAAAAAACCCACCAATCCATCATATATTTATAATAATGTTAAGGTATTGATTTTTTAGTTTATTTTATTATTTTAAAACTAAAAAAAGAAAAAAAATTAAAAAAATCTTTTTCGGTTTAAAAACAGAACTAAAAATTTCAAAAACTGAATTGAAAAAAAATTCAGTTCGTTTTTTTTTTTTAAAAAAAAAAAATTATGAGTTAAGAATCAAATTGATATTTTCAGTTAGTTCAATTTGATTTTTCGGTTTAAACAAAATAGTACTCATCCTAACTAGGAACTTTCTAACAATATGGGAAAAACTTTTCATGACGTGTAATTAATATTTCTTCATTTAAAATATGGACAATCGAAGACATGCTTTTTATTTAAAGATTTTCATGCGATCTACTTGGCATATTTAATTTGATGGTGATATACTTAGTTTAGATGGCAAAACGACAATAGACAAATTTATTAATACAAGGAAAACAGATCCTTTGTTATTTTATCAAATGACTTCAAGGCTTTTCGTATCACACTTACATACCCATTACTTAAGTGGGTCTAGCGAGGAGGAGGAGGAGAAGAAGAAGAGCTGGTAATTGTTTTTTTTTTTAAAAAAAAAACTTAAGTGGGTCTGAATTTCGTTCTTCAATCATGGGCTTTCATTAAAATTGCAAAAAGTTAAATAGGAACGTGAAACCCGAACACAATAGAGTCAAGATCGAGGCCACCCAAGAAGCCAGAAATACACTTCTGAACAACTAATTGACTTGATTACAAGTTTTCATATATAAGAAGCCATTGATAAAGCGGCCAACCCATAACAGTTATCCCATTGTTTTTTGCTATAGTTCAAGTAATCATTGTATTTAGCCTTATACTTTGGTTGTTGAGCAACATATTTCACCAAGGTATCGTGGCAGGTTTTTCCAATTTTTAGAACAAGTTCGAAACAACACACGTTTGTCATATAAGTAGAAGGATTGATAAATATGCATCCCAACGCATCTTTTCCACACCTTGGGCTAATACGATCTGCACAATATTCCAAGTATTGCAAAAACTTTGGAGAACTTTCTGGTGGTGGGTTCTCTATAACAGCCTCTTTAGGAAGCCTAGCCGAGGTCATTCTTGCTATTCCCAGGAACGAAATGAACAGGAATGTGAAGTAGTTGCACCTAGCCATGGTATATATGTGGGTTTCTTACTAATAATTCCTTTTGATTGTTTTGGACTCTAGGCTCATTTTATAAAAGGGGAAAGTTGAGTGTTATTTAAGACGGATTTAATAAATTTAAACACTTGCTTTTTCAGTTTTGCTTAGATTCAATTGTTTTCAATTTATGAGGTGCAATGGAAGTCATTAATATTTTTTTAAAAAAAACTCTAAGGATTGTGAATTCAATGTAGCATTCACTGATTATTTAGATTTAAATTATTATTCATTTATTGTTGTTTGTTTCCAAATGCACTATTCATTAAGTCTCATGATCAAAATTGGTAGAGTTTTTTTTATATAATTTACTTTCATGCCATTGAGTGTTTTTTGGATTTTACTTTCATGCCTTAAATTTACATAAATATTGTTCAGATGAATATATATATATGGTTTCGAAGCTGAAACGTTCATTCTTTTTTCATTGATGAACAATATATAAAAGCTTCTATATATTATTCATTAATTTTGCTTACAGAAAGGTTAAACTTTTAGATCTCTAATAAGAGAACCTTGCATAACTGAATAAGTAGCATTCCAGCCATTGTCCGAAGGGTGGACCAGATCAAAAAAGAACGATGACCGGAGATTCCCGCATATTCCTTCGGCCGAGCATACGAAATTAACAGTTTTCCAGCAACATGGCTGTAATGGGTTCTTGTACGTAGTATTTGCTGTGACAAATGGAAAGAAAAGTTAAAAACATTAATTTGAGTTGTATCAATAGAACTTTGCCCAACTTAAATATTTGGGCAAATTATAAATTGTTCTTTTTAGTTTTGAGAAAAATTTAATTAGTCCCATCTAGTTCAAAAACTAATTATTTGGTCCTTTATGTTCATTTTATGGTCTTTTCTAAGTTGTTTTGTTTGTATTTTTTTTTCCAAAATAGAAAAAAAAAAAAAGAAATAGATATTCTCAAAAAATTGATGAAAAAATTAAGAAGAAATTTTTTATAATAAAATAATATTAAATTAAACGTGATGAAAAGATTAAATAGTTAGTTTTTGAAACAAAAAGGACTAACCAACTCATTTCTGAAATCTGGAGGGACTAATTTATAATTTACTACTCTTAAATATTTAGATGAAAATTAAACTTGTAGTTGAGAGTACAAGAACACAAAATACCTGCATTCTGTCTGAATTGGTCAATTGCAGAAATCATTGCGTTATAGAGATCAAGAATTACAAATGTGCTTTTGTTTCCATCGTTAGTGTTTAATTTTTCTACTGCTTTCTGCAATAGCTGGTTGTGAGTCTTTGCGTTTGAATTGGATTCTTCATTGCAATTCTGATATAAATTTGGTGGTAGTGTGTTTAAGGGCAAGCATCCGACAGGTTGCAATGTTGCTACTATTATTTTTTTCACTCCGAGACCATGAATCCTTTGTAGGTCAGCAGAAAGTTGGTTTACAAGTCCTTCATTCAAAGCCTGCAATCCCTACCATATAAAAGAAAGAAAATTGCAAAAATATAAGTTAAAATGTTATGTTAGAATATGTCCTTCGACATAAAAAAAACTTTTTTTTTAATTTCGGATAAGAGCTACTCACTTTTGTGGAACCATTTTTCATGGCAAAATAGAATTGATAGTCGTTGAGTCCGGTAGAAACCAGCGCAACTGAATTATCAAGATCACCTTCACTATACTCATTTTCTTTGAGTAGTTGTTTAAATTGATCGATCTGGAATGTCATGGTCTCTTTCTCCCATGTAGGAAAAATACCACTGCCTCCATATGCAAAATTTGTTCCTTGCTAAATTTTGTTTGATGTATTTTTCAATTGATAAGGTGTAGGTGATTCTATTCCAAGAAATGAAGCTGCCAAATATACATATGCCGAAATGAGAAAAAAATTATGTGGGTTAGTATGATTCAATAGGTGAAATATTATAATTGTAATAGGAGAACCAATTCATTGCTAAAACTGAAAAAGAGAGAGAGAAAAATTAGAGAAAAGAAAGAAAAATTTTTATAGAGGTAAGGTTGGGAAACTTTAAATTATGAGCTAGATGTGGAACAAAAAATTATATATTTATCACAAACCTATAATTCCAATAATAATAATAATAATTTTTACTAAATTACACAATCCATAAATTATATAAAGAAAAAAAAGAAAAAGAAAGAAAAATGAGCATAAGAGAAAAGTCTTTAAGCACCTATATGGTCAGTTAGGATACGACCATCAGAGGCTCGACCATTTGGTTTACCAGGAAATGTTTTACCAAAAGGCTCTTTCCATGGACCGCTGATATTTTTTGGCCAATTTCCAGTATCAACATAGGAATCTCCAAAAACAAAAAGTTTTGTAGAGTTTTTGGGACTATTTTGAGCTGAAATACCAAAGAAAAACAATAGATGATTGTTAGTTAGCTAAAAACACTTGTGTGTTATTTCAAAACTCAAAACAAAATGCAGGATAGAAAAAGAAGAAGAAGAAGAAGAACATCTTAAGATAAATTAATCGGTCATCTAACCTGTAGAGATAACAATGATGGAAAAAAGAAGCAGAACAACAAAAGAATTTCCCGTTCCCTTCATTGAAAAAGCAAAAAACAAGAAAAGAAATACCTGCATAAAATTGTAGTTGTGGTAGAATACTTTTGGACAACAATAATTTCTGGTATTTATAGGGTTTACTCCAGCTGCTAGACAATTAGGCAAATGCTAACTTTTCCTTTCATATAGGATTAATGATCTCACCTATGCATGCCAAAAAAACCGATGATGATGACATCCCATCACCAGAAAGTTCTCCAGAGTTTCTGCCATATTTGGAACAATGTGCAAATCGTATTAGCTCGGAGTGTGGAAAAGAAGTGGTCAAATGCACATTTTCCATCCCTGTTTCTTTGATCTCATATCCATGTTGCGAAGAACTTGTTAGAAAAGTGGGAAAAACATGCCTCAATTCCCCCAGTGAAATATACTGCTCAAAAGCCAGAGTTTAAGGCTAAATACAATGTTTACTTGGATAATAGCGAAGTACAATGAGATGACTGTAGTCAATTAATTAGTAATTGGGGGCCCTATTATTAGTAGGCTGTAAAATTGAGCTTTTTTAGTTTTAAAACAAAGTTTCAAGGTTTATCTTTTAATTCTTTCAGCTGAGATTGAATTTGATAATCGATTAAAGATCAAACGTTATGAATAATTTTGATATAATCAATATCTTAGAACAATATATTGGTTAAAGTGCATATAATTTTGAACAAATTATTTTAGTATACTTAAATTAGTTTATAAACAAAATTGAGGACTTGATTTTGTGATTATGAACATTGTAGCTTGGAAACCATGTATTGATCTGAACAACATCTCTGTTGTAAACTAACTATGATTGTAGTGGTGGTTAAAGAAACAATATTTAGTTAAAAAAGTTGATAGAGTAGAGATCACAAATATTGAGGAATCACATTAAGGATACACATGTTTCTATATACAAGGGTTTTCACACATTGATGGATATCACGTTCAAGCTAAAAGATTAGACTAATTGGCAATTAGTCTGTTTTTATGACACCTAAAACTTCTAATTTTCAATTGACGTAGGTCTGTTCATACACATGTAAAATTGAGCAATACGGTGGAGAAATCATGACAATGACAGCCTAATTAATCAACCGTATTCTAGCTCTAATTCTACTCAAGCATATAAGGTGGAGAAATTAATCATGAGAATGACAGCCTAATCAACCTTTGGAAGGCAAAAATAGTAGCTCAATCAATCACGTCATTACTCGTCTCAGTCAAACCATTGGCTCCAATTTCGTCATCACTTGCTGGAAAGATTTGCTTTGTGGAGTTACTTTGGATTCGCACGAGGACCAGTATGAGATTGGTGAACAATACCTTTAATCCAAAAACTCAAATCATTTAGCGTCTATAGATTCATTTTGGTATATAAACATTGCAAGCTTCTCATTTTTAATCCATGCGAAATTCTCCATTGAGATATGGAACTCAATCAGAAATAAATCCATAATTGGAGATTTGAGGGGATCATTTATTTTCTTTTAGAAACGTATACAATAGAGACTAAAACCTAAACATGTTGAGAAGTATCTTTCAAGGATGAAAACAAATATGCATTTCGTTTTAGAGATCAAAATAAAGTTTTGGACAAAAGAGATTAAACGCACAACAACTTATCATTAACTATTAAAAACTATTTAGAGGATAATAATAGTGATTTCCATTAATTGAAAAAATTCAATGCAAACAAAACTGAAAACATAAGTGTTTAAATTAATTAAATCTATCTTTAAGTAACCCTCAACTTTCCCCTTTTATAATACGAGCCTAGTTTCCAAAAACCATCAAAAGAATTATTAGCAAGAAACAAACATATATTCCATGTCTAGGTTTAACTACTTCACATTCCTGATCATTTCGTTCTTGGGAATAGCAAGAATGACCTCGGCTAGGCTTCCTAAACAGCCTGTTGTAGAGAACCCACCACCAGAAAGTTCTCCGAATTTTTTGCAATATATACTTGGATTATTGCGCAGATCGTGTTAGCCGAAGTTGTGGAAAAGATGCGTTGGGATGCATATTTATCAACCCTTCTACTTATATCACAGGATTTTGTTGTTTCGAACTTGTTCTAAAAATGGGAAAAACCTGTCACGATACCTTGGTGAAATATACTGCTCAACAACCAAAGTACGGCGTTAAATACAATGATTACCTGAAATATAGCAAAGAACAATGGCATTACTGTTATGGGTTGATCGCTTCTTCGGCTATATAAATATATAATGGGTATATATATATATATGTTTGCGTGTTAATATATCTTCGAGTATGGATATCTATTTTACGGTACTAATAATAAATGTTTTCATAAATTATCTTCAGCTATTATTAAAAAAAATATTAAATGACCGTATAAAGGAGGTATAGATCAAATACAATGGATATGAATATAATATTTTTCAATAGATATGCAAAGGAATTGAATTAATAGGTGGGATACAAAATCCATTACCATCTCTAATAAGATAGTAAATTCTTAAGAAACAAATAATTATCTAAAAATATTAAACAATAATATTCGTAATAACATAAATTGTTTTCCTAAACCTATATGTGAGTTGTAACTTGTCATAATAACTATTGATCAGTGATAATACCAAATTACATGGTCAAATCATGTTTCAATGTTTTTTTAAAAAGAAAAAGAAAAAGAAAAAGCTCAAGTTCAGGTTGTGCTAAATTATTTATTTTTAAATCAATCATAAGAATTATTATGATACACATTTCCATTTTGTTTGAGTATAACTCACTAATAATCATAATTATTAGACCGATTTCGAATTTAACTCGATCAATACTTCAAGTCAATAGATCATAGGTCAACTCACTAGGTCAATAGGTTGACCTAGTAGATTCATAATGAGAAATTTCATAATATATTAGAGAGTAACTAGTAGCATGTACGATAGTTAATTCACGAGCTCTTTTTGAGGAGAGAAATAGACAAAAGAGAGAGAGAGAGAGAGAGAGAGAGAGAAAATAAAAAAAAATTAAGTATATGTGGAAATCTTCTTATCATTTTTTATAGACATAGATATAATTTTTTTTTTTTATGTCCGTATCTCTCATCAAAGTAGACTTATTGAATAACTATTGTATGTTACTCCCGATATATTATAAAATTTCTCGATTCATAATATGTAAAAAATTTATAACATGTACACAAGCCCGTACATTATAAATGTGTCCATAAACAAAGACAATGGCTTATGGGTTGCCATCATGATTTAAGTTACATAGTATAGGAAAGGTCATTATGGCAATGGTTCCATTCCGATGAAAAATTAGCAAGGCAATAGCTTATGGGTTGCCATCAAAATTTAACTCATCGCAATCTTCCCGCGCACTGCAACCTCTCTCAACAACCCAGTTTTAACGTCAGACTAGATTAGGCACCAGAAAAGGCAATTTGTCCATTTCTTTACCGTTAATGATCAATGTCAAATCAGACAGTGAAGAAATTGGAGTTTATAATCAAACAACTTTCTAGTTCCTATGATTATTACACCTAGGTTGAGGGAGCTCCTTTTCTTCATCTTTTTTTTTTTTTTTTCCAGAGCACAAGTTTTGACAGAAAACTTCAGCTGGGAGAAGGAGAATAATAATGTAATGATGTGTACATTGGGGCCTATTAATGTAAAATTAATCTATCAACAACCAAGTTTTAATGTCGAATAGACTAGGCACTATGAAAGGCAATTTGTCTCTTTCTTGAGAGTTAATGATCATTGTCAAATCAAGAAGCAGACTTGGGTATAAAAAACCATCCCTGGGATGATAATGAAAACACACCAACTTTTTGATATCAAAGTCTTTGATTTCTACTCTTTCCATGGCTTTCGATTCTTCTTCTTCTTCTGTGTCTGTCTTTACAGCATGTCTTTGCTTCTATTTGATGGCGATGGTGATCTTAAGCACCAAATTTTCAACAAAAGGTATTCTCGTATTTTTGAGTTTTTAAGAAATCGGTTGTTATGATTTTCATTTTTTAATGTGATTAGAATGATCGATCAACTGATTATTTCTTCTTTGCTATCTTTTGTTCTTCCTTTACAACTACAGTTTCAGCAGCTACACCATATTGGTATCAAGGCTTCCAAAAACTTATTGTTTTTGTAGATTCATATGTTGACACTGGGAACATGGCACCAGGGACCAGTCTCTGGAAAGAACCATATATATGGCAAGACATATCCTGGTGTACCTGCTGGCAGATTATCTGATGGGCGAGTCTTAACAGATTTTGTGGGTATGATACCTTTCTCCATACATATATTTTCTCATTTATTTATTTTTCCCTTCCCTTTGAACATTTGCACCCTATGTACCTTGGTCTTGGAATTTTTGTTTATGCCTTTCTCGGTCTGTATTTTTCATGAAAGTAATTTTTAGTGTTGGAATTCATGCAGCTTCAGCTATGGGATTGGAATCTTCTATACCTTATAATAGGAGAAATCAATCAAACATAAATTACGGAATCAATTTTGCTTTGGATGGAAGTGGTGTTTTCTCCGCAAATAAGAAAGAAAACCTGTCGGTTCAGATCAAGCATCTGGAGGAGCTTTTAGAAGAAAAAGCATATAGTGCATGGGATATTCAAAACTCTCTTGCGCGCACTAGTTTCAACGGTACTGAATGACTTTGCATATTATGCAATAACAAATGGTACAAAAGAAGCAAGCATCTCTCATATTAAAATTACAACGATTTTCAATGTCTATACGTTTGCATGTATGAATATTAAATTTAACAGTAACAAAATGAAATAGTATTGCATACTTTTCCTAAATGACGAGGTTTGCCACGTTTCACCCAATAGGTCATCAACCAGCTTGGCAATGACCTCCAATCAATTCATGATTTTGGGGTTAAAAAACATAGCTGTGACAAATTTAGGACCTTTAATTAGGGTGCTTGCCTGTTGTCACAAACCCATCTTTTAATAGTTGTAATGAAGAATCCAACGCAACTGCAAAGTTCCACAACCAGCTAACGAGGAAACTTTCTTCTTGTCACAGTTAATCCGAATTACACGAATCCACTTCAGCCATGTTGCTCAAAATTGGATCAGAACTTCAAATGTGATCTGGAATCAGTTTGCGACCTTCCTGAACTGTAATTCATTTTCGATTGGAGTCACCCATCCCAAAATGGGTGGCATGCCGTTTTTTCAGTGCCCATATTGACAGCCTTCTCTTCATGCCAACAATGCAGTAAAACTTGGAATGCGGCCTCCAAATTCCACAGCCAGAAATTGCAGCAAGCAATACAAAGGATGAACAATGAGAGCAGAAAACAGATTTATGAAACTCTGGATTTCTATACTGCGTTCATGTCCAATTAAATTGAATAATGGAGGAAACTTGAAGTCGAGGAGTTTTCTTATGTGACAAGCTACTACTCATGTGGGATCATCGACAAGAATGGGGCAAAGAAGTATGTGATACGTGATCAGCCAGAGTCGTCTATTTTCTGGGATATGGTCCATCCTGCGCAGAATGGCTGGCATCAAGTTTTTTTGGTTTCTGAATTCTTTTTCTCTATTAGGAACGTTCAGAGGCACAAAATTATACTCAGAAGAAGAAACTTAGCAGCTTGTTGATTACCTTCTTTTGTTTTTTTTTAAATAAAAAAATGAACTATGGCGTCGCCCGGACTCGAACCGGAGACCTTCAGTGTGTTAGACTGACGTGATAACCAACTACACCACGACACCTTTGTGCGTTCCTCATATTTTAGAGCAATAAATTGACACCTTTGTGCGTTCCTCATATTTTAGAGCAATAAATTGCTAAATAGCTCCCTGAACTAAAAATTCTCTGATTTTACTCTTAAACTCTACGATTTTTTGAAAATGTCTCTTTTGTTAGGGTTTGTTGAGAAATTGATAGAAAAAAACCATAAAAATTATCTCAATTTCTATTATGTCACTTATTCACTAACATTGCCTCAAGGATTCGTGTTCTTTTCTCTGAGAATGAATGAATTTGTTATATATATATATATATATATAAAAAATGTCAAATAAGCATGTTGAGCTTGCAAGCATCATAGATGTTATATATATTATATTTATATAGTTACACGACTTCCAACCGAATAAGCATAGATGTTTTTTATTCCCATCAACTCATAGATGCTACTATTTGTTTAATTTCAACAACAGAAAGAAAAATATATATGGCACCTATTCTTTGGCTTTATGTTCATAATTGTACTCTCAATATATATATATATATATATATATATACTTTATTAGCTTTCAACAGACAGTAGGGGGAAAATCCTGCACTCACTAAGACGTAAAACTTTGTGACTAGATAGTCCTGAAGACGGATGCGACGGGAAGAAGTGGCATTATATATATACTTTTTTAGCTTTCAACATTGCCACCTCTAGCATGCTTGCCCATAAACACACTACCACCAGATTCATATCAAAATTGCAACGAAGAATCCAACACAAATGCAAAGACTCACATCCAACTATTGCAGAAAGCAGTAGAAAAATTAAACACTGATGATGGAAACAAAGGCACATTTGTAATTCTTGATCTCTACAACGCAATGATTTCTGCAATTGACCAATTCAGACAAAACACGGGTATTTTGTGTTCATGTATTTTCAACCACAAGTTTAATTTCCATCTATATTTAGAAGACTGTCTCCTTTATTGGACCCGATCGAGTCTTGAAATAACATTATGATGGTTGAGAAATGTTCTTACTTTTTAATTAGTTGTTTTTTCCATAACCATAATATGCTACACTGCTAATTAAGTATTATTTGTAAACTAAGTTTAAAATTCAATTTTTGTGATCAATATTTTTAATAATTTATTTTCAGAATATCCAATATTGTATATTAAAGAGTGTTTCTTAATCATGACTAAAGATGGATTAATTTCGATATGTATTAAAACCGACTAAAAAATTCTTATACTACTAAAAAAAAGAAAATGTTATTTTTATTGATTCTATCTGGTTGAGTAGATAACCAACTATATAATTAAATTATATGATGAATAAATCATTTCGTTGAAAAGTGGATTAGGGCGACTCGAAGTGAAATGTTATTTAGTGATTGCCTTTTTTTTTTCATGGATAATTTTTTGACCAGTTTTGTACATATGTACCGGTAAATTAAAATTTACTACGTTGTAAGAAATGGTGAACTCCATCTAAAAAAAAAAATCTGTAAGTCCAAGCTCTCCAATTTCGAAAGACAAATAAGAAAATTTCCATTCTATTTATAAGAAAAAAAGTAGTCTTTCTTATGAATATACAAACAAAAATTGTCTCCCTATTAACTGAACTGTGATCATATTAATCATAAATTGATAGATTGGGAATGACAAAATTTCATCATTTTAACTTAACAGTGGAAAACTCTATAAATTATGTGGAACCAGGCCTGTAATAATCACAAGAACTGGTCTTCTACCCTTGGATTTTTTACAATCAGCACGACTGATTAATTTTTTGATCTTACCTCATGGAGTTGAGAGTTTTGGGTTTTTTCCATGCCATCCATTAATTTATGGGTGCTTTATTTCTTATGCTCTTGGCATTTTGCTTACCAAAACCTATGAATCCAAAGGGGCTGCTTAGTGTTTATTATTATTTTGCAATTTGTTGCTTGTAGCTAAGGTTCTCTACTAAAAACTATCAGTAGATAGAAAAAAACTTGGATGTCTAGGCATTACGTTCTCTTGTCACAATTGTCATTATGCTCATTAAAACGAGTATAAATATTTATGCCGCCTTGACAAAAAAAATCAGAGTAAGAAAATTATTTGATGACAACTTGGCTTTTGACAGTACATAGTAACTTACCAAATCTTCTTAAAAAAAAAAATTTTAATCATAATATTTTAGAGTTTGAAATTTTTAAAAATGGTTACGAAGAGACATGGTATAGAGAAAAGGAGTTGCTTTCGTTTAGAAAACATAAAATTTCAATTCTCGTTATATACCAATAAGTAGTAATAATTATCTCTTAATATTATAAGACTTAGATTAGTTTGGTCTAAGAAATAGTTCAGTGATCGATCAAAAGTTAAACTTAATTTAACATTGGCTTAACTAGAAAATTGGTAGACTTCGTTTCCGTTGATATGAATAACTAACTATAATTATCTCTTAGTGATACTAGGTTCGGTTAGTTTGGCCTAAAAGGCTAATATGTTTTAATAGTGGCTTAACTCAAAAAGTAATAAACTTAATTTCGATTGATGTAAAAGCTAATTTGACAACATACGACTACACATAAATATCAAAAAAGAAAAGAAGAAAAGAAAAGAAAAGAAAACGAAACTCTTAAGAATATGCAGACATCAAAATTGAACCATGCAATAGACGTTATCTTACATGGTTTTTACTGAAACAAATCTTAATTAATGACCTTAATCATCCTCTATAAATCGAATAGTTCCCATATTCTCCTACATCTTCTATCTTAATTCTCTCAATTATAGCGTCTTGTGTTAAATTACACCAGCAAAATTCTAGACAATTTGTGTGAGTAAAAACTTAGTGTTGCACCAGAGAAAACACAAAGAAATGGCAGTGAAAGCAACATCAGCTTTCTTTTTTATGTTGTTTTTCTTGAACACAGCATGCCAAGCAAAACTGTCCAGTCTCCTCTACATTTTACGACAAGTCTTGTCCTAATGGACAAAGGATTATCAGAACTGCCATCGGAACTGCAATTGCGAGAGAACAGAGAATGGCAGTGTCTCTCATTCGTCTACACTTTCATGATTGCTTTGCGCAGGTACTCTTGCAACTATATCCACAAACCAGCAATTATTCTACTCTAGTCATCAACTCTGAGCTATCACATATTGTTCATGAACTATTCCTTGGTTTTGCAGGGTTGTGATGCCTCAATCTTACTGGACGAGACTTCTGCTATCCAGAGTGAAAAGACTGCACTAGGCAATACTAACTCTGCTAGAGGTTATAATGTTATAGATAAAGCAAAATCTGAAGTAGAGAAGATATGTCCTGGAGTAGTATCTCGTGCAGACATCATTGTGGTTGCGGTAAGAGATTCATCTGCTTACGTGAGTATTTGTATAATTAATCTATGTCTTTATTTTTGTTAGTATTTCAAGTTACAAAATTAAGATTTCTAATTTATGGTTGCTCCAAAATAATGTCACAGGTGGGTGGTCCATCTTGGGCAGTGAAGCTGGAAGAAGAGATTCAAAAACTGCAAGTCGAACTTTAGCCAGCACAGAACTACCTGCTTTCTTTGAAAGCCTGGACAGTCTCTTATTTCTCGCTTCCAAAAGAAAGGCCTTAGTGCAAGGGACATGGATGTTTTGTCAGGTTGGAACGTATAACCATCAAAAGAAGTCTTTAACGTGACCACCTTAATTTATCTGTAATGTTCCTGATGCTAAAAATATTCATTTTTCAATGCAGGTTCGCATACTCTAGGATAAGCTCAATGCATGCTTTACATTCCGTGACAGGATATACAATGTGACAGCAATATTCGCTAACACTCGCAAGAGGAGTTGTCCACGTGTTGGTGGTCAAGCAAATTTGGCTGCACTTGATTTGGTCACACCCAATTCTTTTGACAACAATTACTTCACGAATTTGATGCGCAAGAAGGGTCTCCTTCACTCAGATCAAGTACTTTTCAATGGAGGCTCCACAGACAGCATTGTCTCAGAATACAGCAGAAATCGTGCAACATTCAGTTCTGATTTTGCATCTGCCATGATCAAAATGGGAAATATTCATCCTCTAACTGGATCAACTGGGCAGATAAGGAGGATTTGTAGTGCTGTCAACTAGTTTTTTCCCTAGATTTTTTTTTCTTTTGCAAAGGGTGCAGACTCCCCCAACCAGTTTGGGATAGAGGCCTGGTTGCTGCTGTTTTTGTCAAGTGTGCATATGCATAAGTGTCATTTGTCTTTTCAAATTGTCAATTCTTTTATGTTGCGAAGAATAAATTAATAATCAAGAAAAGTTTGTTCATTTCCCATCTGATCTCATCTGTGCTGCATTTCCTTAGTTTGAGTTAAGGGATGTGGTCATACAAATAATGGCAGGAACAAAAAAAGGGAGAAAAAAAGGGGAAAAAAACCAATGAACGCAAGATTCAACCTTAAGTGCATAACTCTGCAAAGCTTCAGGAAAAAGGAATAATGCTTTTGGTGAGCAAAACCATGGCTCGAATTGGGACTACACCCGTAACTTCTACAATAAAGAGTAATCACTAATCACACAAGTACATAAAAGGCAAACTCTAGCTGATTGTTCGAGAATTTTGGCTGATACAGTACATGCCTTACACTGCAAAACAAATTAATATGTTCAGCACCAACGCTTCATTTTCCTCTTGAAGATACCCGGTCCATATGTGGATATGAAAATCTCAACAAGGAGAGGAAACTGCAGCAATATAAAAAGGGTAACAGGGATTCCAGCAAGTAAACAAATAGGAATCACAACTTTCAATTTTCCATCCAGCACAATTATCAGAGCAGCACAAAAAGCAACCATCATGGTTGCAATGGAGATGAAAAGTGTGGAAAGGCCGATAACCATTTTTCTGGGCAACGATTTAAGGAAATCTTTCTCTGAATAGCGTGAAGTGAGAATTCCTAGAAACATCAGCACTGATGTAGAAGAAGCAAAGAGAGAAATTGCATCGGATATTATAAAAGTCATAAACGACTTCTCATATAAAAACACTGGAAAGCCGGTATCCTTGTTACCGCCAGGAACGGTAAATGCTGCAGTGAACATGACTGTAATGATCAGGGCACCTACAACCGTTGATGAAGTTGCTGTATCCTTCATCCATTTCTCCCCTTCTGTCATCAAGTTTTGATGGCTGTTGGTAAACAATTGGCCAGGTGTTTCACCATTTTGATTGCAATATATTATGGCCATAGGATTCACAATGCTTTCCACTTCCTGAATTAAATCAACGAGAGAAATAATTTCCTACTCATGGACAAAAGAAAGACTAAATATTTTTTCATGCATAATGACAATAAGTCCTATCTTGGTTAGATTAGCTTCACTCAGTCAATGCTTGAAAAAATTACCTGGTACCATTGCAGTTCTCTCTGCATTTGAAGAGCTGCACCTGAGATACGAGACAATTGAATAGAAGGTGATAACGCTCCTGCACAGTGTAACATAGTATTTCCGAATCTATCTATATTAGAGATGAGTCTTCCATTGCCTCCTTCAAGCCCATAAAAAAGGCTAAAAAGCCCTTCTTGTCTATTTGCAATTGCAGACATAAAGATATTTCTGCCATTCTCATCGAGAGTGTACATTAGATTGGGATTAACCTTAACCATCTTGACAATAAGCTCGACAATACCATTCTCGACGGCTCTGTTAAATGCTCTAAATAACCCACATTCAACGTATTTTTCGACATCTAATGTTGATATATGTTCACACATATGACGTAGAAGTTCAGCAGAGTAGACATGATTCAGCTTCACATCATATATTTGTTTGATGCCTGAGTGAGTAAAGTGTAATCAAATTAGTAACATGATGATACTAGTGATGATAAGAACAAAATCATCTGGTTATCCAAATAGTCAAATAAATAATACCTAAGAATTTAAGGAGGTTCATAACTAGCTTCCGCGGTCTACTCCAAGCTGCAAAACAAAAATTAATCTTGCATTTAGATAGCATCCATAGAAAACGAAACAAAAATTAGTCTTGCATCAGATAATGATAAAGAGATTGAAGTAATTGTACCTTGTAGCATAATGATCTTTGCCTCACTCTGGCTTTGATCAAGATTACTATGCATATGATCAGTGCAGGGAATGATTGGTCCTATGTGTATACCTTTTCGTAAAAAAGACTTCATGATTAGTTAACTTATTAGATAATTATCAAAAAATCATGAAAATTTTACTCTCTATCATGATTCCACAAACTACTGATTCCTGAATTTTCAATCGTGCACGTGTGGAGGACGACCCCATGAGGATGAAAATCTGAGAAAGTGATACTAACAAGAATGGATCCACCGTTGCCAAAATGCAAGTCGACTTCTGCTACGGAATCCATCAGGCATGTTAGTGAATTGAATTACAGCATTACAGTTCCAAATCTTATCCAGCGTGGTAGCCAAACTAGGAAAATGGTGAAGCAGATCCAAAGCAATATCTGGTAATTTAGCATTTAAAAGCAACAAACAAGCATAAATAAGTATGTTGTTAATTTCAATGTGCTTGCAAGAGTATGGCTCTTACCAAACATTTTGCATATTATAGAAAATTGGAGGAGCAACGATCCATGGTTGCCATCGTCCTGACATAGCAGTTCAAATGGAGCGACAGAGTAAAGATAACGGGTCATATCCTTATGGTTTCCAATACAAGACACCACAACTGGGATAAGTCCTGCTCCATTCGGAAGGTTAGCCAAATTTTTGTTCTTTCTGATCATGCATTTGGCCATCTTTGTGATTCCTTCCCTAGCAGCATAAGAAAGGGCTGTGCATCCACCATTTTCTTCTATTTCCAAGTCTTCTGGTGACATTAACTCTACTAGCTTTTCTACAACTTCCGCATTTCCAGCGATAGTAGCTACATGAAGAGCTGTTACTCCAAAATGTGAGATTTTTGCATTTATTGCATCTGGATGCTGGTCAAGAAATCTTTTCGTCTCATCCCAATTCCCTTCATGTGCATACCTAAATAGTTCCAGCCATCGACTATATTCGTTCTGAACGAGTCCTGCCAAAGTCCTGCTTTTCTGTTAAGAGGAAACCACATTATATTGCAAGCTGTGCTTGCATCTTAGAGAGGAAGAGGATATGGTGGCCGTCTTACCTGCATTCACTGTTGATAATTCTGGCTCAACTGTTGATAGTTGCAACTTTTGCATATTTGCCAAAGTATCCCAAGCTTTTCTTGCTGAATCAATGTTCCTAATCTTGGAAAGTATATCTGGCGCACATGAAATTTGAATTGCATGTAAAGCAGCTGCATTCCTTTTACACCAACCCTCGGAGTCAGTTTGAGGCCTTTCTTCATCATCAAGAGCCTTGGAGTCAGCTTTAGCAACTTCTTGATCAACAGGAACCTTCTTACAGAGAGTTTGAGCACCTTCTTGATTATCAGGAGCCTTAGAACCGACTTCAGCAGCTTCTTGATTATCAGGAACTCTCTGCAAGTCGGCTTTAGCAGTTTCCTCACCATCAGGAGCTTCGGAGTCTACTTGATCAAGAGCATTAGGGTCATCACCTTCTTGATTATCGGCAGCCTTGGAATCTGCATTAGCAACTTCTTGATTTTCAGGTTTTTCAGTGTCTGCTTCGGCATCCTTTTCGATAGGAGTTCTGATAGTTGGTTCAACAATATCCCATAGACCTTGAGCTAACATGTAACTTTTCATGCAGCATCTCCAATTCTCATAGTTATCATCTCTGAGAACTTCAACAACAATTGCACTTGGGAATATATGTGTTGCCATGTTTGAAAAGCTGTAAATATCAGGTGAATTCAATGCTACAGAGAATTATAGCATATCAAGAACTATACCAGTACTTGAATGAATTGTCCCTAAAGATAGATGTAATTTCAAGCTGTAGACCCCTTTTTTTGTTTTCCTTTTTTTTTTCTCCTACTTTTAGAAAGAAGAAACATAAAGGAGTTAAGGTCCCTTTTGTCATCATCTCCTTTTCTTGATGAGAATTTTTTGTTTTATGGTATGAATTTTTTTTAATCAATTTATATGTTTATCGTAATTAACCTTTAGTGACATCTAATAAAAAAATTTAGATACTGACGTCAATAATTGAATAAAAAAATAATTAAAAAAAAAGCAAACTTTTTTAACCATCGCAATTTTTTTTATAGATTTTTCTTAAAATGAGCAAAAAATTTCCACAAGCGTATGTGATTTACACACCCCATTAGGATCATTTTGTGATATTATTAGCAAAACGAGAACTAGCTAGTTTAATTTTGTAGATAAGACTTAAATTTGTTTTTTCCTTATATATATATCACAAAATTTTTTTAGACATATGATGATGGAGACAACGTGTGGTCCAACAAGATTTTCAATTTTATTTAAAGAAAGCCATACGGATAGAAAATGAGAAAAATGGAAAAGATTAAGGTCTTGTTGTGCTTTTTTGGGATGGCATGGAACACGAACCTGGCCTACCATATTGCCCTTTTTTTGTATGGCATGGAACACGACCTCATGGTAAGTTGAATTGGATCTCAAATCTATTATTTTATTCATTTTATCTCAAATGTTTCAAACAATTCCCATTCAAGTCCTTTTTTTTAATGTTCATTAACTTTTTTCATCAATTTTCTTTAAAATACGTACCAATCGATGAGAAATATTTACACAAAAATAATAAAGGACAAATATAGAGGTTTTTTTTTTAATATTTGCAGTCAGTTTTAAAATATGTTTAGTTTTTATTAGATCATTAGGCTGTTCCTTAATCCAAGTCAACCTCAACATAATATCATTAAAAAATAATTATAATTAATTATTCGTGTAATCTGATTTGAAATATTTAAAACCTAATTTGATTAACTCAATTTTACATGTCTTGATTAGTTTTTTTGTCTCAAGTTATCACCTAATTTTGTTTTTTATCAATCAATCTTTGCACCAACAAATTTTTTGTCTCAAGTTATAGGTGTTTTTTCTTTTTTATTTCTTATTTCTCTAGTTAATCTATTTTTTCTCTTCCATCAACAAAAAATCAAAGAAAAGACGATTTGAGAATAAAAATTACTAATCTAATAAAAAATTGATAAAAAATTAAGTTATTTACGAAATTAAAATATAAAACACTAAATAATTAGTTTTTTTTTAATGAATTAATTTATTTTTTAAACGAGACAAATGCACAGGCCTCTACTTTTTACCAATTTACCAAAAACCCCACCTTTTTATAGAATTGTACTGAAGTACTAGATGTTTCATCTCATCACAAATCCATGATGCATGATTCTCAAGAAAATCATTTCTTTGCATAAGAACGAAATCAGTGTCTTTTTATTTCTTAAGATAATTATGTTATCCGCAACAAGATCTAAAAAACAATCTGAAAGAATAACATTCATGTACTGAATGGAAAGAAGAAAAATTTCAAGAAAACATTAAGGAACACAGAGAAGTACAACAGCAAGTGAAAATCCAAAGATATTCAAAATTTTCTTTTATGACTGCTTAAATGCCTCAAAGAATGATCAATTTGGAAACAAAAATAAAGAAAAGAACTTACGTGGGCTTTTAGCAGCGTTTTTCCTCTAGTTGGAACGCTGTAAGTTGAAGCTCAGTTCTATCTAAGGAGTGATAGAAGCAGAACAAGTTTTCATTTGCTGGTAATAGTTATAGGAAAAGAAGCATTAAAGGTATGGCCAGTTGATTAGACATTAGCCGGTTGTGTTGTGCCAGGTGTAATATATCCGTTGAGTTATTAATGATTGAAATCGTACATCAAACATATACGGTCATATTTGAATACGAGTATTTGTGCGTATAGTACAATAAAAAATGCATAATTATAGAAGTTAATTATCATATACTGAGTAAAGTACCTTGAATCTGCTGACTTGGTAGATTTGGCAGCAGCTAGCATCCCAATTTCTGACTTGAGTTTGTTTGACTTTGACATTTTTGGAGATGATTTTTTTACTTACCTTGTTTCCTAGTTTTGCAAAGTGATGATACTTCAGATCATAGATTGCCTATGTTTCATTTCCTAAGTCGCCTCTTTTCCATTTTCTGATTTAGGGCTTCAAAACTGCAGCATTCCATTACAGTTCCATATGTGCATTTCAATACTGCGAGTCATGAAGCATTCCCTTCTTTTTAAGAAACAACATTTTTTTTTTTGTAAGTAAATCAAGTTAAGGAAATCAAATAGAAGGCCCAAAATGAGAAATCAAAAGTTTTTGGAGGGCCAAATTGATACTTAATCTAACAATTGAGAGCATTTTGAAGTTTGGCATAAAAAAAACCACACACATATATGCTTCATCCAAAAAATAAATATTTAATCGAATAAATTATAAATCAGTCCCTCTAATTTTGAGAAATAAGTTAATTAATCTTATTTCAAAGATAATTATTTAATCTTTATATTTTTGAATTTTCTCATTACTTAATATTTTTTGTTCTTTGTTAATTTAATTTATTTTTTATTTTAAGAAATAAAAAAATAAAAAAGAACTAATCAACTAGTTTCTTAAAAATAGAGGGACTAATTTATAATTTACTCAATATTTAATCGAAATTCAAGAAAAATAAAAATAAACGCCAGCCTGGCTAACTCTTTCTAACGCTATAAAGTAACCGCCATGGAAAAACCGCGTCCGCACCAGGTAATTATTTAATAACCGAAAACTAATCCTTACCGTATATTTCCAACCTACCAGTTCATCCTAATCGTCCATCTATGACTCTGTACCTATAAATAGACCTCGCCCCCTTCGTAATCGCACATGCTTCTCTTTTCGTAGCGGCGCTCTCTCTCTCTCTCTCTCTCTCTCTCTCTCTCTATCCCTTCGTACTTTACTTCTCGATGTTTCTATTAGGGTTTGTTTAATTGCAGTTTGATACAAATTTTCGCATCTAATTGCTAGGGTTTGTTTCGGTCGTTGCAAGACGGTTCCTCTCGATACTTGATGCGATCTTGTTGCCGAGTCTCTGTTGAATCGAACATGATTCGGTATCTTAATCGGTTGAAATTAGCCCTGGTTTTTCAATCTAAACCTAATTGGATCCCATGGTTTATGACTACTGTTTTTTACAGGAAGATTGTGGTTTGGGCTTGAAATTGCAAGACAATCCCTATCGATATTTGATGCGATCTTGTTGCCGAGTCTCGGGTTGAGTCGAATTGGTTTACGTATCCTAATTGGTTGAAATTAGCCCTAATTGTTCAATCTAAACCTAATTGGATTCCATAGTTTATTATCTTACTGTTTTTACAGGAAGACTGTGGTTTCTTGCTTGAAATTACCGGACAGTCCCTCTCGATGTTTGATGCCATCTTGTTGCCGAGTCTCGGGTTGAATCGAATTGGCTTCGGTATCGTAACTGGTTGAAATTAGCCCTAATGTTTCAGTCTAAACCTAATAGGATCCCATGGTCTGTGATCGTACTGTTTTACAGGAAGATTGTGAGTGTTTCGGCTTGAAATTTCTGCGAATCTTGAAATTTGGTAGGTGCTCGCGAATCTTGGAATTTCTTATAGAAATTATAATTTTGATTGGTTCAGAAAGTAGGCTTAACTTTTTATTCGATCTTGTTGATGCGATTAATTGAAATTTTCGGTATCCGTATATTAAACGGATCGAATGACCCCATGGAATTGTCTCTCTCGGTATTTTAAACGGGTTGAATAGCCCCCATGGAATTGTTGGTTTCAGAATTTGAAACTGATGGAATAGCCCCAATTTTTAAATATAAAACCTAGTTGGATTTCCCTGTTAACTGGTGAGTGTGGAACTTTACAAAAGAACTAGTCTGTTGTTTCTCCAGACTTCCCTGGTTCTTAATATTGAAATTTGGTCTATTTTCCAGGTCCCTTTAGCGACTTAACTAGTGCGTTACTTTGATTTTGCAAAATCCCGGAAAACAATACTAAAGAGATGCTTTTGTAGCCAGCGATGCACAATTTTAATTTGAAGGGAACGGTTGATTACAGAAAATAAAAGTCAAGCCTACTCTATGCAAATGTTGCATAGGTTCCCCACCTCAGATACAAATTAAGGAGGGAACTTTTCGTATCATTCTGGACTCATGATATTCGGATACATGAGGGGATGAGAGAGAATTTGAGGTTTGATTGCATCTTTCTCCATTCTTTTTAGTGTTTTGCAGAATGCAAGTTTAATCAGGGGTGTTTAATGCAATTATACTTATGTTCGTTAGCACTATCAAATTTGAACACTTCAATTTGATATATTGTTGTGTTCCAGGATACCGTCGGTCAGTTAAGTATAATATGAGCCCGGACCAATCAGGGAGTGTTTTCTACATTCTCTACTGTTTTGCTTCATAAATTCTGTGAATTTGCGTCTGTAGTTAAGAGTTGTGAAGTCATTATGTCCTGATTTTCTGCTCCTACTACTCCTGTGGCTACTGTTACTCCAGGCTTTTGCTGGACAAGGGGGCATTTCCAACTCATTGTATGCTTGGATAGATGATGGGATTTTTTCTGCAAGAGAATTGCTATCTCATTTGGTGTCTTCTTTTCTCTTCCATTTGGTTGTCTTTCTCTGTGGTTATGAGTGCTGTGAAATGAGGAAAAATGCATGCGTAATTTGTAGATTATTCAGCAGTATTTTTGTCTTCTTTTCCTATACTAGCAATGGAACAGAATTTTGAGTTTGTGTTTGACTGGAAAGCAGGTGAATATAGAGGTCTGAGATCTAATGGGTCACAAATTTGGTCGTTGTATTTTGTCTCCTTGCTGGCATGTCTGTTAACTGAATCGATGGAAAGGAGAAGGGCTGTTGTTTAGGCTCTGATTTGGGTTTCTCTTTGTTACCAAGCATTCCTATGGTTTTCTTTGATTCTTTTCCACTGTGTGCAAGGTGTGGGCATTTCTCAATTTGTTGGGCTGATTGCTTAATTCTCTCTTTTATGGGAAGATCTGGCACCATCGTGAAGGTTTGTAAAGTTTTAATCCGCTTCTGCTGTTGTGTATTTTTTATTCTGGATCTATTTGAGACAAAGCGGAGTCATCCGCAATTCGCAAGGAATTTAACTAACCCCTGGTTTCATACTATTTCCCAAGCTATATTACTTGTTTCACACTGAAGGTTTGGCTAATTTGAGAAAGGTTGTAACTAGTGACCGCCTTTTCAAGTAAGGTTTGATTAACAGAGTTTTCCTTGACTTGCCAAGCTGTTGTATTTTCAAGTTCAATGATACTAAAAAATGTCCACTTTTATTTTTGGCTCTCACAAATATATGCCTCTTCATTTCATTTCCTACTTGCAGGAAAAAGAGTTGTGGGGTAGTTTATTGTTTGCTTCTTTATAAGTGATTTACCCTCGTCTCCCATTAACATCTTCTCAACCTATCAAATGTAAGGGGTCCGAGCTTTGATGAAGGGATTCATCGGCTTTCTTCTGGGAGTAGGGGATATTTCCTCAATCTGTTGCTGCCACAATGCGAGTACTTCCAACATTCCACTTCTATTTCCCTGCATATGTGTTAACTTTCAAGGATATTTTTATTATATGCCATTCCACCTTGTTGCAGAGGTTTCCACGGAATGTAAACAACTTGATGATTTCTACTCCTTGCTTTTGGTATATATGCTGCTGTTGGGGATTCGGTAAAATGCGTGCATAATTTGTAGTTCATTTCACAATATATCTGCCCTCTCTTTCTACACTACCAATGGAACAGATTTTGAGTTTGAGTTTGTGTTTCAGCTGGAAAACTACTGAATATAGAGGTTGACCATATAATGGATTACGTATTTGGTATGTATATTTTCATCCCCTTCTGGTTAGGTCTATTAACTGAATCGATGGGCAAAGAGCAGAGCTGCTGTTTAGTCTATTTGATCTGGATTTCTCCTTCTTCCCAAGTTATGGATTCATATTGTTTTCTTTTGATTGGTTTCTTCCATTGTGTGCAAGATAGGGACATTTCTCAGTTATTTGGGCTGATTGCTTCATTATCTCCTATGGGGGAAGATATAGCACATTTGTGAAGGTTGGTGACATTTTATTCTGCCTCTGCTGTATTGTATTTTTATTCTGGATCTTTCTGAGTTGATGTGGAGTCCACTAGAAGGAATTTAAGAAGCCTCTGATTTCCTACTATTTTCGGGATGCTATAATTAAGATCTGCTATAAATTGTTTCAAAGCCTCGTCTGAGGGAGCACCTAAAGCTTTGGCTGATGTGGTAAAGCTTGTAACTGGTGACTGCCGCCTTCAATTAAAGGTTTGGTTGTTTAACAGTCTTCCTTCACTTGTCACACAGTTTTATTTTCAGGGTCAATGATATTAACATTGTCAACTTCTATTTTTGGTTCTCACAACCATTACTGTCTCTTCGTGTTTGTTTCCTTCTGGCAGTGAAAACAGTTGTGGGATTGTTTATTGTTCACTTCTTTATATGTGATTTTCCCTTCTCTCACATGGACATCTTCTCAACCTGTTAAACATAAGTGAATCCAAGCTTTGATCAAGGAATTCATATGCTTTCTTCAGTTGTTTGAGTACTTCAATATACTACTGTTGTACTTTCAAGGATATTTTTAGTATGTCATCCCACCTAGTTGCAGAGCTGTCCAAGGAATGTGAACAACTCAAGGACTTCCTCTTTTGCTATGTTGATGTTAGGGATGTGGCTTTGTTGCTGACTTTGAAAACTTGCGGTAGGTTTGACCTGTTTCTCCGGAAGCTTTGTTTTTCGCATTCTGCATAATTAGTTCTCGTTAATGTGCCCCGTCGATGATAGGAAATGCTTGCAAGCAGGGTGTTTTTTTCCCCTCCATATGTTCTGTCTGATAGTAGTTGATGATATGGAGTTGGAATGATTTTACATTTTTTCTTGTTTTCTTCATTCATATTATCAACTTGTAAGTTCCGATTGTATGTTCTCCGGGTTCCTTCAGTCACTTAGGAGATGAATGCAGTAGGAGATGTATGCAGGGAGTGTTATACAAATTCTCCTTTCTTCCTTCATAAAATCTGCCACTTTGTGTTTGGTTAAGAGTTGATATTTGGTCATGATATCCTTTTGCTCTGTCCCATTTATCGTTTTAAGTGTTAATATTTACCTGCTGTTGGCAACTTCCTAGACCCACTGTTTTCTGATAGATGTGTGGCTGGCAAGAGGTTTGTCTTGATGGTTAATATTTTCTATCATGTGAGAGATTTGTTCTAAATCTTTACTGGGGAGACTTCACTTTTTGAGCCAATCTATTGTATTAATTGGATAAGTTAGATATCAACTTGTCTTGCATATGCAAAATTTTTAATTTGAGCTTGCCATTTTGCGTTCTCCAATTCCTTTTAATGACTAAAACAGATGGGCTAAGGTTGATCGGTGCTTTATCTGTGATCTTCCTTTTCCCCCTTGGAGATATTCAGGTTTGAACATGTAAATTTCCAGGCCTCTTGCTTTTGCAATCTGATTTATTTGGCTATTGATATTGATATTGCTTGCTTGTTTTCTGAAAATATTTTTTTTCGTGCATGACAGAGCATTTTTTATAACAGTATTATTTATTAGGACTTAAGTGTTTTCTCTCAACCATGGAAATATGGTTCAAATTTTTCATGGAAATCTTTCATTGCAGAAACATAAAGTGAAGATACTCAAGTTGACATTACAAAAAAACTAGCTAAAGTTAGATTTTACTTTGCGTTTTTTAATGGGTGCCCACTTTTTTTCTAGAATCCCTTCAGTGACTTAAGATCATACATTGTATTTGATCTCTCACTAATCTGTAGGCTGAAGAATTTTTCTTGCACAAGTTTCCAATATTCTAGGTCTCTTCTTTCACTTATTCTGATTCAGGGACTTACTAAACAATTCTGCAGCATTGGTTTCTAACCTTGGTGAAGGACTTTTTGCATCAGTTAGATATGCTGCTGTACATTTATCATCATATAGGCGTTCCAATATCCAAGGCTGTAAGTTATGGAGCTATACTTTTTTCTTAAATCAATACTTTAACTAGTAAGTTGAGGTTTGATTGCATGTTTCTCCATTTTTTTTAGTGTTTTGCCGAATGCAAGTTTAGTTAGGGGTGTTTAATGCAATTATACATATGTTCATTAGCACTATCAAATTTGAACTTTTGAATTTGATATATTGTTGTGTTCCAGGGTACCCTCGGTCAGTTAAGTAATATATGAGCCAGGACTGATCAGGGAGTGTTTTCTACATTCTCTACTGTTTGGCCTCATAAATTCTGTGAATTTGTGTCTGTAGTTAAGAGTTGTAAAGTCATTATATCCTGATTTTCTGCTCCTTCTACTCCCATGGCTACTCTTACTGTAGGCTTTTGCTGGACAAGGGGGCATTCCCAACTCGTTGTATGTTGTGATAGATGATGGGATTTTTTCTGCAAGAGAATTGCTCTCTCATTTGGTGTCTTCTTTTCTCTTCCATTTGGTTTTCTTTCTCTGTGGTTATGAGTGCTGTGAAATGAGGAAAAACGCATGCGTAATTGGTAGATTATTCAGCAGTATTTTTGTCTTCTTTTCCTATACTAGCAATGGAACAGAGTTTTGAGTTTGTGTTTGACTGGAAAGCAGGTGAATATATAGGTCTGAGATCTAATGGACTACAAATTTGGTCGTTGTATTTTGTCTCCTTTCTGGCATGTCTGTTAACTGAATCGATGGAAAGGAGAAGGGCTGTTGTTTAGGCTATCTGATTTGGGTTTCTCTTTGTTACCAAGCATACTTATGGTTTTCTTTGATTGTTTTCTGCTATGTGCAAGGTGTGGGTATTTCTTGATTTGTTGGGCTGATTGCTTAATTCTCTCTTTTATGGGAAGATCTGGCACCATCGTGAAGGTTTGTGAAGTTTTATTCCGCTTCTGCTGTTGTGTATTTTTATTCTGGATCTATTTGAGACAAAGCGGAGTCATCCGCAATCCGCAAGGAATTTAACTAACCCCTGGTTTCATACTATTTCCCAAGCTATATTACTTGTTTCACACTGAAGGTTTGGCTAATTTGAGAAAGGTTGTAACTGGTGACTCCCTTTTCAAGTATGGTTTGATTAACAGAGTTTTCCTTGACTTGCCAAGCGGTTGTATTTTCAAGTTCAATGGTACTAAAAAATGTCCGCTATTATTTTCGGCTCTCACAAACATATGCCTCTTCATTTCATTTCCTACCTGCAGCAAAAAGAGTTGGGTAGTTTATTGTTCGCTTCTTTATATGTGATTTACCCTCCTCTCCCATTAACATCTTCTCAACCCATCAAATGTAAGGGGTCCAAGTTTTGATGAAGGGATTCATAGGCTTTCTTCTGGGAGTAGGGGATATTTTCTTAAATCTGTTGCTGCCACAATGTGAGTACTTCCAACATTCTATTTCTATTTCCCTGCGTATGTGTTAGCTTTCAAGGATATTTTTATTATATGCCATTCCACATTGTTGCAGAGCTTTCCACGGAATGTAAACAACTTGATGATTTCTACTCCTTGCTTTTGGTATATATGCTGCTGTTGGGGATTTGGTAAAATGCTTGCAAAATTTGTAGTTCATTCCACAATATATCTGCCTTCTCTTTCTACACTACCAATGGAACGGATTTTGAGTTTGAGTTGGTGTTCAGCTGGAAAACTACTGAATATAGAGGTTGGCCATCTAATGGATTACGTATTTGGTATGTATATTTTCATCCCTTTCTGGTCAGGGTCATTAACTGAATCCATGGGCAAAGAGCAGAGTTGCTGTTTAGGCAATCTGATTTGGATTTCTCCTTGTTCCCAAGCTATGGATTCATATTGTTTTCTTTTGATTGGTTTCTTCCACTGTGCAAGATATGGACATTTCTCAGTTATTTGGGCTGATTGCATAATTATATCCTATATGGGAAGATATAGCACATTTTTGAAGGTTGGTGAAATTTTATTCTGCCTCTGCTGTAGCGTATTTTTTCTGGATCTTTCTGAGTTGATGCGGAGTCCACTAGAAGGAATTTAAAAGCCTCTGATTTCCTACTCGTATTTTTTCTGGATCTTTCTGAGTTGATGCGGAGTCCACTAGAAGGAATTTAAAAGCCTCTGATTTCCTACTCGTATTTTTTCTGGATCTTTCTGAGTTGATGCGGAGTCCACTAGAAGGAATTTAAAAGCCTCTGATTTCCTACTATTTTTGGGCTGCAATAATTAAGAACTGCTATAAATTGTTGCAAAGCCTCGTCTGAGGAAGCACCTAAAGCCTTGGCTGATGTGGTGAAGCTTGTAACTGGTGACTGCCTCTTTCAATTAAGGTTTGGTTGCTTAACAGTCTTCCTTCACTTGTCACACTGTTATATTTTCAGGGTCAATGATATTAACAATGTCAACTTCTATTTTTGGTTTTCACAACCATTAGTCTCTTCGTGTTTCACTTCTTTATATGTGATTTTCCCTCTTCTTACATGGACATTTTCTCAACCTGTTAAACATAGTGAATCCAAGCTTTGATCAAGGAATTCATACACTTTCTTCAGTTGTTTGAGTACTTCAACATACCACTGTTGTACTTTCAAGGATATTTTTATTATGTCATCCCACCTTGTTGCGGAGCTGTCCAAGGAATGTGAACAACTCAAGGAGTTCCTCTTTTGCTATGATGTTAGGGATGTGGCTTTGTTGCCGACTTTCAAAACTTGCAGTAGGTTTGATCTGTTGTTCCAGAAGCTTTGTTTTTCACGTTCTGCATAATTAGTTCTCCTTAATGTGCCCCGTCGATGATAGGAAATGCTTGCAAGCAGGGTTCTTTTTTTCATATGTTCTGTCTGATAGTAGCTGATAATATGGAGTCGGAATGATTTTACATTTTTTCTTGTTTTCTTCATTCATATTATCAACTTGTAAGTTCCGATTGTATGTTCTCCAGGGTCCTTCAGTCACTTGGGAGATTGATGCTGTAGGAGATGTATGCAGGGAGTGTTATACAAAATCTCCTTTCTTCCTTAATAAAATCTGCCACTTCGTGTTTGGTTAGAGTTGATAGGATTTCGTGTTTGGTTAGAGTTGATATTCGGTCATGATATCCTTTTGCTATGTCCCATTCGTCGCTTAAGTGTTAATATATACTTGCTGTTGGCAACTTCCTCGACCCACTGTTTTCTGAATCATGGCTAATATTTTGTATCATGTGAGAGATTTGTTCTAAATCTTTACTGGGAAGACTTCACTTTTTGAGCTAATCTAGTGTATTAATTGGATAACTTAGTTATCAACTTGTCTTGCATATGCAAAGTTTTTAATTTGAGCTCGCCATTGTGTGTTCTCCGATTCCTTTTAATGACTAAAACAGATGGGCTAAGGTTGATCGGTGCTTTATCTGTGATCTTCCTTTCCCCTCCTTAGAGATATCCAGGTTTGAACATGTAAATTTCCAGGCCTCTTGCTTTTGCAATCTGATTTATTTGGCTATTGATATTGATATTGCTTGCTTGTCTTCTGAAAATATTTTTTTCTCGCATGATGGTATTTGTTAGAACAGTATTATTTATTAGGACTTCAGTGTTTTTTCTCAACCATGGACATATGGTTCAAATGTTTCATGGAAATCTTTCATTGCAGAAACATGAAGTGAAGATACTCAAGTTAAAATTACAAAAAACTAGCTAAAGTTAAGATTTTACCTTGTGTTTTTTAATGGGTGCCAACTTTTTTTCTAGGATCCCTTAAGTGACTTAAGATCATAAATGGTATTTGATCTCTCACTAATCTGTAGGCTAAAGGATTTTTCATGCAGAAGTTTCCAATAGTCTAGGTCTCTTCTTTCACTTATTCTGGTTCAGGGACTTACTAAACAATTCTGCAGCATTGGTTTCTAACCTTGGTCAAGGACTTCTTGCATCAGTTAGATATGCTGCAGTACATTTATCATCATATAGGCGTTCCAATATCCAAGGCTGTAAGTTATGGAGCTATACTTTTTTCTTAAATCAATACTTTAACTGGTAAGTTGAGGTTTGATTGCATGTTTCTCCATTCTTTTTAGTGTTTTGCCGAATGCAAGTTTAGTTAGGGGTGTTTAATGTAATTATACATATGTTCGTTAGCACTATCAAATTTGAACTATTCAATTTGATATATTTTTGTGTTCCAGGGTATCCTTGGTCAGTTAAGTAATATATGAGCCAGACTGATCATGGAGTGTTTTCTACATTCTCCATTGTTTTGCTTCATAAATTCTGTGAATTTGCATCTATAGTTAAAGAGTTGTTAAGTCATTATTTCCTGATTTTATGCTCTTTCTACTCCCGTGGCTACTGTTACTGTAGGCTTTTCCTGGACAAGGGGGCATTCCCAACTCATTGTATGCTCTGATAGATGATGGGATTTTTTTTGCAAGAGAATTGCTATATCATTCGGTGTCTTCTTTTCTCTTTCATTTGGTTTTCTTTCTCTGTGGTTATGAGTGCTGTGAAATGAGGAAAAAGCATGCGTAATTTGTATATTATTCAGCAGTATTTTTGTCTTCTTTTCCTATACTAGCAATGGAACAGATTTTTGAGTTTGTGTTTCCCTGGAAAGCAGTTGAATATAGAGGTCTGAGATCTAATGGATTACAAATTTGGTCGTTGTATTTTGTCTCCTTTCTGGCATGTCTGTTAGCCGAATCGATGGAAAGGAGAAGGGCTGTTGTTTAGGCTATCTGATATGGTTTTCTTTGACTAATTTTTGAAAGGTTGTAACTGGTGACTGCCTTTTTCAAGTAAGGTTTGATTAACAGAGTTTTGCTTGATTTGCCAAGCTTTGTATTTTCAAGTTCAATGATACTAAAAAATGTCAACTATTATTTTTTGTTCTCACAAACATATGCCTCCTTTTTTGGTTTCGTACTTGCAGTGAAAACAGTTGTGGGGTAGTTTATTGTTCGCTTCTATGTGATAACCCTCCTCTCTCATTAACATCTTCTCAACCTATCAAATGTAAGGGGTCCACGCTTTGGTGTAGTGATTCATAGGCTTTCTTCTGGGATTAGGGGATATTTAATCTGTTGCTGCCATGATGTGAGTACTTCCACCATTACACTTCTATTTCCCTGAATATGTGTTAACTTTCAAGGATATTTTGATTTTGTGTCATTTCACCTTGTTGCAGAGGTTTCCATGGAATGTAAACAACTTGATGATTTCTACTCGTTGCTTTTGGTATATATGCTGCTGTTGGGATTTGGTAAAATGCATGCATAATTTGTAGTTCATTCCACATTATATCTGCCTTCTCTTTCTTCACTACCAATTGAACAGATTTTGAGTTTGAGTTTGAGTTTGTGTTCAGCTGTAAAACTACTGAATATAGAGGTCCATCTAATGGATTACGAATTTGGTCTGTATATTTTTGTCTCCTTCTGGTCAGGTCTATTAACTGAATCGATGGGCAAAGAGCAGAGCGGCTGTTGAGGCAATCTGATTTGGATTTCTCCTTGTTCCCAAGCTATGGATTCATATTGTTTTCTTTTGATTGGTTTCTTCCATTGTGTGCAAGACAAGGACATTTCTCAACTATTTGGGCTGATTGCTTAATTATCTCCTGTATGGGAAGATATAGCACATGTATGAAGGTTGGTGAAATTTTATTCTGCCTCTACTGCAGTGTATTTTTATTGTGGATCTTTCTGGGTTGATGTGGAGTCCACTAGAAGGAATTTAACAAGCCTCTGATTTCCTACTATTTTCGGGATGCAATAATTGAGATCTGCTATAAGTTGTTTCAGGTTTGGTTTAACAGTCACACAGTTATATTTTCAGGGTCAATGATATTAACAATGACAACTTCTATTTTTGGTTCTCACAACCATTATTATCTCCTCGTGTTTGTTTCCTTCTGGCAGTGAAAACAGTTGTGCGATTGTTTATTATTCACTTCTTTATATGTGATTTTCCATTCTCTCACATGGACATCTTCTCAACCCGTTAAATATAAGTGAATCCAAGCTTTAATCAAGGAATTCATATGCTTTCTTCTGGGAGTAGGGATATTTCTTTAATCAGTTGTTGCCACACAGGGAGTACTTCAATATGCCACTGCTGTACTTTCATGGATATTTTTATTATGTCATCCCACCTTGTTGCAGAGCTGTCCAAGGAATGTGAACAACTAAGGACTCTCTCTTTTGTTTTGCTATGCTGATGTTAGGGATATGGCTTTGTTGCTGACTTCCAAAACGTGCAGTAGGTTTGACCTGTTTCTTCAGAAGCTGTTCCTCCTGAAGCTTTGTTTTTTGCATTCTGCATAATTAGTTCTCCTTAATGTGCCTCGTCAATGATAGGAAATTCTTGCAAGCAGGACGTTTTGTTTCATATGTTCTGTCTGATAGTAGTGGATAACATGGAGTTGGAATGATTTTACTTTTTTCCTTGTTTTCTTCGTTCACATTGTCAACTTGTAAGTTCCAATTGTATGCAGGTTCCTTAAGTCACTTAGGAGATGTATACAGGGACTATTCTACAAATTCTACTTTCTTCCTTCATAAAATCTGCCACTTCGTGTTTGCTTAGAGTTGATATTTGGTCATGATATCCATCTGCTATGTCCCGTTTGTCGCTGAAGTGTTAATATATACTTGCTATTGGACATGGCAACATCCTCGACCCACTGTTTTCTGACAGATGTGTGGCTGGCAAGAGGTTTGTCTTCATGGTTAATATTTTCTATCATGTGAAAGATTTGTTTTAAATCTTTACTGGGAAGACTTCACTTTTTGAGCTAATCTAGTGTATTAATTGGATAACTTAGTTATCAACTTGTCTTGCATATGCGAAGTTTTTAATTTGAGCTTGCCATCGTGTGTTCTCCAGTTCCTTTTAGTGGCTAAAACTGATGGGCTAAGGTTGATTGGTGCTTCATCTGATGGATGATGGGATTTTTTCTGCAAGAGGCTTCTTTTCTCTTCCATTTGGTTTTCTTTCTCTGTGGTTCTCAGTGCTGTGAAATGAGGAAAAACCATACGTAATTTATAGATTATTCAGCAGTATATTTGTCTTCTTTTCCTATACTAGCGATGGAACGGATTTTTGAGTTTGTGTTTGACTGGAAAGCAGCTGGATATAGAGGTCTGAGATCTAATGGATTACAAATTTGGTAGTTGTATTTTGTCTCCTTCCTGACATGTCTGTTAACTGAATCGATGGAAAGGAGAAGGGCTGTTGTTTAGGCTATCTGATTTGGGTTTCTCTTTGTCATGAAACATACATATGGTTTTCTTTGATTGTTTTCCACTGTGTGCAAGGTGTGGGCATTTCTCGATTTGTTGGGCTGATTTCTTAGTTATCTCTTTTATGGGAAGATCTGGCACCATCGTGAAGGTTTGTGAAGAGAAGGTTTGTGAGTTTTATTCTGTCTCTGCTGTTGTGTATTTTTATTCTGGATCCATTTGAGACTAAGCGGAGTCATCGGCAAGGAATTTAACTAACCCCTGGTTTCGTTCTATTTCCCAAGCTATATTACTTGTTTCACACTAAAGGTTTGGCTAATTTGAGATAGGTTGGAACTGGTGACTGCCTTTTTCAAGTAAGGTTTGATTAACAGAGTTTTCCTTGATTTGCCAAGCTGTTTTATTTTCAAGTTCGATGATACTTTATTTTTGGTTCTCACAAACATATGCCTCTTCATTTTGTTTCCTATTTGCAGCGAAAAGAGTTGTGGGGTAGTTTATTGTTCAATTCTGTATATGTGATTTACCCTCCTCTCTCATTAACATC